ACCAGAAAGGAAACAAACTTTTTTAAAAATAGCAAACATTAGCAGAATGACGCTTACTGAATCGCCAACAAAACGTTTTGGGTTTCATTTGCTTTGGGATTTGGTGAGAGTACTGATTCTTATTTCCATTAAAAGCTTTCCGCAACGATTTAACTTCCACGTGTTCACTGTTCCTTTCTACTAGATTTGTGTCATGCTTCAAATTAACCATTCTTTGACATTCTTCAGATACTGATTGCAGACTGATATTAGGATCTTGTTCTATTCTCGTTAAAATACGTGTTCTACTGCAAACCGTAACCGACATACAAAGATGAGGCATTTAAATTGATCCAAGGACATTTCCTGTAAACGGAACCGTTCACATTTCCGGTTCACGATGCTTGCATATTTCATATAATCATCCTGAGGTTTTTTCACAAGCTGGAGATACTGGTATCTAGTGTGAAAAACTGATGATCATTCGCCGAATATACGTGTCAGGCACTCTATTGTTTCTCTGAAGGTTATGTCTGTTGGCTTCTTTGGGAGGATGAAGTTACAGAACTTTTCATGTTCAGACACTCCGAGCTTCCGTAATAATAATCTCAGTTTTGAACCTTCGTCGCACTCTTTACAATCATTAATAAATAAATCCTCATGGCGTTTAAACCATGCCTCAAAAGTAATCCCACATTCTGGATCAAATCTAAATTCATCTATTGAGTTCGCGATAGAGTCCGAAGTCATAATGAAATTAGATACATTGGTTCTTGAGGATATTGGCATATTTTTCACCAATAATTCGATAAGAGAATTTTGCTGTTGCAATAAAGTTTTTAGATCATCCATTTTATTGTTATAAAATCCACATTAACTGAATATATAGGCGTAGATCCGTTTTAATCGCCGTCAGCATTGTTATAACTTGTGGTTTGTACCTTTGATTCTTTGTTTTTCACCCCGTCGCCAATTGTTATAAGGCTCGGTTTTTACTTTGGCTAATGTTATAACGGTTGGGTTTCCACGTTACAGTAAGTGATATCCACACTGAGGTAGTTTGTCATGATATCCAGCTCTTAGTGAAACTATCTCAGATAGAGATAGGCGCTATTATTCACTCTTGATCCAGGAGAATGGACCTATATGCAGAACACTCCAGAGAACAGTTCGACTGACCTTTAGCCACACTTCAGTTACCCATCATATTCAAGCATCCTGAATGAAAATTGATGTAAGTTGAAAAGGCTATAGGCAATCTCAAGCAAGAGAGAGATGAAGGCCTGATGGACTAACCACTGGGATTTTAATGATGATGGTCCAGTTAAGGGAATCAGGCTAACTGAAGTCTTAGCTAGAATGTGGAAACTGGACGTAATGACATCTGACTGGTTACAATTGCTGATCGTTCCAATCTATAAGAAAGGACAAAAATCGTCTTGTGACAATCACAGAGGAATGAGTTTAACCGATATATTGTCTAAAATGTTAGCCTCAATCCTGCCATAAATAATGCTAGAACAAAATAACACATTTCTTGATATCGTTTGTGAAGTTCTTACTACATCAAACACAGTAATTTTCTAGTTTAATACTCTGTACATTTCACGATTTTGATTCAATATTGTGTTATATAAATGAAATTCCATCCAAACCATTATGCAAAGTACTAACAGATGGAGTCGTGATTGCACACTACTGAGTCTCACACTAGAACACAAAAAACTGAACAATACTTCTTGGTATTCGATGTTTATTTGATTGACGTCAATTTGTGACGTAGACCATAAAACTGAACTATTCCCATAACCTCATGTTCTTCATATTTACACAAGCTGTTTAATTTATGGAAAAACATAATAAAAATAAAATTTATTCCTGTTTTCAAAAATAATACTCCGCGCCTTTATAAATGGAATCTATGAATAAATTTCAGGACTCCAAGTAGTGAGTCTTGCTGAACAACTCAGTAGGCCGGAGAAAAAGCGAATAAAATTGTTTCATTTTACAGTTAACTTCGTGTTGTGATCTTAAGTCCGGCTAATTATCACGTGACTTATTCGCCAATCGGAATACGACTTATACAACTTTAGCACTGTTTCAAACCAATGACGTCTGATCGGTATGAACAGCTCAGCGTAGTTACTGGTCCCTTTTCCTTCTAGCCTTGCCAGTTGAGTGCAGAACACCGATAACAGCTTCCACTATGCGAATCATTCATTTCAAACATACTTGGTTTATATACAAGCCAAACATACTTCATCACACCCCGAAATAGGAAATAACATTGATGCAAGATCTGGTCAAAAAGTGGCTGTGATTGTGGGAGACGGTAATTAATAAACTGAACATAATTTTAAGAACGGTAAATCGTATAATGATAGTCTATAAGTCAAAATGAGGCTTATAATAAAAGGAATATAGATATACTCAATCTAGTTACTGAATAGTTATGCAATAAGGATATATATACAATATTAGTTCATTAATAGTTCTCAGAAGTTACTCGTAATTTAATCTTCACTAGGATATAACAATTATATATTTTTTCATGTCATATTTTATGCAAACAGCTTGGAAAGGTTTTTATTTTCTCTGTGTAGACGATAACTGTTCAGTTTGTGCTAGTATACCGTGCTTTGACATTTTCATGTATCAACAAATTAGGTCCCTATAAAGAGCGAGCTACACCAGGTAGCTTGAATTTTTGAAGAAATCAACCAATTAAAATAATACCTCGAATATCGAACAAACGTATCTTGTATGTTTTTTTAATGTCTGTTGACTTTGGAAGTATTCATTGTGACTACTGAATAAATAAAAGTAAGCATACGTTTTCTATAAAATATTTCGAACTATCGATCGAAAGCTTCAAGTGCATGAAAATTTGGAATGATTCCTCTTCCTTTAAATGAGAGTTTCATTCAAGATTGACATGTATCAGCGTTTAAATTAATTATAAGGCATGAAGTGGGAGATATTGCTGACTACTTAGCTCATCTTGGAAGTCTTCAACTAGATGCTTAGTTTCAATATTATATGATACGTTTTCTTTTACGAATTCATTTTGCCTTTCAAAACTAAATTCCCTATATCTAGTCTTTTTTAAACTCCGCCTGGAGTCCCTTCGGAGGCTACTGCCGGTCCCAAGCCCGGATAAAGGAGGAGGGTTGGGCATGGGGTTACCGACTTCATCCCGTAGAAAACTAACTCGCTGAGAAAACGCTGACCAGAAAAAAAGTAAGTCTGTTTCTAAGTCATTACTATCATTATTGTTCTGGTTAATTTTATCTAGTTGTGATATCATTAGGCAACTTCGATAGATGCTTATTTTGTTCAAGTCTTCGTTGATCATTACCGGACTCGTTATCAGTGTATAAGCAAGACTCTAAACACAACTGAGCTTGAAACCTTCTAGTTACGTATTGAGGATGTCAAACTAAACGTAATTTTAGCTTAGACCCTATTAGTTAATTCAAAAACAATAAATTTGTACATTTCCATCTACTGATTAACAATTAATCAAATTAGAGTATACTATGCTGCTGTATAATTGATTATAACAAAGAAAATCAATACAGATTAGCATATCAGACTGTGAGCCACGTATGCTTTTTGTAAACAGTAATGATATTCTCTAGTAGTCCAAATCTCAACAGGTATTTTATTGTTATAAACAATAAACCCAATAGTTTGAAATCTGTTGCCTAATAAATTTGGTTATTAGTGATTTTTAGTATAATGGTGTTACAAACTATTGAAAAAGTTTGATATATCTCAACATCTTTGAAAAGTATATATATATATATATATATATATATATATATATATATATATATATATATATATATATAAAGTTGTATGCTTAACTACGCCTTTGTAAAACATATTCAATTGGACAATTAGGACATGACTAATCAGATAGTTAACATACATGTGAGTAGTCAATCATGCACTTATAGTGAGCAAGTACACTCTGTGATAATTTATGCGTAAAATTGAACAAGAATCAGATAATCAATTAATAGTCACTTTGTTCAACCCAAATGTTATGGTGAAAGTTGGTGAATATAGTCATTAAAATGATGATATATTCACAAAGTCAATTTGAACTCGTTGATCTACAATTACTTAAGCGAAATCGATGTCATTTAAGGTGATTCTACACAGACCGCAGATAATCAAACTCCCGAACCTGAACTCACATAGAATAGAACAGAAAACTAAAAGACACCGGATAAGTGTTCGTCCTAGTCTAAGACTATCAGTTATGTTCACCAGCAGTCCTATATAAGACTGAATTAGGTATCTTTCCGTCATATAATAAATAAGACACTGTTGAGTTATTAAATTAAAATTCAATAGTTTGTAACTTCAACTTCAAGCTATTTGTAAATAGTCGCATTTTTATTGCTCAAGTTTAATGACAGATATATTGTTACTCTTTACTTATCCATGATTGACTGATCTCTTCCCTACCATAAATTAAACGGCTTTCAAATCCAAATAATATCTTCAAGTAGTGATGATAACATGTGTTTCTGTCGAACAACCTACGTGTGCCTAAAATTTGAAATAAATAAACTGGTCCCGTAAACAGCTTAACAAACGAAACAATGATCATAGATAAATTCACTTGATGTTGTTATACTAGTATCTTCCCATTGTTATTTAGGACTGTTGACGAGTCCCGAATGGGACGAAACGCGCGTCCTGGATTCCACTGCTAGCCACTATCCATCTCCGCTTAATGAGAATAGATGTTGTATAAAATTGGTTAGCATGTCACCAACCACTTATTTGACTTCATAAAATAGAAAAGATGTTGCCAAAATACATTATAGATTACTTGATATTCGATGTTAACAATACTTTCAATCAAGTAACCGAATTATTTATTCTATAATACTACTACTGTTTAGTAATTTGGAAGAAGTTACTATTTTATAATGATGAAAGAAATTAATCATCATCCGATACAAACGAAATAAATTAACAGGACTTTTCACTTAGTAAACGGTGATAATTCCAACTTGGTAAGTTTTCATTCATAAAATCACCAAATCATCAGAGAAAAACTAGATACCACAGAACAGCTGTAAACCATATAAGTACTATAACGATGCTCTTAAACAAATTGTGAGAGAAAATTCAAGTGACTCTTGATGTGAACAAAAAAATAGAGAAGACATGGCAAACGACAGGAGCTATTTTGTGGGATGTTATTTCACTCAGTTCAAAATTTTAAAATACGAACAAACATTTTTGTCAGAAATCTATTCTATAAACCATAAGCTTTCGTTTAATGGATGACTCACTGCCATACCGTTTTCTGTTCCAAACTATTGTAATTTAAACCTAACCTTTTGTACTCTATTTTTCCACCGTAATCCCCAGCTCGGACACAAATGTATTTTTCTAGTTGTTTGTGCGTTGTGATCATGTAAGTCATCTGTTTATTCGTGTGTCTTTTACACTAATCCAAATCAGAAATACACCGAGTAGTGCTTTATTTGACTTGTCTTCACTCACGCTTGTCAACCAATCAGGTAGTTTTCGTCACTGTACAAGGCCATTTGAGTTCCATTTGGACGCACACATTCCTAGCCCCAAGGTTGAATCAGTTAGCCTATCGTGTGAAGGCCTCATATAAGATCGAAGCAAGTTCTCTCTAGAGTATCATTGAGTAACCTGATCAAGGACTCGAGAAGAAAAGCTCACTTAAAATTCAAGCAAAAAATACTTCCAAGACTTAATTAAAATGTCTTCAAATCAATTTCAGTTGAACAAATCGACAAACAAAATAATCATCCATAAAAACAATAAACGCCAACAACAACTACTAACATCTAAAAATTGATGAAATGAAATTCAATTAATTGTATCCGTACAAATTGTGCAAGGAATTCCAGGAGCTAACGACAAAAATTAAAGTAATTACGATCGGCTAAAGAATAGCAACAGTAATCAGTAGCAGCAGTGTTTGCTACTGTGGTAGCGTTTATTTTTGTTTACTTAGTACTTGTTTCAAAAAAAAACAACGGTTGTTTTAAAAAATAACATTTTTTGCTTATTTCGTAAAGGAAATGGAAGACGATTTAGAAAGTAACAACAGGAAAACAAATATAAGTAATTTGGGAATAAAAAAAATCAAAGTTTCATGCTCAAGCATCTGATCATAGTGACAGCTAACGCAGGAAATAGTGAAATAGTCATTAATGAATCAAAAAGTTAAATAGAAAAGCAGTCAAACTTAAAATTACAGATTTAAAAATAGTATATAGTGTATACAGATTAAAGAATATGATAATATTATAACGAGACTATTTGTGATGTTCATACTGATTCCTGTTGCACAGGCAAAAGATAATGTGTCACTTAATACGATAATTGATATGCATATGCTTCGAACTGTTATTATTACAAGTTATATATGGTTGTATTAACTTACAAGAATCACAACAACTTTCTTGTACAATATTACAAACTGATACAACAAACTAGTAAACCTGAATACCAAATAATATACTTGGAATGTATTAGGCCACTGAAGAAAATTAATAATTTTCATACTTTGTTTTTCTAAGTATACAAAAATAAACAAGTTGGTTTGTGAAGGAAGTTGAAATCTTTGGTGCAGTGTGTACATGCACACACACACACACATACAACAAACAATATTGAGAACAATTTAGTGAGACGATTTAAACATAAATTCATTGTCCACTTACGCCGTTGCAACATTAGAGATGAATATAAAGCTAAATATAGATGAAGTTGGCAAATGGATACATATGTATGAATAATCATGCACAACAAAAAAAATTGTTTATTGTTTACAACATTGTAATAAATAGGAATATTATAGTTTCTTTCGACAAACAAAACAAAACACATGACTGATTTGTATCAGGAAATTCATGATAGAGAAATTGTTTTTAAACAAAAGTGACTAATATCAAATGATAGAAGAGGAGAAATGAACATGAATTACATATTTTATTCATAAATAAACTACTATTACTACTTACATATGACAAAAGTAGTAGTAGTTAGAAGTATTATAAACATAATCAATTACAAGGGATTTTCATAAATTTAGCAGTTTCTAATTGTTTAAAAAAAACCTCGAAAAAAGTGGGAGGATATGGATAATAATTTCTGTTGAGTAGAAAAAAAACAAGCACACTTAGAGTTGAACACAAATCGATTATTCTACATAACAGTTACATTATCAGTATCTAATTCTAATGTAGAATTATTCGACTTAGAATTAGCATCAGGTGGTGGGGGTCGTTTAGGTGGTAGATCTTTATTCAGTTTCGATTCATGAATAGTTGGTGGTGTGATCATTTGTGATGGTAATGACAATTTTTGACTATGATTAATGGTTGTTAATTCTGTGCAGTTTGTGGTTGAGCTACTTATAATTTGTGGAAGACTTTCATGATGAGAATGATGAATTAATACTTCTGAATGACTACTGCAACAAATGTTGTTACTATCACCATTATTTTTGTTTTCTATGTCAGTGCCAGAGGGATTTTCTGATTTTTCAGGATCATTATTATTCACATGAGTTATTGAATAATTCGTTGGATTTAAAAGAACTGGTGGTTTTGGAGCAGCATTTTTCTTTCGTTGAAGTATAGGAGTAGTACTTAAATTTGACATCCTTGTAAGACACATAAACCAAATCAAACAACAACGAAAAAGGTAATCTAATGCTGCGAAAAAAATGACACGAGTAGGAAAAAAACTAAATATACTCACTCGAATACTATATACATATGCCAGAGAAACTTCTGAGCTGATTACCAGGTTCTTAGTCTTTCGAGACAGTGTTTTTGAAGAGATACCTGGTAGATCTTTCATTAGTAACGGTAGTCCTGGCATAAAAAATCTACGGACTTTACGGAAGTGCACCATATATTATGTCAAATATATATAATACTCAATGTTTTTCGGCGGAAACGATTACTGCGTTTAACTAATAACTTACTCATAGAATATTTCTTCTGAAACATTTCAACTTTGTTTTATGTATACGTAAAACGCTGAACGGCAAATGTAAAACTACTATAATAGATAAATTTGTATAGATTCCACTGTTACTTAAATGATATTCCAGAAGAGTCTAACATTTGTCAACTATTTACAAAACAACCTTGCTCACAAATAAGAAAAGTAGACCAGACAGTTCAAATCAAGAGGAATGCTGTTAACGTACAATAACACGAACTTTGTGAAATCAACGCACAGGATAATGAAAATGTACAAACTCAATTGTAAATGTCCAATTTCGGGTTGTGGGTCCAATCTATTTTCAAGAAGCGACAACTTGCTAAATGCTAGTTTGCATGAAATAAAGAAAGAAATGTCTAGGAAAGTCGTGTTACACACCAGTCCCGAATTACTAGATTTAAAAAGCTGTATCAGTTCAAAAGCATGTCAGTTGCTGAAAATTGAAATGCGTACAGAAGTTTGTCAAACGACCAGGTTATCAGAAAATACCTTTACAGTTATAGATAACACAGGGAGGTATACTGTAGATACGGATGTTATCGGATACAATTGCTCTTCTAGATGTAAAATGACGTTATTAAGTCGACATCTTATCAACTAAGCTCTTCAGTTCAATGAACTGATCAGCCAAACTAGTTCTTGTAGAAACGATGGGTTTAGTTCAGCGAGTATTTAAACCCTAATGAATTACAACAACGAATACCAGACACGGTAGTCCAACGGCAGCCAACTAGAAATGATAAAATAAAACATATCAGTCAAATATTAATAAATTATCAAGAATTTTGGCTACTAGTCAACTACATGTTACATAACTTATCTAGTTCAGTCGCTGCACCCGTTGATCCAAGTTCAATTCTTGATTTTATTCAATTTCTATTTGGTACAATTGACCATTTGTGTAACAAGACTAGCGAAACATTATCCATTTACGTAGACAAAAAAATGGAAGAAATCAACAGTAAAAATGATGGTTTCGAAATGTAGATCTGTATTTTCCTATATCCAGTAATATCAATGCAGACAAAGGTGAAGCGAACGTGTATATGTGAGTGAACTATGAAATCCCTACACCTAGTGGAGAATCTAACGATGACAATGTTGATATTTGTTGTAAATGTTGTTTGCTCCGACCGCCAAGAGTCGAAAGCTGTCTTGGTGAACGGGTCAGATGTTCAAGATGAAGCATATTCAGTCATCTAGTCTGTTCTGCAAGGACCGCTGGAGGTGACCTCCTGTGTGGAGAATTCTACGGTTATGATAAATAGTTATGGGTTCTGTACGTGGATACCACACTTAACGATACATCTCATCTCAACAAGCGTTCAGTAAGAACGTAAAATGACCCTTTCTAGACTCTCCTCAACAAACTGATTTAATACTCCAGCCTTTTTTCCATTCAATGTATTAACAATAGTCCGGTCAATAAATAGAAATAGCTATGTAAAAGCTGTTTACTAAGTGCGCACCACATATAGTATAGAAAATATCAAGTATAATTGGCTAATAATAAGTGTGAATTTCTGCATTAATGACCTTTACATAATTTGTTGTTTTAATTGTGATCAGTATGTTTCCTAGACAGATAAAACTATTTTTAATGTTAAGCAGTTGACCTGTATCAGACAGTAAATATAAGCTATTCTACGTCTGATACAACTGCGGTTGTATTAATTCTCTGTTTGACATGATTTTTATATTTTTGTTTATACGTTACTGACACCTCATTTCACCACTGAATTCAAACTAGTGACGTTAACGAAATATGTGCGTACAATCTGCAGGACATGTTACAGTAAATGATTCATTCGGCGTTGTAACGAAATGAGAATTATGAATTAAATTTGTGATGAAATTAATAACAACTTACAACTGAGTATTATATTACACTTTACATATCATAAGGTAAAATTTTGTATAATTACGGTTGTGCAGTTTAAGAAAATGTCATTGTCCGAAACATTTTCTTCACTGGAACACCAACATTTTTCAAATTATTTCATTGAATTCATGAAACAATCAACGTTAGACCGCCATTGAAAACCTGGAAGGATAGTCCGAACGTATCGTCCTGGAATAGGACTCTTCAGTAGTATTCATCCACAATCACATACGTGAGACTCGAACCCAGGACTTTCGGTCTCGCGTGAATCATTTAATTGTTCCTAGCTTGAATGTTGTAGATAAAGGATATGTCTATCATAATTAGCTTTAAAAAGTGGTTATCTTCAATTTTAGCTGATTAGGTTAATTTATATTCGGGCAAACTAGTAAATATGATCACGATAAACTTGCGCTTAGTAAGAGTGAACTTTCTAATCCCATTCAATTACTTTGTATGTACAGTGTATTACCAAAGAGATTTTATACAACATCTTGACATTATACATATTTCATCTATGCAACAGTTGACAAATGAACAGTCTCAAATGCTTTTTATTTTTTATATCATTTATACGTCTAGTGACTCAGTTGACATTTATCTCATATACAAATTTAATCATAGTGGGATAATCTAAAAATTACTATACATAACGGAAAAACCTTAATCTCGTGTCTACACAATAGATGATAATGAAAATGACTATTCTTTTAATTTCAGTATCATTTCTTGTAATCGTCTAGTAATGATGATCAGTATTTGAAATAATCACTTGTTCAAACACGTTCAAATGTTGCTTTTAAGTAGAGTAAGACTATGAAACGTGGTGGATCAAGTGAACTCTTTGGACAGGTAAACAATATACATAAATCCAATTCATTTTAAGTGACATTACAACACACTATCCTACTACTTACTGTCGCTGAATTGGTTCACATGATTAATCTCTTCATATGAAGCTGATGACTATGTCATGATCCAATTTATTCGCTACACACATACACATTTTAAATTTTGTTGGCATACCACATCAAATGACTTGAATTGTCACTATACATAAAACTAATTGTTAAACATGTTTGGACAAGAGTTCAGCATTAACTTGTGTTAAGCCTTGTATATCGTCTACAATTATCATTTTCATTATTGAGCAGTTAGCCCACTAACAAAAGTTAAACACCATTACTTGTTTTACTCACTACTAATTAAAGTTTGTTACTTGGAGAATACATTTTTCCAAATAAATGAACCAACTGAGACAGCGACTTGTAAACCTACGATTAAAACCAACCAATGAAAATGAGGCATTATCGACAGAACCCACCCAAACAAACTGCAAGAAAATAGTGGGTATTAGTGAAACAGTGATTACATAATTTGTATGAATCATATAGTAAGGTTAGATTGGACCAATCACGTGAGTGATTTATTAAAAAACAGAAAAAGAGAAATAATTGAATTCGTTGAGCATCACATCCTTAAACTTCAACAACACGCAGTCTACGAATTACTGGATATTCTTTAAACTAGGATACGTATCTATCCTAAAAGATACGAGAAATAAAGTGCGTATTATTGAAGACCACTACTAGAAAGAGCAACCAACGGAAAGTTAACCGTTGAAAGAGGGAATAACATTTTAAGGTTATGAAATCTGTCCGATTCGTCCTCTGTCCCTTCGCCTATACAATCAATCAAAAACGTAGTTTTCTAGACGTCTAATGAAGAGTCAACTTTCAAAAAAATACTGTAATTATTCGAATATGGTGACAATTTGTTATTGTTGTTACTCTGGTCATTTTATTCCGTATGTCTATTTTGAACACATATGGGATAATCACTTTAGAGAAAGGTTTGGAGAGTGCTTGAGACGTGTTTGGTGAATTTCACGTCCTATGAGTTTTAAATGCCTTAAATTTAAAATTAAAAAGGTCATAAACGATATTCATCATTACATGTATTCCCCAAAACATTTTGTGCGCTCTTGCAAAACTAAATGAACTATTCTCCAGCTTATTAATCTCTGTAATAATTAGAATCAAATGAGCAGGTTTTATTGAATAATGATTAGATGGGCATATAGAACCTAGCATTAACATATGATTATTAAGAATTATTTTTCCAGTTAAAATAATACTCAGATTTACAGTTGACAAGCAAAAATGTTTAAACTAGTTAGCTTTTACTAAAAATCCAACTACACTACTATATCTTATAGATAAGTTCGCTGCAGAGGCATAAGCACTTCGTTTAGAAACTGAAATACGAATTCACAGGTAGTGGAAATAACACTGTCGAAAATAAAGTTCCCTGTCTCTAAATCACCAATAATAATTATTTTCAGGATTTCATTCTGCCATAAATTGAACAGTATAAGGGAATATTTTAAGGCAGTCGTCTCACAGGAACTTTTTAAGTTCTTTATGTATTTGAATGTACATTGAAATTATTCTAACAACTTGAAGCTAATCTTCTTGAATATCTCGAAATGTTCCTAACATCTACGTATTTCAACAAGTTATCAGTCTTTGTTTTAATATATAATTATGTCTATCAATCGCATAAACTATTCAGGTGCATCTACGTAAAGTTTACGACCTTTCGCTGTACAAGTTTAAAAAAAAGTACAATCTGAGACATCGTGGTGGCTGACAATTTACATTGTAAAGAAAGAACATTATTCAGATATCAATTCCTGAATTGCTAACATCTAACTGGAGACTACTCAATATTTATCGTTAATATCGATCAAGAAATAAGAAACGGAAACTCGCTGAAATACTTTGTGCTGAAAATTCGATATTGTACCAAAAATATAATAATAAAATTTGCCTATTTATATTTGAAGACAAGTCACTTCTCTCTTAAAAACCAATCTATCAATTTTACATTTACGAGTGAAACGCTATATCACACAATTATAATTATCGATTACTTACAACACTACAATTATTAGGACTAAACTGCTGTACAGTTTTAACTAAATAACTTTGATTTTGAGACTAGTAAATCTTTTCACATTTCATCCATTAAGACAAGAACTTCCATTGTTTGAAATGTCATGGTACTCTAGATTTTCAAAGTGAGTACATAACTAGTCGATGAGGACAGTGATCGAACAATTCCAGCTTTTCAGATGTAGGAAAATATTAGAATTCTTTTTCATGTAGCCCACTGTCATGAAGCAAGAATTTTCCTACACTCACACTTGTACTCAGAGGATAAATTTAGTACATTCATTGTCTAACGCTGTCCCTGTTAGAAGTGGTGTAATACAAGGTAGTGTCTTAGGTCTTTTGCTCTTTTTAGTGTTTATCAATGATATTTGTGGAAGTTTTTGTGTCGGTAAGCCCCTTCTATACGCAGATGATCTTAAAGTAGTGTATTCGTTTTCTCCACATGAGCTGAAAAATATGCAAAATTGCATATAAACTATCGTTTACATCCAATCACGCGATTCAATATGCAGAAACTTCTCGTTATGACAACCGTAATTCCTTGGCACTAGTGAAACAAACTCATTCTAAATCATCTCTTTATATGAATTACTTCACCTGTAAATTTTCTAGAGTATGGAATAACCTACCACAATCTATCCGCACGATAAAAGCACTCCAATTATTTGTTCGCTGCATCGATGCATACTGCTCCTCTGAAAATGCATTGAATGGTCTAGCACCTGCAAGTGTATCTCATTCCACAAGTGATATTTTAGGAACTTTAAGTGTTTAGCCATCTTTATTAGTGAATCCCCTAAGTAAAACCACCCACTTGCTGTCAATATGTTAACACCGTCCCTAGCAAGTTTAACTAATTTAAATAACATAAACAGTACATCACTGTGTCACATGACATACGCATTTAGGTAGACCTGACTCATATATTTTGGTAATTGCTGCTTTGTTTTTCCGTGCTCTGTGTTTTCGTTTTAATTTCTCTAGTTGTAGATAATTATCATTAATTCGATCTGGCACACGAATTGACCTTAATTACTCCGTTAATAAATCAACAGGCTGTCCATTTAGGAAATATTAAAAATTCCCGGCTGATGCATTGGATCACTGTAATACATGTACTACATAAACAATTACTGAACTTGTATACTTAAAACGTTCTTCTATCACATGTTTGTTCTGTACATCTAATGTTCCTCTTTATATCAAATTGATCATGCCTGTGAACTGGCGTGGATTCTGTAATTATTATTTTTAGAATATAAATTATTATTATTATTATGTGTATTGAGGACATTATGTTATTTGGTTAATTTGTGGTGTATGCTACTTATATTGACATAGGTAGTATGTGATGTTAGTCGTGAACCGAAGGTCTGGCAGAAGAGAGATAAGAGGATCGAACAGTAAAGGATGGGAACAAGATGAAATTTGTATGAAAATGCAAGAACAATAAAGTCTGAGTCATTTTGAGACAATTGGTAGAGATTTTGAAAGTTAAGCATTTATTTTATGATTGTTAGATTTTATTAACAAGTCCTGTAATTTTGTGTTAAATACATTCGGTTATTCCCACGGGTGTTCTTGTTCACTACAAATCTAACAAGTGATACATGCAAAAAATGCCACACAAAGTAACATTTAGAAGCTACACATTAATCATCTGATTTTCAACTGTTAGCTTACTGAGATAAAATAGCTTTATTTAAGTCGACTACATAATAGCAAATACGATTGTAATTTAGCTCATAAATATTGTTAATCAATGTAGAATGCATGAAAGAGCACATATAAGTAAAAATTAAATACCTGACAATGAGTGAATCGTATAAAGCTAATCATCAGTAATAGGTGCAGATATAATAATAGTTTAACGTTAGATAACAACATTTTAGATCATAGATTAATAAGGTGTAGAAGTTTGCTCACTTACGATCTTGATTGATTGTACTAAAAGACCTATCGTTGAATTAGTGTGAATCATTGAACCATATAACAATTGCAATCATAGGTTGGTTAGAGAGATGTATGGAGAATTGTAATTTCGATAAATAATAAGAGATCAGATGTTATTAACTGATATTTCCGCAGTTCAGTAAGATGGGATGGAAAAAAGCAACTACACTTACAGATTCGCATTATCCGGTGAAATTCACTGTGATTTCTACATAAGTTCAGTCAATAATCATACAAGGACCGTAGATTGACATCCTTCAACAAAGATTTTATAGACAACTAATAACAAGAACATACAAGTAAGAATGGAAAAGAAATATTTTTAGAACGATAATAACTTATTAAGGTAATCTATTACCTGGAAGTTATAGCAGACTGAGTTGAATGAGAAGTAGAAACACCAAAATCATGATCAACACCAACAGGTTTTCTGGGAGCAATTAATTGGTTAACATTCTGAGATGATTGTTCATTTAACGCTATGGTACTGCTATCAAATCCATGAGAAACACCAGTGCCGGAATTTGATGACTTCAATGAAGGTACAGAACCAGTAGTAGATGGACAATGTGAAGAAACTTTTATTCCGAAATTAGGTGGGACATGAGTTACACGAAACGAGGCTGTCGTGCAGAAAGTAATCGGAAAAAATGTGGACAAACACTCTACGTTGTAAACGTGAAGAAATTTCATTTTTAATTAAGTTAATATATTAAAAATAACACACCATACATTCAGTGTGTTGACTAATGTGATCAATAGAAAAAGGTTAACTAAAATTAATTAGAAAGAAAATTGTACGATAATCTATAGTGCACAATATGAATAAAATATTAGGTAAAAAGTTTTGATACGGGCCAGTGTGGACTCAAACATAAACTAATATTTCAGTCAATGATTACAACAATTAATAGGTAATATATATTCAGCTTCGATTCGACCAATAGTGTTAGGGTAGACGTTAATGTACTTACTTGGAATATCTTTTATAATTGATTACTGTAAAGAGAATTAGGGATATATCTTGATGAAAAGTAAAGAACGAACAGAGATAGATTAAGCTACTGTCTAGTGCTTTATAATCTTCGTATTCCTTCAGATGATGTAAGAAATATTGATTACAATCGTTTAAATCATTAAAATCAGCACTAACAATCTCTAATACATAATTGCTGTCAGATTTGAAGGTCATGGGTTTAATCCCCAGTAAGGCTGTGAATGTGTACTGAATAGATGAATCCAATACTATGGTAAAACAGTTATCTGCCGTCGCCTAGTTTTCAATATTTTCTAACCGAAGTTAGATCAGGTAGTGAAACTCCAAACTTCATAATCAATTAGGTTAATTCATGATTGTAAAACTACAAAGTTATGTATGAAGTAATGTATCAAATCAGTCGTTACCTTGCTCTTGACCAAATAACTGTTCTGCATTTTGGATAAGAATATCTACTAAATGAATTCCTGGACCATTGCTTTGTAAGAAATCTAAAGATTTTCCTCTGAATACAAAAATAATAAAAGTAATTGAATATAGTGTTATAACATTTCATTAATAATAACAGTCAATAAATGATAAAATAATGATGTATTTGTAATATTCCAATGGGTGGAAAATTGAATTCTTACATATTGTGACTGTATAAGTTTTATTACCACAAGGAATATCCATCCAGTTCTAATTTATTTCTAAATTAAAAACTTAAACTTCAGTAAATCAACAGTTTTCAAGAACAATTAGAAAAAGTAACAATGATGCAACGAATTTGTAAAAATAGATTAATTAAAATATCATAAACTTAGTTCCACTTTTTTTAATTGTGAGATGAGCAGAAGCAAACAATCGAGTACAATAATATGAATTCATTTTATTTTGTTAGCATCTCATCAGCTGTTTACAACGTTTATTTTAAAATCAAAATTATTAATGTAAGTTAACAGACGAATAACAGTGAAATTTGTTAGATGTTGTTATGTATCATGGTGGAATGGTGATTCCAATGAAGGTGATGAAATTGAACCCGATCGTTGTTGCTAACTTGACGTGGTGGTCGGGCTTGCCTATCGTGATGAAGCAACCGAGCTATACTGGCTGGAACAACCGTTCCTCAAGGTCCTACCATGTCAGACAGGTCGGTTGAAGAGTGGTAAGACTAAAAGCAACAAACCCAAGGTCCGAAGGCGAAGTCGTATTGCTGACTGTACAGAGGTGAGACAACAGTGAGGTGTTTCCTTTAGACAACCAGCATAACAGAGATGCTGCCTTCCCACAAGGAGGGGCGGGGTTAGAAAAGGTCGACTCTAAGAATGCACACCTCACCTTATCCCACGGACATCCGTCTCCAGCGGTAAGGTCTCAACAAGTACGGAGCTAACACAAAAATTACCCATAAAAAGGTCGTGTGTGACCGACCTCAAGCAGTTGTCCCTTAGGCACTGAGGTCACGTTACCAGGTCACTAAGACCACCTCTAATCCAATCTCCTTTTCAGGTACCTGCAGAAGAACCCTTCCACGGTGTGGGCAACCGGGAAGTGGTAACCGCCCTCATACCTCTAACAGCACTCAAGACCACTGTATTCATAATCAAACTCCGACTGACTGACTGATGAAATTGAAGAAATGTACTGTTGTAAATAAACAGAATATGTGAGAGACGAGTCTGGATCAGCAAATATGGTAATAAGAGACCACAAAGCTATAAAAATACCTGATTACACAATGAAGTAACTAAGCACACATTCATAGGTTAGTAGAAGCAACATGAATTAACATCAGTCAATTAGAAATGAAATTATTGGCAATACGAGAAAGAGTTAGAAGAATGATGAGATAAACTGACGATAACGTCACTATGGTAAGAAGAAATATGCATTTTATGTGTATGGGTACTGGGTTCGAATCCCGACATGAATATTACCACTGAAATGTAGGAACATCCAACTGGAAAACCCTGAGTAAGAGCAAATGCATAGTATGGATTTCATTGCTAACCATTATCCAACCCTTGAAGGAAGATGAGATTAACAACTTTACTCATAAAATATTGTTACTCCAATTAAACAGAAGTCATATAGTCACTAAAATTTATAAGTTATGTATGGTAGAACAAAACAATATTTTCAGTATTCAGATGAATGGACTATGATAAATAACAATTTAACCGGAAAGTAAGAAATCGAGTTGACTAATCATATACACAAAATCAACAAAAATGTACGCATAAATTGTAAACAGAAACCTAATCACAAAAGTGAAATGGAAACCATTTTTATGTGAGTTACATTGTAAATAAGACTAAAATGATATATATATATATATATATATATATATATATATATATATATATATATATATATATATATATCGTATTTTAGGCTGCATAGTTACGCTGACCTTAAATAACGAGACTATGACCAATCACACTTATGACCTAAAAGAATTCTGTATTATTTACAGTACGATAGAATGTGTTGTCGTTTTATAGGCCCCTAATCAATGAATTTATTATCATTTGTGCAGCCTGACTAATCAGTCTAACTAATAAACTAATCAACTTAACGATCTAACAAAACTTGAAATAGAAGTTATTTGTTTAAAATTACGATAAGTTGTAGTTTGGTTTGAGCGGTTTAATGGTGATTGGTCAAATTAGTAGATTGTATTCGTCATAGATTGGTAGTAGATGGTGTAGCAATGAGAGGGTATTTCTTCCCAGTTTGTAAGTTAGCTGTGTAGAACCATGATAGTGATAGCTAATCATGAATACGAGCATGATCATGAAAACTGGAGTGAATATCCTTCAATAATGTGACATTGTTGCTAGGGTTAGTTTTTAGAGAATCATAATTAGATTAGAACTTTCAAATATCAGGATGTTTACCATTACTAAGCCTTAAAGTTATGATCAACACTAATATGTTCAAGAAGTTTACGGTTTTCCGCCAGAACAAAATAGACTAATCACGCCCAGCAGTCTTGAATGTCGACGATGCAAAAAAAAAACACACACAAAGCCTTTACAAATAAAAGTAGTGGACCATTAAGAAAATATACTATGCCATGATGTAAGGATTAATATTGAGATCTACACATAATAACTGGATTAGCAAAAATAAATTTAAAGATTCATTCAGACAAAAATAAAAACAATTGCTTACAAATCTTCAATTTGTCGTACTGAACTGCCATTGGCAATATTATTACCAGTACCCATGGAACAGTATGAAAGTCTATACACGTTTGGTGCAATCACTATTGATAAATTATCAGAAGTCATTTTATTCATATCTGATTGACTAGACAATTTCTGCAAGAAGCACATTAAATAGCCTAAATTTAAACGAAACTCCTTAGGCATTTTTTCAAGGCAACTATGAATTAACTGTAGATTAACCGCTGCTGAATTCGGTCTATAATTAAAAAGAGGAAAAGACAGAATGAATGATTTGTGTGTTAAAATAGTGATAGTAAATACAACTAAACTATTTCTAATTGTATGCAAGAATTGACTACGATTGAAAAAGGTATTATATCGAACTAGTGTTAATTTTTTTTACCTAAGCATGAATAATTTTAGAGAGAACCTATTGAAAGGAAGTTGGGTTATTGAGAAAATCCCTCTCCAGTGATTGTGAACATGAGTATTTAAATTTGAAATCCAAACAAATAACTCAACTTATAATGCAATGAGGTAATAAAAACTTAAGTAATCACTAGAGCTATTTTGACAGATACGTCGGGATCATCCGCAGTATGATTAATTGATCGATATCTTTTACTGTACTGTGAAATTTTGATACAATCATTACGAAAGTAAGCACCAAAATGTCGGGAGCCATGTGATTTCTTTTAAGCAACTATTTATCATTATGAAAGGGTCCCCAAACAAAGATGAATCAGTTTCCGTATCGAATAATTTTCGAATTCAAAACAGGAAAACTAAAATGTAGATAATCATGGGATAACGAGTTCGTCTGTTTAGTTAAATTGCCCAAAAGAAAAAACATAGCCATCTGAATATAAAATTATCTCAAAGATCAGAAAAGTACTGAAGAATAAACTATGAGGTGGTTACAGTTTTAAAGAAGGTATATAATGTATAACGTATTGAGAAATGAATTCGGGAAATAAATCGAGTTCCGATTTTCTCGGAACAAGCAACCTCCAAGGTCATCCTATGACTAACTTGTCGAAGCCGTACTAAAATCTCAACCCGTGTACGGTTGTGATGGATGAATGCTATTGAGGTTTGTCGAATTAGAACAAAACAAACTCATAGGACTATCTTACATCTAGTAGTTCTCCAATTTAACAGAATAAGAATTAACAAAAATGTCTTTAATTATATTAGTAATCTTATGTGGGTTCTTCACAGAAAATATTTTAATAATGGTGAGCAAGTTTTATGATTAATTAACTGACAAACAGAATGCTTACTAATAGATGATGAGCAACTAAACAATACGATTGACTGATAGCTATTTAAGTTATGAAAAGAGCAACTGGCAGAATAGGTTTCTCTTCGAGCAAGGTGATATACCTTTACACAAAAATCAAACTTGATTCAATATCACTGAATAAATAACCGGTAGAAAAAAGTGAATTTGGAGGTCACTCATTCGCTAAAAAGATTTGAAACCTGACTAACAGACTCAATTTTTGCCTACTAAATATAAGTACTGAAAAAATGTCACCAAAATGCTACTTTTGATTTTGTAAGTAGCATATAAAAAAATGGACATATCTGTTAAATGTTTTCATAGATAACATAAAATGATTGGCGAGATAAGCAGAAATTTACGATGCATTTTGTATAAAACTTTATCTAATCCAAATTTCTAATAACGATCATTGGCGTATCATTAATACTATACGTCGATGACATAACGCAGTCATCATCTAGGAATACACAAACCAAAAAATATTCACAATTTGAGGGAAAAATATGATCATTCATTAAACGCAACACATCTTTTTTTCTTACAATAAAAAATAAGGTGTTTCTAAATAAAATATTTTATCCAAAAAAAGAAGTTACTTTTTAGAAGCAGCAGCCCATTGATCAGCGAAATCATAAGTGATTAATGGTTCAGGAAGACTAAGCAAATATTGTTTCAAAGCAGCAGCAACAACAGCACAGTCACATTTTCTAAGTAAATGTTCATCGATTTGCATGATATTTAAAGCTTTCTGAATAATGATATAAAAAATGTTATTAACAATAAAAATATTAATAATAATGAAGTAATGTACAGAAAATGTCGATATGTTCATATCCACCAACCCGGTTTAGGCGACGTCCTCTCAATTTTGTAATTATCGGCCATCCGCGAGAACGCAGTAAGTAGGACTTCCTTGGCAGTGGCTGTATACGCGTAGCCATGTGAGAGCATTTCGAGCGGGAGAGCAGAGTCTCCTCACCCTCGGCCGTACCAGGGCATTTGGGGACTATTATCAACATCATTATCACAGCTGAACTGTGAAAATTCAAAATGAAACACGATTAGAGATAACTCTTCATCGTAGCAAAATTGAGAGGAATGAATGACAAAGGTGTTATCATAGAAGAATTTCTCAAAATCGAAAAGATAAACCAATGAATTCTAACTTCATGATCTGAACACATCATGAAAATCACGTTCTATAATTGATTGGTCGCTGAATAGTGATAAATACCATGTTTGTCAACTGATATCCTGTCGACGGACTTGCAATGTCGCAACTAGTATAAGTAAATCAACATACCTTGTACTCTGTAAAGATACCAAATGGTTGTAGGTAATCGGCAGGACATTGATGATCACTTAGTGATCAATCAATCGTAAGTATCTCAGTATCATTAAAGATAAGTCGCAGCCCAAATAGTCAATTATAACATCTCAGACTGTGAAGCTGGATAATGCAGATACAAATGCCACAGAGAGCACCGATTCTCCTAAGACAACCTGCTCGCCTTTCTGAAAAGTGCATGAAACAGGGTTTCCTGCCCACCTTTAACCGCCTGACATGAAACACCTCTTAACAAAACAAGCAAATTTAAGGTGGATCGATTGCATAAATATGATACAGTGGTGTAAACTATCGACTTCAAAGCGCTGTATTACAACTTAAGCATCAACCTACATCTAAGTTTAAAAATTGAAAAGATAATTGTCTTACTAGGGAACCCGTTACGTACGTACATAATTTTTGTGGCATTACTTAACTAACCTCAACCCGACCGCTAAGCATGTGAAATAGTGTTAAGAAAAATAGTATTCAACTTTTATTTACCAGTTTTTAAGGTTAAGGGAACTAATAATGAGATGTCGAACATGAGATATAAACTAATAATGAACCCACGAGTAATTTTCAAATCGTTATAACGAAAAAAATATGTCCTTCCTATGAGATTTCAATTCAAAACGTTTATTAATGTAAGCAGCAGCCAGTCACAACGTAGAGCCTAGCACGTAAGTACGTCAGCTCAAAATGCCATAGACCATTAGTACAAATAGATGAAATTGGCAGGCCAAATCTGTGAATGGCAGAGGTAGTAATAGTATCAGTGGTAAAAGGAAAGGTAAGGTATCGAAAATACCGTTTTGTCGGCTCAGTGGTCTAGAGGTTAGGCGTGCGCGTGCAAGACCGAAAGATCTTGATTTCGAATTCCTTGTGAAGGATTGTGAATGAGTACTCCTGGAGAGCCTCATACTAGGATGAAGCGGTTGTCCAGTGGTTCCAGATTTTCGGTGGTGGTCTGAAACTGATAAATTCATGATTTCAAATAAATTTATATCACATCAAGTGTTTTATTTGTTGAGATACTAAATGTTGGAGAAATAAAACCTAAACACCATGCCGAAATGAAAGATAGATTTCAATTCATGGAAAATGCTTGTAGCAGCTGAACTGATAGAAAGTGTTAATGGTTGGTTGAATACTGATGACAGATAATGACTGCAGAAAAAGATTTTTAAAAAGTGTTTTGAATAATTACTATTTGAATGTATATTGAAAAGATATTTGTTGTAACGTCGCACAACTGGTGCTGAAAATTCTTCACTGTACACGAAATTTATAGCACAGGATAGAGCTATTATCAATATTATTGTCATGATTATTATTTTTATAAGGAAATACATAGGTAATCATAGGAAATGTCCACAATATTATTACTTGTAAACATTTTTACAGTCTACAATGAGTATTTTTACTTACTACTAAGAGGTCTGTCCGTTTTTGGGATCCAGACTTTCGAAAAAGACCCTGAAACAAATAACAGGATTCACATGTTACAAATTTAAATGATGTACTCTGCCTTAAATCTGGCCAATTTTATGGATTATTAATTTGGATTTATAATTGTAGAACCTGATGAGAAATTATTGGAAAGAATATTCTTCGTTCATGTATCTGTGTTTTAATTTAAAAATAATAGAATAACACTAATAATATAAGATACAGCATACAAACAAATAATGGATATATAGAAAAGCCATATACCAATGAATTAGTTTATTGAAATCTAAGATCTATATCAGTAGACGTTCCAGTATCAAACGAGAAATTCTCGAATGTAAAAATGCAACAAATAAACATTACCACCTTATTGGCACTGATCGATTGAAAATCGACACCATATAACATCAGTAATCACATATTGAAATCAAACAAAGTTCTTAAAGATTACAAATATTTTAGGAAGTGACTGGTTGTTGTGTAGATATTCACAGACAATTGTTTACTCGAAATATGGAACTCCTGAATAGTCAAACGGAGTGAAAACGATCGACTAACATGGGGGATAAGTCATCTGGCCCTAATTGCAGATGAACAATTGAAGAAAGGAGTTATTCTATGTGAAAAGATTAATCTGTTTATGATACTTTATCCCAATGAATTGAAAATGAAAAACTCAATCAATCAGATAACATATATGATTACGATCTGCTAATATTGGTTAACTGAAATCCAATGTCAACTAACAGTTCCATATACATTCAGTAAAAATTACCATTGAATAGTATGTAACCACCTTGATACAGCTAAGGTAACACTGGATACTGGTTTGTATGGCACTAGTGAAGCAGAGATTAGTTTTACATTTTCTCTCGATACACTCACTTTCTTCTAATTAGGTGTTCATTAACAGTAATTAGTATTAAATGACAAGGTATCATTTATATGACAGGTTCAAAGTTTATTGTCTAACCAATTATCAGGATTAATACGATAATAATACAGAAAAAATAACAAACAAACAAATATACCAGGCATTGTGTTGTTTAGATAACTTGGATAGACATAGATGAGTGATAACCATAATAAAAAGAGATAACATATTAATGCGTGCTTCGATATTGTTTCACTGAAATAATAATAATAATAATAATAAAATTTTAATTTAAGAAAGTAATAAAAAAATTTGATGTAAGTTTATATATGAATAACATCATGACTGTTAGAATAAACATTAAGGAATTATCAAGAAAACTGTACAAAAAACTTAAGGTAGATATAAAATATGATGACCCACATTATACAATAGTACTTAGATACAAAATAGTAATAATAATAATAATAGTACTAATAATCAAATCGTATATATTTTCGTGTCGACAGACTATGTAGGTTAAAAAGTAAAGTATGTTATGTTGTAAATTCTATATAACCTATTGGTATAACATCATTAAACCATTAAACACATTTTTTCTAAAGACATCAATTTGTTTTTGAACACATGAACTTGACTAATCCGAATAGCGGTAGTTTACAAGACATGTTAATTTTATTTATTTATGATAGATATTCAGCTAAATACACAAATAGGTCTGTTTCCAATCATGAATACCTCACGTTCAGAACTTAAATTGCTGCTTTTAGTCTCTAACCGAGCTATGTGGTATGGTAAGACATAAAGAAACAATATAGCTTGACTGTGTCATTATGACATACAAACCCGACCGTTATGTCAGGATTAACACCTATGGTTGGGCGACGAAATACAAACGTATTTATATAAATGTACTTAATAGTATACAGTAAGAGATCCTCATTCAGAAAAGTGCGCTTCAGTTTGATAAGTTAGAGATATTTTGGTTCAGCTTATAATTGCAAAGAAGTTCCAAAAAGGAAAAAAATAGCATAAATGAGAGGTATTTGTACACAAAGAAGTACGAACATTTGTCGTAATGAGTGTAATAATTATGGTTGAACTCACATTATAGTAAGTGTTGACATTAAGAAATGTTCAGTTTCATTAATTTTAATACATATTTCAGTAAAAATCGTTTTCTATACTCTAATTCAAATAAATGAGTAAACGATTATACATAGAAATATATAACAAAACACCGTCTATTAAGTGGCCAAAGTGATGTGCTAATACATTTTATTCTTTCAAATACAATAAAAAATCTCGAAATCTAATCTAATATATTATATATATGTGCTAACGTTAGTGAATATCAATAATTACAAAACTAAGGATAAAAATGAGTCTTGCCAACTGCTGCATCAATTAACTACTTAATGGTCATAAGAAAACATGATTCGATCAAAAGTATGAGGGTTGACGAGATTTTTAAGTGCTATTGAGATCGCAGACCAATTTAAGTAAGATAGCCATCAAAAACCTGGAAGCACTGAACAGTTAATTGGTTCAAGTACAAGACTCCTTAGTAGTGCGCATTCACAACACTGACACTATGGGTCGAACCCAGGACCTTTGGTCTTGAGCACGAACACGCAGTAGTGTACAAGTTAAGCATTCGGACGCTAGACCAAAGGTTCGGGGTATGATCCCCGATGGCAGTGTCCTGAATGAGTACTGCTGAGGAGTTCCAAGCTAAGATGGATCTGCTGAATTACATCAGTAATAAAACCGTCTAGATAAAATAGTAGTGATTAACTAACTATATTCAGTGATCAATTAGCATTAACATTGCATCTAGTCATTTAAGACTATCACCACCTAAGTCTGGTCATTTTGTGGTGTGTGCTACTTATGTCGACAAACATAAGTAGTATGTAACATCAATCAGAAGTGGAATGTCTGGAAACAGAAGGTTAGGAAAATCGAATCGAAGAGATCGGGAACAGAGAGTGATTGTGGTGACAAAGGAACGGTGAAGTTTGAGACAATTGATAAAGGATTTGCAAATAAAAGATTAAACATATAGTCTTCACATTTTACGAAAGAACTCTGTAATTTTCTATTGAGATATACTCGGCTGGTCAAATCTGTGTTCTCGTTCACAACAATTTTAGTAAGGATTAAGTAATCTTTTCTGTTAGCCTATTGCTACTGATAAATTCATATAGGTTAATTCACTTTTAGGTGAACGGGTTTATTTTACTTTTTCTTAATAATGTTTTACCTTAATAAGACATTTTTATGAGAAATCTGTTATAATTAACATGATGTTCATGTGATGTATCATTTTGTAAAATCAATTCATATACATGTATATACAACATAATCTAAAGGCAGAACCGACTCACATTCTTACATCAAGGTAGAATAAGAATTTCTTAACATAGAAACAATATCACCAATCATAGATACATGAAAATCTATGTATATAAAAATACAGACATACAAAAATGTTTGACATTATTTTTTGACATTTATTGATCGACAGAATACACAATGCAAAATGATAACTAAGGCAAGAGAGAGAGAGAGAGAATAATGGATGTTAAGTATTCAACAATAACATTCAGAATTCAAATCTACAGTAAACGAACAATGGTGTATAAGTTTGTTGAACATTAAAGAATAATGAATACTTGTGTAAATCTATTCCATTTTTTGTTGGAAAAAAAGACACATTAAATCTCTTAAATAATAGCACAATGTGTATTAGATGTAAATTAGTTAAATTCATTAAAGTAAATGACTAAGTGACTACATATAGATATATGTTAGCGTAGTTTAGAAAAAAACATTGAGAACTTAATCATAAAGATGGCAAATGGAATATTTTAAGAAGTATTAAGGTTAAAATGGAGATAATAAATAGTAATAGTCCAAGTATACTAGCTAAAAAAAACAACGGAACATGTAATTAAGATAGGAGAATTTTTGACATTGTATATACAGGAATAGAACCCGAAAGTCCTGAGGTCGTGGATAAGAAACGTTAAGAAGTTAGGTCAACAGGAAACCTTAGATTTAGGTTTTGTATTCGTTGGCGCTAGTCAGCACAGAGTACATGCAATATCGAGGGAACTGATAGTCTCTAGTAAATTTGAAACTGGACCACTCAGTTTTATAAATTGACGCGCTAGTAGTAAGCTATACGGCCCGCGTATACGGCTGAAGTATTTACACTGACTGAGAAGTAGTCAATGTCATGTTTTTTAGTACCAAACTGGGATACGACGACTAATCTAAATGACTCAAACACTGCATGAACTATGTTTTGATGTCTGGTTGAATTTAGGCGATTGAAAGAAAATCCTTGATCCAGATTTCTTGCAACTTGATCATGTCACTCGATCAGAAATAATGACAGGATAAATATGAAATTAACAGCAATCCAGTAGGGATCAGATCAATCAGTGTAAATAAAATCTATAAACCGTTAAATGAAAACACCTGCTCCTATAGGAGATCTTAATCTCAGTTAGTCTAAAGTAAGAGTAAATTTCAATTAAACGTAATTAAACTAAACTGAATGAACAGTGCAATAAGACGTAATATATTAATAATCAAAAGCGGTACTTTGAATATGTTGGAGAGTAGCCGCCACACTGTCATGTCGTTGTGCACACAAACATATTGTAGATCTCTAACGGTGACTGATGATAATATGGTATATTATATCTATGATACATCCCAAAGATCATATTAATAAGCAATCTTAATTAATCGTAAAACAGTCTTTTTAATGGATTCAAACAAAATAACAAGAAAATTACATGATATAAATGAAGTTTCCTGTAACATTCAGTGGCTGGATTTTTATGAACAGGTAATTTTGTAATAAAAAATATTAGAAATAGAGCAGCGATTTAATGATTGAAACATTTGGCTTTTACGTGCTGAACCTCGAACTCAAATTTTGATCGACTCACTTCAGTAGATACGTAATATCATTTAGTTTTTGCATAAAAAAACGTAAAGGTTGAAGCTAAATGCCTAAAAATAATTGACAGATACGAAGAGAACCTTGGCGGCCTGTTTAAATATCTGGGTAACCTGTTCCTAACATCTACGTATTTCAACAAGTTATCTGTCTTTGTTTGCCCCCGAATGCCCTGGTACGGCCGAGAGTGGGGAGAGTCCGCTCTCCCTCTCGAAATACTCTCACACGGCCGCGCGTATACAGCCTCTGCCAGGGAAGTCCTACTCATTGCCTTCTCGTGGCGGGGGTGTTGTTTACGAAAATGAGAGGACGAAAAGCGAATGTTCGGCGCTTTAACCGGATTCCAAACCAATGGTGCACATGGGCTCCAGTATCCTGAGGGAACAAATGGCGTATGAACCAATTGTTGGTCACCGACTGCCATGGGACTGCATCTCCTTACGATGCTCCACTGCCTTGTGGATTAGACCTTTAGGTCAAAGGCTCGGGGAGTGGCCCCCTAAGATAGCCACCTGCTTCGGTTTGGGCACCCGGGCAGTATCACAGCCCACACACAAATGATGAACTCTTTACGTCTATGGAAATTACTTTTGTCGCTTTGAAAAACAAACAATTGATTCAGATTATTATCATTACAATTATTGTCATTATTAATACTATTATTATTATTACTATTATTGTCATTATTATTATTATTATTTTCCACATTATTCACCCTCTTTTATACTTATACAGCGGCTCGTCTTTGGTGGAAATTCGACTATATCTAAACGTTCTCGAGTCACTGTCCGGTTGAAAATTGTATGTTACCACCGAATACGAGAACTGAAGCAGTTTTTCTGAAACCACGTGCATCATTCAAACTGGCTGCCTTCAACGTTCGCACATTTATGCAGGTCGAACAACAGATAGGGCTGGCTATGTCTTTGGAAAGTCTTAATATTGATGTTTGTTGTCTATCCGAGACCCGTATTCAAGACTCTGGCGAAGTACTACAAATTCGCTCTCCATCTGTCGCTTCGAAAAGCTTGTTTTACGTGCGCTTATCCGGGGACCCTGTGGCATCTTCGTCTGCTCTTGCTGGCGTTGGTGTCGCACTAAGCGCTCGAGCTGAGGCAACACTAGTCGATTGGATCCCCATTAACAGTCGGTTATGTGCCGTTAGATTGGAAAGTTCCATCAAAGTGAGAAGAAATCGGTGTGAGAAACGATGTCTTTTCGTTATCTCCGCCTATACTCCGACAGATTGCAGCCCGGATGCAATCAAGGATGAGTTTTACCACCAGTTATCAGTTCTTCTCCAGAAAGTGCGTTCGACAGATATTGTAGTACTAGCCGGAGACTTGAATGCTCAGGTCGGGCGTCTAGGCACAGAAGAGAGTCGTTTAGGTGGCCGATGGGGACTTGTTGGTCGCAGGACAGATAACGGGGACCGTTTGCTGCAACTGTGCACAGACCACAACCTGTTTCTGGCTAGCACTAACTTTCGGCACAGTCATCGCCGATGTGCCACCTGGCGTTCTCCCTCTGCACCTCAAGCCTGGACTCAGATTGATCACATCGCGATCAGCTACCGCTGGCGTGGTTGTGTACAAGACTGCCGCTCCTTTTGGAGTACCTATCTGGACTCTGACCATGCCTTGGTCTGCGCCAATCTTACCTTACTTTTCAGTGGCCAACGAAGTGACCGCCATCAACGGATTGATGTTAGTAAACTGGCTGCAACTTCTGTTGCAAGTAAGTATCGAGCGGAGCTAGCCTCTAGGCTAGCTACCATCCCACCGAAAAGTATAGATGAGCATTGGTTGCAATTGCATGACGCCATGAAAATGGCGGGTACAGTCAGTTGTGGGTTTGCGAAACGTCCCGCTTTTAAGCACTGGGTTTCTTCTGGTACCTTACAACTCATTGAAGCCCGTCGGACTACTCCGGGTGACCGTGAGTTTGACCACAAACAAAGGCTGTTGCGTAATGAAATTGGACAAAGCTTCCGTAAAGACCGAGAAGCCTGGTGGTCGGAGCGTGCTAATGAGCTGGAAGCAGCAGCTGCATCTGGTAACTACCGGAAGCTCTTTCAGTTCATCCGAGCCACTGGCAGCAAGAAGTCTGGTGTGAGTGAAACAATCTGCGAGGATGATGGGATGCCAATCACTAACATCCATCGACGTCTTGGACGATGGGCAGAGTTTTTCGAAGGGCAGTTCAACTGGCCTGCTGCTCCGGCAACATCAACCAGTTTGTCCTGCCCCCCATGGCCGGTGACGACTGATCCACCAAACGAGGCGGAAGTCCGCAAGGAACTCCAACTCTTGAAGCGTTACAAATCACCTGGCCCAGATGACTTACCTCCGGCTCTTTTTAAAGATGGTGGTGACTTTCTGACTAAGGAATTGACGACGTTGTTTACAAAGGTCTGGGAACTAGAGAGTGTACCAACGTCATGGAATGAGTCGATAGTTGTCCCTATCTTTACAAAGGGTTCACGTCGTTCCTGCAACAACTAACGGGGGATAAGTCTACTTCCGATTGCGTCCAAGCTATTGGCTTCCGTCATACTTCGTAGGTTGTTCAAAACCCGAGAAAGATTGACTCGCGAGGAGCAGGCTGGGTTTCGTTCTGGTCGAGGATGTATTGATCATATCTTCACCCTCCGCCAAATGTTAGAACACCGCCATACCTTTCAAAGGCCAACAATCGTAGTGTTTCTTGGCATTAGGGCTGCCTTCGATTCGTTGGATAGGACTGTTCTCTGGGATTGTCTATTGAAGTGTGTGCCTGAGAAGTTTATTAACATTCTAAAGGCCCTATATACAAACAACTCAAGCAGAGTGAGGGCATACAACCACCTCTCTCCATTGTTCCATTCGAGCAGTGGGGTTAGGCAGGGTTGCCCAATCTCACCATGTCAGTAATACAGAGGTTCGGCATCGTGTGTTCGGGCACAGAGATGATAACTCAATTGGTGTCACCATCTTGAAACACCGACTTCGGTGGCTTGGACATGTCCTACGAATGTCGTCCCAGAGAATTCCACGTCGTGCATTATTTGCCGACTCTGGGACTGGTTGGAAGAAGCGGAGAGGTGGTCAGTGCATGACATGGTGTCGTGGTATGAAAGAAAGCTGCAAAGGACTGGCTTCTGTCGGTCCTTCACGGCTCCCTGGTTGGGGTCCGAGAGATGGTGCTACACAGTGGCTAGAGACGTTATCAGATATGGCTCATAATAGAAGCCAGTGGCGATCCTGCTGTAACCTTCTTTTACTTTCTTCATAAAAAGTGGTTGTGTCTCCCTTACCTGAAAGATTTCCGATTGTACCTTTCCGTTCCTTCGTTACTACCACACTACCTTACACCAATCTCTTCGTTATTGTTCTCTTTTTCTTTTGGGCTCCTTAGTTTTTTTTTTATATTTCTCTTCGAATTCTCATTGTTTTGTGTGGCGCATATGTATTGGCGCTCTTCTGTACCAATATTCATGTGTTCAAATAAATAAATAATGTCTTTGTTTTAATATATAATTATGTCTATTAATCGCATAAACTATTCAAGTGCATCTACGTAAAGTTTACGACCTTTCGCTGTACAAGTTTAAAAAAAAGTACAATCTGAGACATCGTGGTGGCTGACAATTTACATTGTAAAGAAAGAACATTATTCAGATATCAATTCCTGAATTGCTAACATCTAACTGGAGATTACTCAATATTTATCGTTTATATCGATCAAGAAATAAGAAACGGAAACTCGCTGAAATACTTTGTGCTGAAAATTCGATATTGTACCAAAGCCACTAGTAATAATAGTAATAATAATTTTTGATAAATGATAAAAGCCCTGACAGAACAATTAATCATTAAAAAATAAGGTTGGTAAATAAAAGCCTCCACCAATCAGTACAGAATATGGGGCTTTTTTAAAATTCGAAATATGAGTTATGGTTTCAGAATAGCGAGAAAGTTAACTTTTATTTTATAAATTAGGTGAAAATACACTTTGTAATATATATTGTGAATAACGGAGCAAATAAATTAGTGAACATTTGAACAACGCGTAAAAGATATGGACCATTTAAGATATGATTTAGCAATAATTACTGCAGTATTCCAGCTTACCTCTTCTTGCATGATAGATTCTTGATTCAAATAATTAATACATACGTCTAGGACATAGGCGATAGATCGTTTAGTCTCGGCTAAATGATCAGGTAGATGTCGGCCAAATGTAGTAAGACATTTCTGTAGTCCTATAGTTCAGAAAAAAAACCAATGATAAATAAATGTATCGGGCTTGTACAGCAATCAAAAGGAAAAAGGACGATCTAACAGATAGAAATGATAGATTAAAAGTTTGTAAAAAAAATATGTTATCGAAGGATAAAACAGGCACTAACGAACCCATTTAAAAGAAATGTGACAGATCTTCACAAAATATTAACTGTCCAACTTTTTGATACAAAAGAAAACGCATAAGCTTATGGAGTAAGCGAAGTTTAATTCCTAGGGTGTTTTCCTATCTTAGCATTCACCACAATTAATAATTTAACAAAACCCACATTTATCAAGTACAAATTCACGTGTTCAGTTTCGACTTGTAATTTAAGTATGAGATCCAATGACACTGAGTCGTGTAATCGAAGTAAGGAAGGGTTCAAAACTTAAAGTCAGCTATGTTAAATTAAAAAACAAAATGTTTTAACCACCAAGTAGTTACGCCTTCCATACCTCGACTATCACAAGATCAAGTGAAAATTTAAATAAGTAAACAGGAAATGTTCTAAAATATATGTGGACACTGAATACCATAATGTATTCATAAGCTTTCACATTTGAAAAGATTCCGAATAATGATTTTTATTATTTTGATAAAAGTTCTTTTATCTAACTGGAAAATATTATGCGATTCAGTTGCGTATATGTCAAGTCAGATATGACAATACATAAAATTTCAGGTTCAAAAAATTTTTCGTTCTTGAGTTGTGAAGACAGTTGAATCTCATGGACCGATCAATGTTAGAGTACCAATGAAAACTTGAAAACAGTGGACGGTCGATGGTCGTGCAATATAATGGATTGATTGATGTTAGACATTAACACTGTTGGATGTCGACTTAGTGGCCTAGAGGTTAAACGATCGAGTGCGAGACAGAAGGTCCTGCGTTCAAACCCTAGGTGTGGGATCATGGATGCGCATTGCTGAGGAGTTCAATACTAAGACGAATCGGTCATCCAATGCTTCTGGGTTTCCAATGGTGGTTTAACATTGATCGTTCATGAATTAAATGAAAAAAAATAACGAAAATTAAAATTGTTACAGCTTTGGATTATTCAATTGTTAATATATTTGGCTGAACTTTGATCGGTCTCAGTTGGTATTGTATATCCCGTACGGAATGCCTTGGTGAAGCCATTATGTTACACGTTATTATATGATAGATGGGATGTAATTCGAGGTAGAATATAGGATGCACTTTCCGTTTTATCCCATCTATTCTATGTAACATAAATATGTATCCTTTGATTTTGTGTATCAATTTTTTTTGAAAAATTGTTTTGTTAGTAAATGATGCCGTCAACTATGGATTTTTTTAACTGAGTCAGAATTATTTTTTTCAACGTTCATCAACAAGCACCTCGACCTTCAATAAGTGTGTTGTATAAGGTAATTTCAATCATTCTTCTGATTACTTAAAGGGCGTTTTGAGTATCGGTGTGTAATTTTCACTAAAGATTCCATTTAAAGCGTCTAGAGGAATCTGTAACTATCTAGATTGGGCATGGTAGTGAAGCCCAGCAAAATATACTGGATGAAGAGACAGTTATAGTGAAAATTACACTTTAATATGTAATGAATACTAAATGAACGAGAGAAAAATTCAAAGTCCAATGTGCAACACATTTACTGAGCGTTCATAATGGCGCGCATAACGTTGGCTAAATTTCGGTTCAATAGAAAACTTAACGACACAATAAACTGTTAGTTGTTTAAAAAATCTTCAGACATGGAGTATGGGGTAGGTGGTACAACGAGACATCAGAAAAAAAAGCATTTCAACCAAGCTAGGGTAATATTCAACTATCACCACAACAAAATACCAGCTATTAATAATCAGACTACGTTGTTTGAATGTCAAGGAGTTATAACTTAGTTGGCTATATAGTGAATAGACTTTTATTACAAATACGAGTTAAGTTCGTATTTAATTAATCGAAAAAAACTATAATCTTAATATATAAAATTCAAACTGATCAGAAAACATGCATAAAAAATATTTTGTTATGGAATAGGTAACATATTACATGGTTGTAAGTTTAAGACAGGTTCGCTTGTATAAATATATTTTACATTATACAACTACACAATGATGGCGCACAAACACAAATACGTTATGAAAAAACGCGAAACATTACCGCCTATTATAAATAAAAAAATATATTTGTAATATTCCAATTAATTTATTTATAACAATCTACCCAATGCTCAATTTATTCGGAATTATCAAGTCAGACCTTGGTAATGATACCTACAAATTACCATCGATTATTAAGATATGACAAAATTAACAACAAAACTATGATTTTATTTATATGAGCTCAATGTTTAATTTTGTGCCTGATGTTGACAATAAGTTTCAGATTAAATGTTTGTTACCATATTTGTTTTTCAGCTATAATAATAATAATAATAATAATAATAATAACCGCGCAAATATGCGGAAATGTTGTAAATTTATTTAGTGTATATAAGAGAATTCGGAAAAAGTAGTTAGATATTTAAAATAATATACGTTAGATACAAATTGTGATCTGTAAAACTACAGCTTACGAATTTGTAAATTTTTATTACTCTAATGTTGACATTCAAGAATTGAATTTTAATCAGCAACTGTTGGTATATATGAATTCTGAATGAAAACCTTGAACCACGTTTATCGTCAAATTAGCGGTTACCCGGAGTAGACCAACATGCCTCAATGAGTTACAAGGAGCCTGTAGAAACAAATACTTATAAACGGCCACCAAAATGACTCTCTCTTGTGCCTAAACGGCCGACCTGTACATTCGAATTTCAAGCTAACACTACAATGCACTTTCTGAGAATCACTTAACTGGTGGCAAAACTGATCTTAGATTGCATCCGGACTGCCACTGGTCGGAGCACAGGCAGAGATAACGAGAATACATTATATTTTTCATCGACTTACTGCTATGATGGAGCTTCCTAATCTAACAAAGCATGATCGACTGTTAGTGGGGACTTAAATTAGCGCCATCTAAGCTCTAGTGCTTAGTGCGACACTAACACCAGCAAAACCGAACGAATATGTCACAGGATCCACGGATAAACGCACATATACCAAGCTTTTCGGGGCGTCAGATGGAGTGTGAATTTGTAGTACTTTACTAGATTCTTGAGTATGGGTCTCGGATAGATAGCAGAAATCTATGTTAAGGAATTCTAAAGGCAGCCAATCATGTCTGTAGTCCGATCTGCATTAGTATGCAAGCGTTGAATGAGGCCAGTTTGAATGGCATATGCAGTTTCAGAAAGCCCGATTCAAAATTCCTATTCGGGGGTAGCATTCGATTTACGACCAGTCAGTGACCTGAGATCGTTTGAATAGAATAGGTTTTCAACTACTGGCGAACTGATGTATGAATTGACAAATAAAGGAATATACAAAGTGGGGATGAAAAAGAATCGACATATGATGCAATGTAACATAAAAACGAATGTTACCGAATAATTGAGTATAATTTATGAGAGGATTGAAACGAGAATAATTCTTTTGAGTTTTTAATTATCATTCAGTTTTTGTGTGGTATAGCATACTGTCCAAGTGCCTAAACCGAAACAGTTGGTTTTATTAGAGGACCACTCCTCGAGCCTTTTACCCAGTGGTATAATCCACAATGTAGTGGAACGACGTTAAGAGATGCGGTTCCATGGTAGCCGGTGACCAACAATAGGTTCAAACGCCATTTGTTCCCTCAGGATCCTGGAGCCTATGTGCATCACTGGGTTGGAATAAGGATCTCCAACTCCCCTAGATGGATCCTCCGTACTCACTAACGCGATCTAAGTGCCGGACATTCGCTTTCTGTCCTCTTAATCTCGTAAACAACACTCCCATTGCAAGAAGCCAGTGACTATATACGCATGGCCATATGGGAGGATTTTGAAAGGGAAAGTGAACTCTTGCATTTGTTTAGTTACATAAAATAAAAAGTTAGTTTTACCGACCACCCATTTTCCACATCATCACCCTTTTCGAGTGACAGTGAATATACTAATCAAAATTCAGTAAAGTACATCAGTTATTAGTAGGTAGGATACAATGCATAGGGTGGACAAAGCTTTATCATGCATTATTATATTCCATTACAGTGTCGAAACAACAGCTCACTCACTATGTACGCCTGAATTTAAATATGGGAAAAACGATAGTGTGTTGACGGTTGCATATGTGTAGTAAGATAAAATTTAAACGAAGTGTATATTAAAATGACAACTTACTGATAGTTTGGGATATATCGGAAATCACTTTTTGAACCAACTGTAAACTATCCGATAAATAATTTTCTTGTAATTCAAAGTACTTAAGTATAAGGCGTGAATAGTTTTCTTCTTCAGCGGCGAATGAATACAGATCACGAAGTAATTGTTCCTGGATTTTTTGATAAGAACAAAAAAGGGGGATAAATAATCAACTTACAAATTTTAGTTGGGTGGAATTATCATTATTAACACTGAATTTGTACCGAGTTCTACACCAAACTGAAGCCAATAATTTGAAAGGAATTGTAAGTAGAGCCTTTGTCGAAATAAATGTGTTTAACACAGACTGGTCTTAAACAACCACTGAAAAACAAGAAGTGCTGAACAATCGTCTAGTTCTAGTATGGGACTACTCAGCAGTGACCACTTGTGGCCCCACCGAGAGTCGAATCCAGGACCTTCAGGCCTCGTAGTGAGCGCTTAACCTTGGGATCACTAATCCAGTTGTCTATATATCTAGTTTGAACCGATTATCGATATTTTCCACTCATCTCCCAATGACATTAATGGTTAACTACCTCACAGTCAACAAGGTTGAACTTCACTGACCACAGCTTCTTTGTAGGACTTCTGGAGATTATTTACTGGGGAGCACATGATTATCACTATTGTTAGTATAATTTATTGAATCCAGAATCAGCCGTCTAAAGGTTAAACGCTAGCTGAGAGGCCTTAAAGTCCTGAGTTCGACACTCCGTAGGGTTGTAGATGTTCATTGCTGAGGAGTCCCATATTTGGACGAGACGGCCGTCCATTATTTTTCAATCTCGGTGGTTATCTAACTCAGGTCATTCTGTGATACAAAATCTGAGACTATGAAATGATATTGGGACATAAAATCTATGAAAAGATAAAGAATGAGTGCACTTCTGGGTCTCTATAATTGATTTCTAACCGTATTACTACTTTCATACACTGAATGTTTGCCAGGAATACCTACAATAATTGAGCGTATCTTCCATGTCTGTCCTCGTTTCATAAAGAATTCCTACTTATTTATATCACTTTCTGACAAGTAACTTTGATTAGCATATACTACTTTGATTATATTGTTACTTTTTTATTTATTATTACTATTCTTTATTTTAAATACTCTTATGTATAAGATAAATATCGTGGTTGACTTAGTGTCTCAATACCCTTTCAACAATAGATTATACTAAATACTAGACTCAAATCTCCAATACACAAGAATTACTCTGCTTTCTTTACTTATTATGTAGTACACATATAGAACATGTTCAATTAAAGAAATATAAACTTTATGCTCTTAGAATGACAGCAAAACTGTAAGAAAAAGATTATTAATCACGAATTTAGGCGTTTTCAAAAGAAAAATAGACGTGGCGTAATATCATCTTGTTGCTTAGAGATTCGTAAGTTTTATAATTTACTCTAAGCAACAGCTGGGATATGAGACATCTACAGGTTTTCATTTACCCATGTAAAGCTCTCTATCCCTAAGTAGTAAGTACTAATCCCAGGATAGATAATTTTACTTAGTACTAATCACAAAACTATTACATAAAGTGTTCTAATAGAAATAAGTACTAAGTAAATAGGGAAAATGCATTCTCGTTTAATAAACTTTACAAAAGTATCAAAAATGCAATCGGAATTCAATATTCATAAATTCAATGAAATTAAACAATCTTCACAAAACCTATACTGTAAATATGTAAAGTTCCAGTACAACCGTTGATTAGAATAGTCTTTAAAAACTACAAATTAAAGAAAATTTTAATTATATTAGCTTGTTATTCAATTTGCATTAAGTCTGATACGGCTGCACACCAAAAATAATATGTGCCAAACAAATGAAGAGATTATATTGTGAAGAAATAAAGGATGGAGGGGAAATGCAAAAAATAACTGGATAAGAATAGTGTATGATGGATAGTCACAGTTCGGTTGAAAACACAACTAAGCAAGACTTTTCCTTAAGTAAATGAGGTTTATTTCAGTTTTGTGAAGAATTTAAAAAAAACCATGGCGGAATCGATATTAGCTTTTATACTGATCTGTGTTTGATAATGTCTTAAGTTATTGAGTTGCATCATCTCTAAGACCTCAATCAGAGGTTGAGATGAACCAACAGATTCCAGTTTTTCATACAACGGCATCAACTTATAACCAAGCAATCCTTCTGCTTTCTCCATAAAACCTTGGTTTACAGTAGATCTCTATTAAAAACATACGTTATCTAACAAATATTAACCCAAGTAGTTGTAGGAAAATTTAAGTGAAATATATATGTTTTAAGAAAGTAAAAGAAAACAATGAGTTTTCCATCCGTACTTTTGAAGATTCTAATTCACTTTTTTTCTCTTCTAATTGATGTTGAGCTTGACTAATTCGATTGACTGCATCAATTGTCACAGATGGATTACAAGAACCAGGATAACTTGAATTTGTATTTGTTTGTATACATTGCATAGTTTTTTGTAATTGTCCACGTGCATTACGAACATCTGTCAAGCATTTTTGTAAATTACGTCGACCTTTTGTAATGTTGACACATGTTTCTTCAGTTAGACGATTTAGTGGTTCAACAATTTGACGTTCTACTCTATTCTCATGATCTCGATGATATGTAGATAGAGTTAACAAAGCTTTACTAGCTTCACGAGTGACACAACTAATGAGAAAAATAAATAAAAAAACACCTTTTATGAATTATTTCTCAAATCTAAACGACTAGTCTCATAACAATCGGGCATCGAGTGTATGGTCATAAAATACTGTCAACGGTTTTTTTCACATCAGATCATACATCAATACACATACTTTACTTTTATTATTACAATTTAGCTACATGTTACTAAATAACCCATATCCATATTTTAATACAATCCGAATTTAACCACTCGGCATAACTGGACAGGCGTTTAGTATATAGCTGTGTTGTGAACACTGGATATATTAGATAATTTTGATTACTTCCCTGAAGCTCGGATTAAAATGCCGAGTAAAATGTTGAAGTCATTTTTTGTTTTGATCACCGCGATTTTTAAAAAATATTATTTGATTTTTAAATACACTGCAACCCATTAGTAGATAGATAATATGTACAAATCACCTATTATTGATTATCAATCAGTGGTCGGATTCATTTTGAACAATGGAGTTAGATGAATTGTTTTACACTATAGATTGTCAATATACAGTATGTTCACCGGAGGCAAATGGTGCGTCAATGACAATATGAACGTACACTACTGAATCTTTGGTAGTATTCTGACAGTAATCAAGGAACTAAACGAGTGTAGTTTAAATTATCAGTCTTAATGCTTGACTTAAATTTGTTTAAAATATAATAACCTATAAAACACAAATTTACGTATTCGGTTTTGAGCAAAACATTTTGTATTACGGTTAGTGATAATATCAAGGTTGTCCAAAAGGAAATACAAGTCTTACGTAAAACCATGTCAAAACTTTATGTACAAATAAAGTTCATTAATAACTCATTTACCAGGCACAGACTGGTGTCGAAATTATGAAGAATATTTGTAGCTCTAGATGAGGATTTTGAAGGTATCGTGTTCTCTTGGCCGGACGGTTTGATCGTGAAGCTAATATTATCTTTCTCGACAGACTCTTGTCTTTGTAATGGGAGTAATGGCAGCTAGTGATACTATTAAGTCACTCGAACTGAAAATCGAGCGATATTCAAGCTTACTACTTAGTGGCTGAAAGTCATTTGCATTATCCACTGAGTCACTATATATATGCATGGTAGAGCAACGAAAAGACAGATTTGATCTGAAAAATGTTACTTATTTGCTTTAGATGCATACGTATATACCGTCCCCTTTTATATCACAGCTAGACAACAACAGGGTAGCTAGCAAACCACAGTGCAATGTAGACCAGGTATATTCCATAAGTCAAATCTTTGGCGTCCGAGATTACCGATAAAACAAGAAAATCGAGTTGGGGTTTGTCTCCCTGACAACATTGGAGACTCAACTTGAGTATTTAAAGGAACAAACAAATACAAGAAAAGACACCGAGGTGATAGATTCACAAATAACATCACATAAGACATCTTGTGAAAAACTTCATCTGAAAGTGTTTAGAAATTAAAGTTATGGTCTATGCTCCTCCATGAGGGGTAACAGGCGTAAGTAAGCAAGTAATTAACCATCAATAGTAAGACTTTGTAGCATTTTCAGTCATTTTCGTTTAAAAAGGTTACAACTGGTTTTTTCAAACATTGTGCATTGTTTATGAAAGGGTGGTCTTCGACCAAGAGGGAAAACTTTATTATGTCCACATAAAATGACTAGAAACCTTTATCAATAATGAAAGGGAAGAGTAGTGTTAAATGAAGCAGAATAAAGTTGACCAAATAATATAATCAGTAGTAACATGCGCAAGAAGTAACAAGCTGTGAAAATTTTCCAGATTGTAAAAATAAGTAACACTGACAAATGCATTTCATCTGAAACAAATAAGTCATAAGGACGAAGGGATATTTGGAAGTTTTAGGTAAAAAAAAAGGTTTACTTTATGGGAAATTAGAAAAGTAACATTCAGAATAGTACATCTATTATATTTAGTGACACATATGATCGTTCAAAAATTGAACACTAACCAATCGAGAAATATTTTAAAAGAAAAAGTACGACATTGTAGAACATCACTAACATTGTTATAAAAAAAGAGGTAAGATTAAAAAAGTTCTATAGTTTTCAAAATGTACAGGAACAGGCAAAAATGATACTGTTGATATCTAGACCTAAAATGATGAGAAAGAAGCTTTAAATAATAAACACATAAATAAATAAAGTAACTACTGAAAGTGTTCAATAACTTATAACTATTCTTTTTATTTCATTGGAATGTTATGTTAATTAACTAATTCATTTTGTACGTAATTAATAGTATTTGACTTGGTTTACTCATATGTTATTAGTTAATTTTATCAGAATAAAAACAGAAAGTAAAATTAATGAGATAATCACAAATGTGATTTTATTCCGAACTGGTTTGATTTAATTTCTCTATCAAGTACAGACTGATAGACCTCCTTAATATATAGCCTGACATAGATGTGCACCAGCCTGTTGCCACACCTAATTAGCGGGATATGATGAAAATAACAAAGAGATAGAAATAATGTAGTATCAAGAATAAGCGGAGAGACTACACCTGGTTTGAAAATATAGAATGGAAGGATAGAATGAAAGGATACTGGTATTCAAGATCAAGAGAAAGGTAAAGAGCCCCCAAATGCCCTGGTACGGTCGAGAGTGAGGAGAGTCCGCTCTCCCTCTCGAAATGCTCTCACATGGCCACGCGTATATAGCCTCTGCCAGGGAAGTCCTACTCACTGCCTTCTGACACCACGGGTGTTGTTTACGAAAATGAGAGGACGAAAAGCGAATGTCCGGCGCTTTAACCGGGTTGGTGGACATGGAGAGTCCACCTAGGGGAGTTGGAAAACCCTGATCCCAAACCAATGGTGCACATGGGCTCCAGCATCCGGAAGGAACAAATGGCGTATGAACCAATCGTTGGTCACCGACTACTATGGGACTGCATCTCCTTACGTTGCTCCACTAACTTGTGGATCAGACCTTCAGGTCGAAGGCTCCAGGTGTGGCTTCCTAAGATAACCACCTGCTTCGGTTTGGGCATCCGGGCAGTATCACAGCCCTCACACATATCGAATGAGGTTTGTGTGGCGCATATGTATTTGGTGCCTCCTTGTACCAATATCTATGTGTTAAAATAAATAAAAAAGAGTGAATGCATCTGAGCTATGTTACCCAATGTCACCAAACAGTGAAAACCATTATCACGCGAACCTCAATCAAATAGTCTGCAATCACCAAAATGGTTCAAAGCAAGAGTCAATTATTTAATAGATTGATGCTCCTAACTTCCTTCCAACCTACTTCTGCACTAGCAAACATCGCTCGTTGAGGTAGGCGGTGGTTAGGCACACGTAACACATGTACCAAATACCTCAGTTTGTGAAGATTCATTACCTTATCAATCTATTTACCATATTTACCGAGTACCCCATGTCTAACACTCAATCACGACAGGAGCACAAGCTTTCTTGTACACTCGGCTTGTGGAGAACTGTTGGTGTGCGAGTGTTAGCGAAAACTTACGACTACCCAAATCGAGGTGTTGTGGGGTTCTAAGATGAGACTTAGTAGTCGAGTACTTTAATCACTAAAACATTGCCCTACTCTAATTTACATGCTTCCTAAACAAATCTTTAATTAAGTAATCTTCATAGTTTTAAAATAATGTCTACTGTTGATTTCTAAGCCATGTACAGTGAAACCTTTACATACTTTCTAATTGTTTTCTAGATCATAGAGATTTTCTACTCTTGAAACCCTTATGGAAGATAGAAGGCAATAAATATTGAAGTTTACCTTAAAGTTAAGAGGACATACAGAAAAGCATCCATAAAATGATAGGTAGTCTTGAGATTCTAGAGTCTTCCACAGAAAATGTTAAAATTGGTAGCAAATTCGACAGTTTTACAATCAGAATAAGAAGAGGGCAATTAATCATTCTCTTAATTTTTCTTGAAAGTTTTCAAAAAACACCTATCAATCGAAGTATTTTCGGTCCTTTCCCTAGCTTCTACAAAATTATCGAGGACACTCAACACTCGTTTTTTGACATGGCTTTGGAAAATAAATTCCTCGGATTTATCTGAAATTTTTAACAGATTTTTGACAACATTTCATCTTCTGATATGTTGGAATATTTTAATCATACTTTGCCTATTTGGTTCTAAGAATAGACCGAGTTCATTAAAAAAGCGTCCAGTAGAGTGCTTAGTGGAAGTGTCGCGGCAACATGTGTTTACTTTTTTTATCTCATCGGATTAGACTCATATGCCTTGTCCAAAAGCACCACTAGTATTTGATCCTAGAAGATTAATGTTATACGTAGCGCTGCTAATTGTCAAACAACAACTTAAACGACTTAAGAAGGTTGGTGCTATCAGCCCACTAACGTTTTTAACACGGGCTACATTAATTACAGTTAGAAAACCTAAGGGTACTGTCCACTTGCTTGCTGACTATTCAACCGGACTTCATGCACTTCCAGAAACCCATCAGCATCCATTACCATCGTCGGAAGACTGTTTGACAAAATAACTGGGTAAAACATTTCTCAAAAGTTGGATTTATTTAAAGCTTATCTATATATCCACGCAGCTGGAGAATGAAGAGAAACGCTCACTATCAGTACACACAAAAGTTTATTTCAGCATAACCGAAAACATTCGAGGATAATAAGGTACTCTCAATTGTTCAGTGAGTAGTGGATAATGTAATAATCATGGGAGCAGATCAAGTACATTTATGTGTAGCTGTGTAAGGGTTTCGACTTCATAAAGAAAGATGTGTTTTCTACATGTGACGAGTACGATGCCGGAAATTCATAGTGGATAAATACGGAAAATTTTCAGATTCAGTGAACATTAAAGCAGTTAAGACAATATCTAGACTGACAGATGTCCCTACCTTACAATTTTTCGGGAACTTGTTAGCCATTATAGGAAAATTAGCTGGAAAATAACTACTGAAAATCAGGGACGATTGGATAGAATTCTCAAACCGAGGCAAAACAGCTATCAATCCTATTTAGTTTTCAATGCCATTTACAGTTAATTACAACCCGCAACTGAAACTCTCCTCAAATAAACTTAGTTTTGGAACTGTATGGTAATCTAAACATCTTTAAAAGTATATTTAGTACAGAAGACTTTAAGACGGAGAAATTTGCACTAGTATTATTAATCCATCGAAAATCTGGTTCGCTGACAAACGAAATCTATTATATATGATTAAGGTCAACACATAAAGTGAATACAAAGTCATATGACTTAGAGGATATGGGTTGGATCCTTGATACAGACTGTCAATATGATGAGAAAGTCAGATTAAATTCGAATACATTGCATACAGCTCTAGAACAAATCAGACAAACATCTGCTGACTATAAATGGACTTATAGTAACATTAGGAGTATGGGGGAAATTAAGCATATGAAAAGAGCAACAACCTAACAAGGAAAAGTATCTTAATCTGAGGTAAAAATAAAGGATGGATCTCATGGATGATTTTGATGTTAAAGAAACCGAAATCTAAATTTAAAAAATGGGAATAATAGTATAACGAGTAAGTCGGTTATTTTGGCGGGAGGTGTTTAAATATCTTTAACAATCACAGAATCGATTGTATTTATGTATTACTGAGAAGTTGGCTTTTTGAATTTTCAATATTTCTTTCTTAACTGATACCAGTTCATGATAAAGACAATATTTAAATAAGTGATCTATAGATGTTTATCATACAATTCAATCATTTTTGATTGAGACAAGTAACCTTTAATCTGTTAAGAAAACTGAACTATTAAGTTTTTTTAAATAAGCTATTTTGTTTATTTTTAATCTATTAAACTGTTCACATTTCCGAAAAGACAAGAAAATACTTTTATAGAATATTTAACATAACTAGCTTATTCAATGAAATGTGACTCTCTGAAATTCCAGACAGTTTACAAAAAAGGTAAAGACCATAATGAAATAAGTAAGAATTAAAATATTTCGGAAGGTAGGCAACAGTAAAATGGAATAGTCTTGAGATGAGATGGGACTATTTTTCTTCAATGACTTTTCCATATGCGTACAAAAGAGGTACGTCCCATCGTTATCGTTACATCGGCCTTAATTATTATTATTATTATTGCATTCTCCACTTACTTATGTCTCATATTCTCATTAATTTATCTATAAATGCTCATCATATCACTTTATTTATTTTTTACACCTCCATGACCTTTAGTTATTGTAACAAAAACATTTTAATCATCCTACTACATTCACGTTATAATTCGTTACTAACTTATTAAGTATATTGTTAGTATTCGTATCATGTAATCTAGTATTATAATCTTTCTATTACATCATCTTTCCCATATACGTTAGTTTGTGACGAAAAGCACAGAGACTAGGAAGTTAAGGATGGTTGGGTAGTCCAGATTATGTCGGTTGCTTGGTTAAATTAGTAACCAGGTAGTAGGGGTTATAACTGGTGTTTGATGTAAGGACTAGGACCACGCCGGTGTCCTAATCGAAACGGGACAAACAGAAGTCCGAACTAGCAACCTAGTCCTCAGATGGATGACCGAGTGCTTTAAAAAAAACCATCATCATCTAGAAAACTGTTCTATCTGCTTCCTAATAAGCTTCTATATATTTCACTAATAGTTAATAAAAAGTGTCCTGTGTTAGGAATTAATAATAGTTTTTTTAATGATATTCAAAAAATCTAAGTAACCCCTCCTCTTAGTAATCAATCATGCATGAGTAACTAATTTTGAGAAGTAATTTCAGCGTTCTTTTGGGAAGTCGTGACTGTTGGAGTTCGACTATGTTGAATATGAGGCAGTGGTTCACCAAGTACACTAGATGGTTGCGCGGTATTACAGATTGGTTGATGTTAAACGTTTAAACTATTGGAATTCGGCTCAGTGGTGTAGAGGTTGAGCCTTTGCGTGCAACACTGAGGGTCTTAGGTTTGATCACAGGTAGTGGGTTCATGGATATGCACTCCCGAGAAGTCCCATATAAATGTGAAACGACAATCCAGTGCTTAATGATTTTCAGTAGTTGTTTAACTAAGATCAGTCAGTGATGTTAATTATGAAATGAACAGTCATCTTCAGTGACTTTTCTTTATCTTTGGAATGTACTCTTGATCAATGTATATTTAATATGTACTTGTATTAGACATAATAAGAATAATAACCAATAATATTAGAATCTTCATTGATGAACAACTCATCTGCTTCAAGCAGTCACTTTCATAATGAATCTGTAATTTATTAGTCTGCGGGCTAGGGTTTCAAAAACTGGATTAGCGAACTTTAACTCCAAAAACTTGGTCATATGATCAATATAATGTTTTCATTAAAATTAAATGAAACACTTTTAAACAAATTAAGTGTAGCACATATATGTAAAGGTTTGAGTTCTCCCATTGTTCATATTTAATCGGTAAGCTCAGCCGACAACGTGTTGTTAATTGAAGTGATGGGTACTAGGTTCGAATCCTAGTGTAAACATCAATACTGAGATGCAAATCTATTCAGATGATGGGTCTCAAACATGAAGAAACGTGTGTTCTAGATTTTTTAGCTACCCACAGTTCACTTTTACTAAAGATTAAGTGCAGCATGTTATCTCAAAAACACTATCTTACGCTTAAAAAACTTATTTAAATTGGTTATAAATAGAAAAGTAGGGATATCTAAATGGATTTTTTTCATCCTCTGCAAGCACATTTTACTTATTTGTAATCATTTTAATTTGCAGCAAACTAAATCATAAACAGATAAGCATATAATAAAATAGCTTAAATGGGAGGTTACATCAATTTTTAAATAGAGTAGTATAGTAAGAAGTCAAAGATTGGCACTTACACAAAAAGTCGGTCATCTGTATTGGGTTTATCGACGGATTCTTTTAAAATAGTTGACAGTACATACTCAGGATACTTTTTCTACAAAGAAAACGATCAATTAAAGCAGAAAAAGGTGTTTATTATGCACACATATATATGGTCTTTCAAAGTATACTATCATCGTATATGAATCTGAACACATGTTTTTGTTAATGCTATCACGATAATTTAGATGTTTTGCATGTAACCAATTATAAGAAGCAATGCAATTACCGCAAGGGAGTTTGTAAAGATAGCTAGATCCAATGGTTTATATCACGGACTGAACTTAGTAGGACAGACAGTGAAAACCAAGGGGTAATGGACAGTTGTTTCGTCATAGTGCGGCACTCAATAACGATGCGCAACCACGACCTCACTGATGAGGATAGCCCACCTACGACAAAACGGGTGTACATTGGTCCCTGATTCTTAATGGTTGTCCAACTGTGATCGTTGTGTGATGTAAATTATGAAATAACGTAATTGTCAACCATGAATCTATGATGATCTATTGATTATTACAACAAAACTTTTTGAACAATATCACTGAATTGTTAAAATGATTATGACAACGCAATAAAAAAAATAGCTTTCGAAGATCGAAGATATAAGTAAGTTGCTGATATTTCTTCATACGTATCTTAAAATTATTACCAGCATATGATTAACCTTATTTATTTATTTGTTTAGACATACAAGCATTGGTGCGACACACGAGGTAGTTATTACCCAGTTTTTTTATGGAATGGCATACTGTCCAAGTGTCTAAACCGAAACAGTTGGAAGTCTGATCAGCCCTAATGGGTTGGTGTCTGACGAAATCTCAGCACGGATTCGAAAAGCTCGCTTGGCTTCTGCCAACTTGCGTCACCTTTGGCGAAGGCGAGATATCCGTCTATCAATAAAAGGACGAGTATACTGCGCGGCAGTCCGTTCTGTTTTACTTTACGGCAGCGAGACATGGCCATTAAGAGTAGAAGACACTCGTAAGCTATTAGTATTTGACCACAGATGCCTCAGAAATATTGCTGGGATCTGCTGGGATCACCGGGTAAGTAATAGTGAGGTTAGACGCAGGGTATTAGGGAATGATGGTAAATCAGTTGATGAGATCATGAATCTTCATCGACTGAGATGGTTGGGCCACGTGTTACGTATGCCTGAACACCGACTACCACGACGTGCAATGCTATCCGGTATTGGAGATGGTTGGAAGAAAGTTAGGGGCGGCCAAACCAAAACGTGGCATCAGAGCTTGAAGACACTAACTTCTAGTCTGAGCCATGTTGGTAGATGCAGACTACTTGGTTGGGGTCCGCGTGACTTTCGTAACCAATGGTTGGAGACTCTTGGTGACGTGGCTCAGAATCGATCACAATGGCGTCGGTGTATACACTCCCTGTCTTCCCTTAAACTAAGAGATTAAAGTCACTTCATATCTTTCTTTCTACGAACCAATTCTTTCTTCTTGTACTATATCTCTATATGCAATCTTTCTCTTATATATTACCACCTTTGACTTAACCACTGCTATGAATCCGGTGTTCATCTTGTTGTGCTGATGCTGTATGGCAACCTGGACCGATGCACATGTGTGCCTGGTCCTACGTTGTAGCTGACTGACTGACTGACATTAGAGGACCACTCCTCGAGCCTTTTACTCAGGGGTATAATCCACAATGTAGTGGAACGACGTTAAGAGATGCGGTTCCATGGTAGCCGGTGACCAACAATAGGTTCAAACGCCATTTGTTCCCTCAAGATCCTGGAGCCTATGTGCATCACTGGGTTGGAATAAGGATCTCCAACTCCCCTAGATGGATCCTCCGTACTCACTAACGCGATCTAAGTGCCGGACATTCGCTTTTTGTCCTCTCAATTTCCCCCGCCGCGAAAAGGCAGTGGGACTTCCCTGGCAATGACTATATACGCGCGTCTGCATGGTGAGACCACCAAATGAGTAGTGGTGTTGTTAAAGCATACTACAATACAAATGATATATTTGTCAATTAGGTTGTGAACTTGTATCGACTAATATGGTTGAGGCATGTGATGCGCATCCTCAGCCGCTAACTTAAGGGGTTATCCTGTTTGAACAAAAGTAGATTAGGAAACTAGGTCTATGGAGTCACTGTTCCGAGGTGTGTAGCACGTACATGAACACTTCTTGGTCCTGCAAGTTTGACGTAGTCCATGGCTAAATGTTATACAGCGTGGTTTGAAGTTAGTCCCTTTGGTACAGATAAACTTATTTTTATCTTTTCCTACATCTTGAGCTGAATATTATTCCATACTTTTTGTTCCTCGAATTTATTTGTTACTTTTGAACTGCATTTCTTGTTTAGTTTCCAATACTCCAATACCTTCAATTATTTGTATTCCCTCTTATTTTTTTCTGGCCATGGAGATGTGGATCATACCAACTAGTGTACACTTGTGTTTGCTTCAAAGTTATCTGTTTTTCCACTTTTCAGCCACACCTTTGTGTAAAGGTCATATTTACCATCCAGCTGACATAATTGAAATAAGTAGAGCGGATTTAAAATTTGCAGATTAACGGATGGAAAACTAGTAAGTCAGACTAGCTTATGCATCACTAAGAAATGGCGAGATGATAACTAGATGGACTAAAAAAGATAATCTTTACAAAGCAGTCGAAATACAAACGAAAATTTGGAAAGTAGTTTGTAGAATAAAAATGTTTCACGGTAAGTGTTGTTTTTATAAACTCGTTTCAGAATTTTTATTAAAATCGTGAACAGTTTGGAGGTAAACATAAAACGTCTTATAAAACAAGGTAACATACATTTTTCTTACTGACGAGAACATTTTGCACTAGACCTCTGTGTACATCACTTGCGACACGTCGTACATCGTCAACACAATGTTCTAAATGTTCAGCATATTTTGGCCAATCTGTAGGTTGGTCATCTTTTTTATCCCTAAAAGTTAATAACATGTTAAGTGATAATAGGTTCATAGAGAGACCAATAGAAAATGAACTTGATTAACAAAATGTTTGTTAATACGGTCTGAATATAAATATAATCTAGAGTTACTTGTGTTTTAAATTTTGGATTTCCTCTAACAGGTTGAATTCTGTAAAACTAATAATATTGGTTGAATCATTTAGTAGGAAAACACAATCAAGGTTAGAAATTTAGTTGATGTGCTACATAATTTTTATGCAAAAGTTAAAAAGTGAAACGTTAATGCAACTAAGTCCTCACATACATTTTAATTCATGAGTGTGAAACATGACTATTGAGAGTAGAAGATATTTGTAGATTAACAGTATTAGATCATAGGTGTCTTGGGTCATTGCTCGTATATTTTGGGACCACCAAGTAAGCAGTGACTGGGTTAGGGACAGTGTACTAAGTAACTATGGAAACCCGATTAATGAGGCAGTAAACTTTCATCAACTGGGACGGTTGAGACACATGTTACGTATGCTAAACCACTGCCTACCTTGACGAGCGATGTTGTGTGGTGTAGGAGTGGGTTGGGAGAAAGCTAGGGCTGCCAAATCAAAACGTGGGACCAGTCTACGAAGTCACCGACAATTAGAGTAAGCTATGTTAACAGGCGTGAACTACTTGCTTGAGAACTGTGTGATCATCGTAATCAGTGGTTAGAGATTTTGAATGATATGGGTCCAAACCGTTTGAGATGGCGTAGGTTCATCCATTCTTCGTTTCCCCTTAGGTTCTAAGCTTCTAAATTCCCAATAATTATTATATTTCACTAAATTTTTATTTTCTTGAGTTGCACCTCCGATGCCTAATCTTTTCTGTTATCACTAGTACTATTGTTAATTCCAATATACTGGGATTTTTCCTGACAATTTCATCTCTATGTACTAATGGAAATGGCAACTTGAACGGATGTACACAGGTGTCAGGTTCTACGCTGCGACTGACTGGTTGACTTTCTATGAGGATCTGCACCGAACGATCCTAATTCTGGAGGGAATTTTTAATATCCCAGGATTCGCATGATGAGAATTCACAGAAAAGTTAGAAACCAGTAACTATCTAGTTGATACCATACCTGATTTGGGTATATTAATACTGTGACAGTTCAAACCATTTTGAAATTGTTGAATCAAAAAGCTTATCATGTATGTAGGGGTTGACGTTTACCATTTCTAAAGCCTATCCAGACTAAATTGGTAAGAACAGGTCATTTGATATGCAACTAAATCAAAGCAGAGTTTATCACTAAGTAGATTAAAAATAAGCCCAACAATTCTGGATCTCATCATTGAAGAATTACTTGGATTTGATAGTAACTCAGTGTACATAGAAATAAAATTTGCCAACGTGTTTGGATGTATCCGAGGTTATGATCCAACAAACGTTTTCATTTGGAAACAGTCTGTTAGATTGGTCATTTTTAACAGACGTCATCTTAGCGGCGCTTGAACCGCGTGTTATTTGTCGATTTTGTAGGTGGAAATCGGTCTGTAGCTGCTTTTTACACCAGTAAGGTGGACTTAATAACAACAAAATAAATTTTGGTCGTATTTTTAATTAAACTATGCCTCAGAAGTATATTTACTCTCCTTCTGTGCGAATTTGTCTCATATTCTGTCGTAGTAATATCGCTTTGTTTAATTTGACAGGATTCTTGATATATTAACGAATTAGACACTTTTATGCCATCAATAAAAATTATTAACTTGTCTCTCATACATGCAACAGTCAAAGTGGATAAATCAACTGATGAAATGTACATGGATCAATTACGGTGATTGAAACGTCAATAACTAGAATTGAGCTACTATCTGGGCTGAGTGGTTGTCTACTAATAAAAGCACCCAAATTTTAGCCACTATACCCTAGACTCAAACCCTGCTAAATCTACTACAGATAGGGCAGTATAGAAGTATCACCTATCACAGAATTTTGGCTCCCAACTGAGTACATGACTTGTACTTAAATATCAGGTCAAATTATTTCAAGTCTTCGACTTAAAACAAGAATACAATAGGGCTAGCCAAAACAATTCGTGAAGAAACAGTTGGCTTTTGTTCTGTTATGTTTGAACAATATGAGGTTGGAGTTTGTGAAAGAGTAGAAAGTGATGATTGAGGACTTCTCATGTTACGGGTTGAAACCAGCCGAGATGAAAAATCAAACCTCAGGTTAGGAATAATAATGTTAAAAACAACAGATCAGTGTCTGTGATCGTAAAGATGGGTAACTACTTTCTTAGGACAAGCAGCATGCCAATACTTTGAAAATCAAAAACTACGGAAATCGACTAAATCTTAAATAGTTTTGAAGACAAAATGCATTAGCTTGGCAAACACATGGATCAAGGGACTGACTTAGAGTGCACCATATATTTGGTTTACAATCGATGTCTAAAGGAAAGTTTGGTTATTTTTACAACAACCTGACAAACACAAAACCGTTGACAGGATTTATGAAAACTATAGGAAAGACCTGTATCGCTAGTATTCCAGCTCATCAATCACCATAAATTCGTTTTAAGACGTCAGAATAACCCAACCACTGATACTAGTAACATGAGAGAAAAACCAAAATGGGCCATATTATACAAAAACCTATAAGACTCATCACTCATTGTAGGGGATATAATACCGAAGAAGTCGCACTTGCAATGTTGACCACTTGTGGGAATTGTGTAAACTAGGAAACCTACTAGACACGGATTAACACAAGAATAATGTCCCGAAACTCAGAACTTACTTGGACCATTTAAGCATGATAAGTACCTATTTTTGGAGCATCGCTTGTTCCGATAACCTTGATATGATATAGATAAACAGCCTTCAGTTCTGAGCAGTGATGATAAGAGGTCTATCGACCCATAGAATTCCTTTCAATTTGAAGTACTATGAAGATACGATTCGGCTTCGAATGTTACAGCAGAAGGTAATGATACTACGTGTTCTGGTAGAGAATTCCACTAATTCGCTACTCAGTGTGAGAAACGGAACTCCAGACGTAAAAAATTTGATCCCGGTCTTTGGAATCTCTTGAAACGTCCTTAAAGTGATCAGTCATGAACGGAAGTAGAAGGTAAGACTTATTGCAGTATACAGTAAGCGAGTATTAGGTCACCCGTAATCTATGGTAAGACAACAGAAATAGGTTTGGGAGTATCAGTTTGTTTTTACAAGATAGGCCAGAGAGACTTGTTACCACTTCAGTCCTTCATCATTAAAAATGTTCTTTTATATCTACCTCATGCTAAGAACAAGGACTAGCCGCTTGAACCCCAAAATCTAAATGTGTTCTAAACGCTCCAATATATTCGATGTATCCACTATCCAGTATCTTTATCACGAGCTTGTAAAAAACGATTAGTTTATCTGTGATTGCTTCTTATTTTTTATCAGGGTTTCGGGCGTTTAATAATATCCCGTATTTTTAGTCTAACCACTCAAATTCACTATTTCCATCCAGTTTGGTAGTTATCAGTCGGTTTGCCATCATGTAATCTAAGCCAATGCGTTTGTCTCAGGTCAGCAAGGTTTGTCAATGCAAGCGGCTAACATACTGTCAGGCGGAATTTTGGTTGGCTGAAATAGGAAAAATAATTCAGAGGAAATGCAAAATCAAAGAGAAAATGAGTGTTTTGAGAACAAAGTAGGTAAATAATTTAATTATTTATAAAGAAGACAGTGTGAGAGGACTGAAATGTAAGAGTGAAAGGGGAAAAGGAAATAATGGCGGGTGATATAAGAATAAGGTAACAATATATGACAGTGATAATGCCGGATGAGCTACGAGACATACATCAGGGAAAATTAGTCCGAGAGGGAGAGGGTAATCCATAGGTGAGTATTTGTTTTTCAGTTCTCCTTTTGGGACTATTCTCTAAAGAGGCTGTGGTCACTTCGGCTGAAGGAGCATTCTAAGTGAAGGCAACTCTTGATGAGAAAAGGTGGAAGCTCTTCGACCTGCAACTTTTCGGGTGTTATCCCGAGAAGCGCGGTGGTGATGTTCTGGCAGGACGCTATTTCTTATACGAAAAGTTAAAACAAACCCCGGACAACGAACTATCAATAAAATATGGGGCTGTGGAAATTGTTAGGTTTTTGATTGGGACCATGAATCGATTGATGTTAGACCATCATTAAAACCTGGGTTCAAATCCCGCGAGCGGGGTCGTGGATGCTCACAACTGAAGAGTCCCGTACTAGAGCGAAACGACCGTCTACTGCTTCCAGGTCTTTAATGGTGGTCTAGAATTAGTCGATTCGTGATATTTACCAATAAAGTGTTAGCAACTTGTTGTCTAAAAGCATGTCAAAAAGGAATTGCTGAAGGTTGCCTGAAGACATTATTTAGAGGTTATTTTATGCTACTTATTCGCGAAGTCCCACTGCAATGTTTAAGTCTCCGTTTACAATGCGATCAGGGAGATCTCATTTACAACTTCAGCTCATCTGCCTCTCAGTGTCCAATATAAATGTAGTACCTAACATTTTAATTTTTTGGCTGATGAACGATGAACGTTACGTTATAATCCTCGTCGACGATTTCTTTCTGAACTCTGACTTCGAATGTTTCTTTTTTTAATCCGTCACAATATCTTGGTCACAGGTCACAAATGTAGATCGATTTCCATGAATAATTCGACATTTTGATATGCACCTCTGACACTAAGTGATCGGTAAAATGATCAAAAAGTGTAGATCTTCCACTTTTGTTGCAGATAGTCAGCCTGACATCAGTTACACAAGTGGGAGTATAACAAGTATCGCCTACAAATAGTGCATCACGTAGTGGATTTCTTGTTTTCTCATTGACTAGATCAGGCATTTTAATATGGTATATAAATTACATCATAAAGTTAGATCACTCACCGTTTTGTCATGTCATTTGTTCGGTCGCATTACGTCACATACCAAAAGCTAAATTGCTAAATTAGATACCAAATAGTCGTGTGATAAACAAGATACAAATCAAACAACTTCTTATAAAATATATGATTTTGTTGTAAAATGCATTGGAAATTCTCATGAAAAAAATTGGCAATGTGAGCGGCAATTGTATGCCGATAAGTAACACAAAACAGCTAAGTGGCGGAATATGAAAAAGAGGGTACTTTATGTATAGCTAACCTTTTTTTCACAAGTAGGCCAGTGAATGAAAATGTAATTTCTGAGTGACTGAAATAACAACAAACTGCATAGGAAGATGAATTTCTGTCATTTTGGCGAAACGAAAAGCAACTGATTTATTTTATCTGCTAATTATTTCAAAGGAATACCAAACCTGTGTCATGTCTGCTACTAATTAAATTGGAACAATCTCATTGTTTAATGGCTATTCAACCTCTCAGTATCAAATATTCGAGAGATCTGATAAATATGAACATGTGTTCACTTCTCTGTTCCTCCATTTTGTGTTTTGGCGCTCACATACAAACGGACACTTAACGCTGAAGGCAATGAGGAAAGAGGGATCGTATTTTGTTTATTTTAGTTAGTGTTTGTTTCATACAGATTAACTAGCCCTTTAATTTAATGACCGATCTTTATTTCAACATTTATTCCGTGACTATGTCTCCAACTAATTTCACCTTCATTGAACCGGAGATGAAGGAAGGTTTTCTTTTCAGTTCCTTCAGTTTAAGAATATCTCTGAATGGGTTTCTTCAGAGGTGTAATTTTACATAGACGTTTTCTAATAACTATGTTTATCGTCTGACCTCACCTTGGTGGGAAGTATATAGTCAGTGTCAAAAAGTTTTGTACTGTCTTTTTATGTCATATATGACAGGAACTCTTGTAGTTAGTAAAATCTCACTCCATACGTTTTTCCAACAAATACATTTCCATGTCTTTCGCTTTGGATTTCATCAAATTCTAACACTTATGAAATCGGATTTTCGTCAGTCCACATGTTTTTTTTTAGTTAGTTCTATTTCTTAACGTGTTTTGTCTACCTGTTTTAGTAGATGTGTAGAATATTTCTGATTATTACAAGCACGAAAGTTAACGTTGCCCCGTAGTGAACGAAGGCTTAGTGGGTAAAACGAATTTATTATTTAACATAAAATTACTCAGTGCCTGCCTAAAATATGAAAACCATTCATTAAATCCTAACGACAATCCTCGAAGCCTAATATGAGATAACTGGGAAAATAGACCTTCAACGTGTAACACTAAGAGAAGATCAATGATGGTGTGCGCGGTAACATTCATTCGAAACTACATTCATCGGATGGCACGACTCGGCTTTGCAGGTGTTGTCATACTTATGCAAAATAATTTTTATCTTTATTAAATATATTGTTCTATCTCCAGCCTAAATGTGTTCTTCACCGTATATTGATTATTACAATATGATGAGTGAGGGTAGACAATGGTTTGACTTCCACATAAGATCCTATAGATTAGGCGGTTAAGTCATGACAAACTTACAATTTTAGGGTTAGCTCTATTATTAGAGCAGTACTAATGTCAAAGTAGAACATAATTCTGCATATCCTCCATAGATTTTCCTTTACATGCCTCGTGATTATGTTGTTGTTGCAACTGCTCCCTATTTATATTCCTGTCCTCTTCAATTCAGTTTTCTTCTGCCATGCATTCCACTTCTGTGTAACATACCACTTATATATGTCAACGTAAGTAACAGACATCAGAACCCTACGCATAACAGAATGCAGTTTTCATCGCCTCCTTTGACTTTGTCTTTTCCAAGTCCAACATATGTATTTTAGCTAGCATCGGGCCTAGTGGGAGGCGACCCATGATGACTTTATTGATTTGGCGACTTATCATGTTACTGAACTAAAATTGTATACTCCTTTTACATGTGAACATTAGGTGTGCTGATATGGTTGCCTGATAAAAGGAGAACTGGGTGTTAAGATGTGAATTTGTCCGTTTTGTAGTCGTTCTAGGAACTCATGATTACAAATACATGTGTGCTTTTCCGTTGCTCTGACTAAAAGGGGACGTCAGTTTCTGGCCTCAATTTAAGATAAGCTAAGTGAACTTGGATTATTCAGATCATTCTGCCCTAAATGACCGCGGTGAGTAGTTCACCTAGGCGGGACGTAAACTCGTCGACACAATGTGCTGAACTACCCCCTCCTCTACAGTCCGTCAGCGTTGATTAGGAATGACCTCTTCCAGCCAACTTGTAACACGCTCTACCATCACCATCCAATACGTTTGCGTAGATGGCCTCATGATGTATGACGACCACAGACCTCTCATGATTGTCAAAGCAATCGGCAAAATCACTGGAGCCTGTGGCCACCAGAAACGGTTTTCTGGGGATGGGTAATTTCAACTTTATGCGTCAGTCATCTAATAGTCATTTGGTTCGATGAAATGTTCTCTACCATTTTCGCACACGAATGAATCTTTCTTTCCTCAAAAGATTGTAGAGTGATGCAGCGGTTTTGTTAATGGTTTTTATAAAGCAATTATGAAATGCTGCTCCCCCCGCAAACTGTCCTAACCACCTTTTAAAGGTCGGTGCTATTATTGTTTTGACAGTGAGGACTTTCTCGGGAAGTGAACTTATTTCATCTTCCCCAACTTTATATCCTAACAACATAGCAATAATCATAGATGTCTGGGTTTCATTATTATTATTATTCACAAATGGCTTATCGGTTCATGGGTGTAATGAAGAAAGACTTTGGTGTTTCCTCAGAAATTCAGTTATACAAATGTTGCGACTATGTTTGTATAATATTGGCCATATTTGAACAAGTTCTGTAGAGTTTAGAGGAATATTGAGGTCACTTAAAAGAAAGAAAGAAAAGAAAATGACAGAAAAAAGCGTGAAATAAGCGTGTTTGTGAATAAGAATAAGCAGTAATATATGTAATGAAAGTCAATCTTAAAAAATATAATAAATCGTGGTGAATATAGCCTTTTTCAAAGGTTCAGTTTATTCAAATAGGTCAACTCTGAGAAATGGTTTGATGATTCGTTTGGTAGTAATAACAATATACTTCTGGGAAACCAGTTACATGTCATTTTTACAGGGCATCAATCTCCAAATTATCCAAATCAGAAATGTTTTATATTTGTTGGAAAATAAATGATCAAGTTGGCTAGAGATCACTGGTTAGATAAGCAAGAGAAAGGAAACCTGTGGTTTGTGGTTGGTGGAAATCGTACGTGCCGTTCGCATTAATAATACCAAGCATACCTCCCTAAGTTAGTTAATGTGCTATTCATTTGGAGCTATTCATGGAATCTTTTCAGTCCCACTTGAGTAAATTATGCTGGCTACAATTTCCACTAGGCTTGTAGATTTATTCAGAAACCTCCACTCTTACCTGGTCCGTTTCCTGTTTAGTTTCTTTTTAAAATACTCTGTAGGGTATGAACCTAATGATATAAATGAGTGGGGGGGGGTTGCAATTAAACGCAACCTGTTTTCCAAGTCGTGGCAGTCTGTTTGTGATCAATCCAAACGAGGGTGAAATTACTATATCCCCTATCCTTGTAAGCGATGGCGGTCGGCTTTCTTCGTTCTGTGTTTCTATCCCACTGTTTCTTTTGTGCCTCAAATAATGCAATATTCCAAATGTTAGTGCAAATTTTCTTTGATTCAGCTTTGCTTTCTGGGTTTTTACTGCTGCTACTCAAGTCAATGTATTTCTTCATGCAAGCTCGCTAGTTTTATGTTATAAAATGTTTATCTGTTTCCACTTGGTATTGTTTGGCTTGCATCTTCCCATTGAGGTTCAAGACTGCAATTGATCAGTCTGTTATTGGCATATATGCATACTGTGCGTATGCCTCGATATTGCCTTAATTCCCACGCTTTTTGTAAGCAATGATGAATAGTGGCTAGTAGTGGAATCCAGAACGCGCGTTTCGTCGGCTGGATGTGCCTGCATCACAGAGTTGACGTTCACTCTGGGACTCGAACCCAATACCATTCGCTTCAAACGCCATCGCGTTATCCACTCGGCTACAGAGTTCTGATAGCCATCTGATTGTGCTAGCCACTATCCATCATTGCTTAGAAAAAGCTTGTGAATTAAGGCAATATCAAGGCATACGCACAGTATGCACACAGGCCAATAACAGACCATTCAATTGCAGCATTAAACCTCAGTGGGAAGATACAAGCCAAACGATACCAAATGAATTTAAATTCACCCCATTGCACAAACAAGTGGCTATCAGGACTCAGCAGCCGAGTTGATAACGCGATGTTGTTTGAAGCGAATGGTATTGGGTTCGAGTCCCAGAGTGAACGTCAACTCTGTGATGCAGGTACATCCAGCTGATGAGTCCCAAATAGGACGAAACGCGCGTTCTGGATTCCACTACTAGCCACTATTCATCATTGCTTACAAAAAGTTAATCTGTTTTGTTTTGAGTATTATTTTTTAGATATCGAAAGACGGAGTTAAATAAGTGTTGCTGCCGCGTGGGACTCCAAGTATCTGCATGTTCCTTCCTGACTGTCATCCATGATGTTATCGGGCGTAATGAAAGGAAACATTATCCAGTTGGTTATCTTCTTCAGTATTATGGATAATACTACTCCATAAACGAGTCAAGCTAACTCTGGAGGCCCAGTGGTTGTGGATACCAGTAATGTTTTCGAAAGTATCATGAGACCCAGTTGTCATAATGATTTTTGATGTTTTTCTATAGCCAGCTGCATTCAGTTAAGACTCAAAACACTCTTCTTCCAGAACTGTATACTGCTATTTTGCTGTAGCTATCCAGCTACCGATATTAACGCTGGGAAAATTGTTTAATGACAGTGATCTTGAAATGTAGTCAGAGCTAGACATACAGTCTACAAATAAACACTTAACATACTTATCGCTATCTTATAGTACATGACAGCAATAGCATTAAAGGCACTTCTTTTACTATTTACAAGCAGACTGATTTGAATCAGTACGCTCATTAGAAGCAGGCAGCTCTACTTACTAAACTGATCTGCCTCATTACATGCTTCAAGCACTGTACATAATTCTGATATAACTATATCGACTAGACTTAATTATACGATAACCAAGAGTAATAAAGTAAGCAGACGTCATAATTATTGTTTCATTTGCACAGACATGTTACTCAAAGTAGTTACATGTAGATAACTAACCCTATAAACCCAAAATACGAACTATAGGCCTTTAAAACGTACCTAACAGAAGACAAAAAATTGTTTTGAGGCTGAAGACAATAGTGACTTGCCCATATCAACATTATTTACAGCACTACAAAACCTTCTTCAGTAACGTTATTAACGATCTACTTGAAAAAAAATCAACGATGTGATTAAACTTTTAGTGATTTGGGATATCATTCCAGCATGCAATGCACGTCCGGCGTAACGCAGTCAAACGTGACGAATAGAAATTACAACCAGAGCAAGATTTACAGCACAATCTAGTTCTTTTTTAAAAAATACAACGTAATATGAAAAATCCTATGACCACATGAACGTAGACATGACCGTTATTACAATGGGCGATACATTGTGTTTACGTGGAAACGTTGCGTTTAAATCCACCCGTCTAGGTTCAGTGAAATGTCACTCAGCTTTGGCCAAATCATCCGGCAGTTGAGTTACTAAGTATCGAAAAGATCATCGACCCCTGTCAGGGTAAAGGACAACCAATATATATCAGTTAATCGTATGCTATGGACTGACCCGTGGGGTGGTGGTCTCGCCATCTTCTCTGTACTCATCCTTTCTAATATATTTCTATAATAACGTCTCTTGTGTTACACGGTCTTCAAAGAAGCCACAGTACTTTGATACGTCGAAGGTGTAATCTACGTTAAATACAATGACTTCGAAGTTGTCTGGTTCGTCACACCAGTCATGTTTAACTCGAGCATGCCTCCAGTCATTTGACATAGATCATCTACATTGGTGATCTACGTGATTATATGTAATAACACACGGATACATGTGCATAAACAGTGAAGCTACGACCTCCTTCAGGATTATTGACAAGTAACAACCAAACAAATATTACCGCGTTTTATTTAAAACAAAGAGAAGTTCTTGCCTTTCAACGAATAAATCCTACAAACCTGTGACGTTGATAGTTAACTCTGTAGTCTTAATGTGGATACGTAGGTAAAGGCACCCGGTCACCTATCCTCGCAAAACCATAACTGGGTAAGCCATGCAACGAACCTTCAACCCAACCCAAACACTCATCGACAAATCGCATGCCACTCAGTTATATCTCCGCACTCATTTTCGGACTTTTGGTAAGACTGGGCCTGGAATCTTTCGATTATAAGCGTGTTACAGACAAAAACATCTTCAAATCCTGAATATCAGAGGCATAATAAAAGGTAAACCTCCAGTCATAAGGATAGAATAAAAAAGTCTGTCATTGCATACGCAGGATGCTGGTTTGGATATTATAATCATCAGTGAAAGTCTTGGGGAAACATCAGCTTTCAATAATTGATCTTTCGTTATGAAAGTTTTAAAATACGTTTTAATTATCGCACCGGAAGTTTGAGGTCACAGGAAGCATCCATGTTGAAATTTTGGTGACAAAATTTAGGACCTCATTTAAACAATCTAATAAATGTCTGTTTTCGTCAGTATTATTTTCGTATTCTCATAGGTTTTGGAGCTTTTCGAGGGGTTTTGAGTAGTTCTATAAAATTCCCGCTAAATAGAACTTTATGCGGTGTGGTCGCTTTCTTGTCAAGGTAGTTTCTTCTTTGCAGGCGCGTACTATGAGGCTCTCACTAATTTCTAATGTTGACTTGCTTTTGTTTTGACATACTCTTCTTGCTTCGGGTTTTCATGACCGTTGAGTATGTGTAGGGCTTATATATATTTGTTATGGGTCATATAAATGACTACTTACGCATTAGCCGTGGCAATAAGTTTTTTGGACCTTCTGTTCCTTTAGTTAACAACAATATTAAATTTTCAATAAAGTTAGCAATGATAATGAACAATCTTCGTTTATAGATACACGATTATATTTTTGATTCTCAACATAGTTCTTCACAGTTTACTTTTTTTGCGTCTAGATGTTTCGGCTAGGTCCTTTTTCCTTTTATGGAATATTAAATGTATGCACAAATATTATAAATAATTCAGGTTTAATTGGCATAAAGCAAACTTGGCACTTTAAGGTAGTAAGGTATTTACCCTAAGCATAATGTATCTCTTTAAAAATGTATACATGCAGTAAGTTGTGTAGAACAAAACGAACTCAGCAAAATCTCGTCACAGCAGTTTCAAACAGTGTGTATTATAACTTTGACTGCATGGTGTCGATGATTAAACACAAAACAACATTATTTACGCGTTCATTTATTTAAAGGATTCTGCGAGCTGATTAATAACTACAGTTAAAGTATACGATTTCTTGTAGTCCAAATATTGCTTTTTAACGTTTGTAGGGAAGGAAAATAACATAAAATTGCGGAGGTGTGATTTCTAACGTAGTACGCGGTCATGCATGCAACATCGAAGCCTCATTTCTCTAAATCTAATTTCTGATCACATTCATAAAGAATTTTTAATCATCTGTAAAGTTCCCGTCAGCTTGTTTTCTTTTTGTCCGTACATTCGGTTTAAGTGGTAGCATTCTTAAAATATTTTCGTAAACTACACACCGGTGCTTTAAATTATACTTTGGTCATTGCATTTATTATATTTATGTCTAAGAAATCTCCAGTAATATTCTCTTAACTATTATGAGTATGTCACGATAAGCCATATGCGTCCGAATCGTTTAACTCTTATGTAAGTAGCCGAATCTTCTGAGCGTAAAGTAATTTGAAGTTAACTTCATTGCATTTTTCTTTAAATCTACTATCTTTCGTTCACGTACAAGTAATAACTGACTTTCGAACTTATGTAAAGCGTATGTTAGGAGTAAAGTTATAAAAAAGTTGGAAATCTTAAAATGCCTCCTTTTTAGTGACAAAGAAGTCCGAACTGTCTCAGTAGGGTCTTCAATTTATTTTTGTTATGTATTGTTATCTTGTTCTAAGGGAATAAGTTGTTTTGTTTTTATATAGGGCATTAAGGTCACTTAGGTATGTATTCTCTCTTTCATATCTACCCTCAATGAATTGACATATGTGATCCCAGATAGTCATTAAATCTGAAACCCACATGTAACGGTCCTCTATCTTTATTTATTTATTATTTCACTGTAGTATGACCTCAAACAATTCGAGACGACCTATACTTCCGAAAACACATTCGACTCTATCTGTTGTTAATCACAAGAAGTCTACTTCAGGAGTTGATTCGGTAATTCGATTTACAATTTAATTTTATACTATATATGGTTTAAATGTTCATAGTTTTTTTAAAGCTAACTAAAATTTAAGTAATTTGCATTTAATGTAACTCTTTAAAACTTGTGGTCAGTTGAAATCTAGGGTGCACGTCTCATCCTTTTCAATGTGTCATGAAAATCTACCAATACTTGTGCTTGCATACCGATAGATACTTGAATATCGTACTCTTATTGTAAAGTGCTTGTGATACCAACTCCTCATGTCCTAGATATTAGTTATCGTTAACTTTTTAAGTTTATCAGATTGAATTGGTTGGCTATTCGTGTGTGGATTTTTGGCTTATCAACATCAAGTAACTCAGAAACATTATCGGTTTATGGATTTTATCATTAGTTTAATACAATCTACATCGATGTGTTATAATTTTTTAAGTGAGTGATTTTCAAGTTATTTATTTATAACTGGACTTAGTCTCATTTGGTTTGTGGTAGAATCAAGCCGTGTTAATTTAAGATTCATACGTCCATTGTGTTCACTACATTCTTTGGAACATCTGTTGTTGAGAATTTCAAGCACCCAATAATTAGTTCTTTTTTAGGCTTTTCTATAAATCACAAAAGCTAATGATTTCTGGTGGCTAGTTGCAAGTCGACCTTTTTGATTGGGAGCCTCGACCAGTGACAAGTGAACTGAGTCATGTTGGTAGGTGTAGACTACCTGGTTGGGGACCACGAGATGATAGCAACCGATGGTTAGAGACCCTGAATGACATGGCTCAAAATCGTTTGCAATGGCGCAGGTGCATCCACTCATTGTGTTCTCCCAAATTCTATCTAGCACTAGGATTTGAACGACATTGTATCTCTGTGCTAATTGGTGTGGCAACTCGAACTGATGTACGTACGTACGAAGTTCTACGTTGTTACTGACTGACTGACTGACTGACTTTGATTGTGAAGCCCGACATATATTGACCAAATGCGATAGATTAGTACAAGACGTTTTAATCAGTAGTACTTTCGCGTTATTTAATTAGTTCGCTATCCTTGATAATTCTTCCGAATGTTTTAGCATCTGGATAGTTATCAATTTGATGTTATCCTAACAATATAATCAATCCCTATACTGTTGATATAATTTGAATTTGATTATGCCAAAGTTAGATTTATAAGTCTAGGAAGAATGAACGTATTACAGACGTTGTCTGTACATTTCTCCACCATTAAATTGGATTTCCATATTTTAATGTTTCCGTAAATATCACGTGGTTCGAAACAGTAAATTCTAACTATCAGAATGGATTTAGAGTTTTAATATCACTTTCATGAATTTGTGCTAGCATAAAACATGTTTTCTGTCTTAAGTGACATCTTGTACTATCTTTTTTTTCAAAGACTCCATTAACAAGCGCACCGTCGTCTTCATCGTCATCATTGTCTTCATTTAGAGCAATTGCCCCAAAATCAAATCAGGATCACACAGTGATTATCACTCCCGAAGTGGTCAAACAAAATGAGTCTAGTGAAGATGTTGTTCACTATTGTGATATTGAATCAAGTAGTCAGGATTTCAACCCTCTTAGAAACTATCGTTCAATATATGCTAATAACGTCGTACCTCGTAGTTATTTGAGAGTTACGCACCAACGGGTTCTTTTACCGTCTCATACAATTCCTCGAACTCCTATTAACTCTGATACGCTTCCATCTGGACCATCTAGTTCTGGCTTTAATGTTAATAAGAAAGGGAGTCTACGTCCAGTGGTTAAGTTTCTACTTCGTATAGGTAAGTTGGATCTTGAGAAGGTTCCATGGAGTTGATTTGTAGCACCATGTAACATTTTGAATGTATTTAATATCAGAATTTAATCAATACAACTTGATATTTAGATACATATTCAGATAATAAAAATTCAGCCATGTCTATTGAAAGGGCTAAATACACCAATCGAATTGGGATTGGGGTTGAGATTGTAATATATTAAGTGGAATTAGTGTACTTAGACCACTGAACCTCAGGTCCATTAGTTTTGTAGTTATGGATTAATTTTTCTGAATATTCTGTAACAATAAAGCCACTAGATTTTACTTATTTTAAAAATTTGATTACTTCAAACCCGGTAGATGTCGAGACCTACTCTGACGACAACCATTTTAACTTTTTTTATTTAACTTGTTTTTTGCTTTTGTTCCATTCCCTCTTCATTTATATTAAGCGCTGTACAATCATAAATTAGTAGTCTCAGTAGTAGTTGGCCCTTGATCATCAGCTTTGAATTCGAATTTATTCCCTGCTTATTATCACCTCCAGATTCAAGTAAACTTATAAGGCATGATACATTATATATGTATGTGTATGGCTATCGGGTAATTGTAGGAACTTGTATCTTTTTTTGATTAGGTTAGATCTTTTCACTTTGTAGATATTCTCATAATTGACCTCTATTTTATAATAACGTGGTGTTGCCTATTATCACCAGACTTTTCTCTGAACACTTCTCCCTAAATACAATTAACGATCGATATTATTCCTGAATAAATCTTCAGCAGGCTTTAATATGTAGAGATATTTGTCTTCATATATGAGACACTAAACCAATGGATGGCATACCAAGCTTGCAACCAGATAACTTAACCAACGAGTTAACGAGCACTTGTCGTTCCATCCCATTTTGTCGATACTGGTCATGTAGTAGATAAAACCAAAGTATCTAGTAATTATGAGTGAGTTGAAACTACCCACCCTTTTTCACATAGACGATACCTATGTCGAAAACCGAATGGTATCCATCACTGTGTTTCTTAATGCGTATTTCGTTATTAGTGATTTTTATGATTAGGATAAAACATAATCTTACCAATTATAATGACTATTAAAAGTTAGTCTGAAAGTTTCTATGTGGTTAGAATGTAGTTGATGCTGAGAAAATATTTTGATGTAATTATACTAACAATTAATAGTCTCATTTCATTTTTATTTTTTCAAACACATATTTTGTTTTCATAATGCTTTTCGTTCGTTCACTATGCGTCTGAAATCTATGAATGTATTACAGAAAAGTAGGAATTCAAACTATATACTTTGTCATAAGTTTAAAGTCAACTCAAATTTTCAGGATTTGTGCTTTCAATAACTAAGTTGTTAGTTAGCTGAACTTATTTATCAAGTTCATTTATTTAGCTTTTAGTCACAATTTTGCATAAGAACTGGTATTACTACGTGGTTGCCTAAACCCAATTAATGAGAGCTGTGTTCATACTTTGAAACTAGTGGGCGAATTCAAGCATTTAATCATCAAACCACCCCGTCATTACCATATAGTATCATCATACCTCACATCTGGTCTACAAATATGCAAAGAATTATCGAGTTGCATTCTTTCAGTCCTGATGTTTGGTTAAACCAAAAAGCTTTAAGGATAATCCCGTCACCGGGTTTTTGGAATTACTGTATTGAGGAACCATACTAAGATTGATTTTTGTGTATTTTTGAATCATTCGATAATAGTGTAATTTCGGTCATTATATTAGCCCAAGTAATTTAGAAACCAGACCCGTCTTGTTTGTAATTATGCATAGTTACCATGACATATTTGAAATTGTGACTTATCCGAATTCTAAACTTAGCATTAGAATGTACTCTTCATTGCACGGTAAAACTTTGAAATAACGTATATTGTTCTTGACTTATAAATATTTGGTAGAAGGATAGATTTGTAGTTTTAGGAAAGATCAAAGTCAATCAGTATAAAGTCATTTGAAATCGGTCATAAAATTTACTCACTGAGCATCAGTGTATTGCGATATTCATTCTTAAAACAGTCAATATTTAATATTGACCTAAACTACTCCCAATTTTAATGTTTTTTGCCTGCCTAATTATTTGTTGCTCATTTTCAGGTTCAGCACTTGTGCGCTCACAGTATGAGCCAGCGGTTGGTAAAGAAGTAACTCCCCACCAGTTATTGAGTAATCGACGTAAACGCAGACGTGTTGATGAGGAACCAACTCGATTATCTACAGATAAAATCAGTATAGAAACTATCAACATTTCTCATTTAGAATGGAAACCAAAAGCGCGTCATCCACGTTGGGAAGACATATGGAATTATTGTCATCATTGTCGTTGTCCCTATGTTCCTACATCTGCTTTAGAATTATTACGACATCTAGAACGAGGTCACCAGAAACTAGTTAATGTTAATTCACTAGTGATACCTAAAAAAACACGGCTTGAAAAAGTAGATTGTAATGAATGCATACTTAATGCAGCAGAGTTATTGGGCAATAAACTGATAAGCCGATTTTATATCCCACTCACTGTAAATATCTTCGATTCCTCTTCAAATATATCACCATATACATGTTTTGTCTGTGGACTAGTGAATAAGTCTCAACGTTTACTAGAAAATCATTTCCAACGGTTAGTACAATGTTTTTTTTATTTTACAGTTGCTTCGTTGCATCCTTTCTACCATATAGTGGTAGTATCAATGATAATAAACTGGATATTTATTCATATAGAATTAACTCACTTTTAGATTATTGTGTTACTTTGATACACCTAAAAATGTCCCCCTTTTATCTCCATAGGATATAGGCGTTTTTGAACAGAGACACCTTTATATTATATAACGTAGATGAATTGTTAAGATCTCTGTATACAAGTTAGCTACTCTTAGTGCTTAGTATTCTGTGGACACTTCGCCTCACTTGACTGGTCTCCAAAATCAGAACACGGTTTGGACAAGTACGTAATTAAATTCCAAATAAATCAACTTGAATTGGAGTGAATTCCAGTAAGAAACACGTTATCATGTTTATAATTTTACACCCTGTCGCTAATTGGCTGAGAATAGGCCAAGCACCGTGCCCCAAAACAATTTTTAATGGAACATGTTTTACTTCAATGTATATTCTACTAACACAAATCAAGTAGTATCACATATGTTAAAAATGAAGTAGATTATACTTAGTATAAGATGCTTACCTGTTTAATTTAGTTTAAATGTCGTCATGAATACCAATTTTTTGTTCGAATACAAGTGTATTCAACTGGCTGGTTTTGAGTAGTATGAAACACTAACCGTTTTTACCAACCATTATTTATTACTCAGTATTTTAATCTATTTAGAAGTTATTTTACTTCACGTTATTGCAGTGTAACTAGCCTCGGGGGTCTCAAATTGATAAGTAGTTAAAATAGCCTTTAAGAAATTAGAAAGTTAACTGTTAATATATACAATTAATATTTACTTATTATTCAGTGGTGAGTTTGTGGTCTCACTATAGTTTCATTGTAATATGAGTTACATGTACGTTTTATAATTTTGTTCTTAACCCTAAGGTTTCGATACAAAAGAACCCCAACTCAGTTCACCACGTAGTGTGAATTGACAACACCGAAGAAGTAGAATACAGAGTAAGAGTCATGTCCATCAATAGAGTACAGTCAAGCGAAACAACCAAAATATATTTCGTTATTTTAAGATATGCGTTTCAAATCTTTCGATTATCCGATGAGTAACCCCAACAGGATCAGGATTGCTTTTATTTTAAACTATGTCTGATAGCACTTCAATTCACGGAGTTGTGTAATATTCACTACCCTACTCTAGAAGTGGTGACGGATCAAAGTGTCCTACATGGTTACCTTTCATCCCACTAGGCCTTGACGGTCTCTCATCATTTTGTACTCAATCCCAGGTATAGAAGCTACCGGTAGGATATGTCCATGCCACCTTATCTGGTATTCTAAAATTGTGGCACTAGTCAGTTATAATCAACATCGATCTCAGCATAGTTACTCGTTAATCTAAGTCCCCATACCATACTAGTACAATGAGATGAAGTTAACAAGATAGGTGGTAAACAAGTCAGAACAACATCTGGGTTTTTGTAACCGATCCTGAGTTGTTACCCAAATTCTCCAGCTACTAATCCTGATTATCGTGTGGACTTCAACTAGGTATTCTGTAGATACGAACATGGCTCAGACCAACAGTAACTTCGTGGACTGATCCCAGGTTTTGGTTCGGCCGTCCCTAGCTTCCAACTCGTACATCAGATAACACCTCCCGTCTATGTTGTCAGTGGTTAGTGTTATATAACACATTTTCCGTTGGTAAAGACTCTACCTTATCAACCGGATTTCCGTATTTCCTTAGCACCCTATGCATAAACACAACATTACTCGGTTGTTTTATCATACGCAAGCAATGCTTCAAATACATCTATTACTGAACACTTAAAGTCTACTCATGTCTTTTATTTTCACAAACCATGTTTCCAAGGCACAGAGTACTGCAGAGCGGACTGCTCAGTACAACTCCTTTTTAGTTGGGGTAAGGAAGTCCCGCTTACGCCACAAGTGCCGAGATTTCGTCAGACACCTACCCACTAGAACTAACGTGCTTCTTAAGTTATATAGTTTTGCTGACGCAGTCAGGCCAGGTTTCTATGGACCACTCGTAAATGAATAATGTACCTAGTTCTTGCTTGTTTAATTCAGTATATCTGTCTGCTTTCATTCCAATCTTTCTATTTCTACTTATCGGTATATATATTTGATTGTTAAGTAGCTTTACTCCAAGATATTGACGATGGTAGATTATAGAAAGTCTATACAATTGGAAAGGTTATTTGCCCAATTGTTTAATCTTGATGGATATTGATTTCAAATGGTGTAATTTTATCTATAACCAGGTTGTCGATGTGTAACTTTCAACGCCTTTGGTAGATTTACGTCTGACCTGCAGGTAGTTTGTGAGCTGGAGGAATATACAGAGCTGTGTGTGTAGAGAAATCTGGAGAACACGAGGAAAAGTGAACCGACAACCCACTAAACACTTATGATACACTTGCATTTAATGGTGAAAGCAATCTTCAACAATTAGCAAGTTCACGTCAGTGAAGTTAAAACTATCTGGAAATCGAAACTAGAAGTTGGTAGATTAATACTTTAAATGTTTTCTCAATTAAACCTGAAAGCATCTACAATCCAATTATTTGATGTATAGCTTAAAGTGTACATAGAATATAGTAGTTGAATGAATGCAATGAACTTGGTACAGTATAAAAGAGAATAATTGTAAGTATTGAAATCATTGTTTTCTTTTATTTATTTAAAAAATAATTATAATTGCAGCGTGCATCCACAATTAACCCCTGGTCGTATAGAAAAACCAACAGTTACCTTATGTTCTATATGTGGCTTCCCTACACAGACTAATTTAATTAGACATTCTTCTCATCACTTGCACTCTGATGTCTCAATACATGTATCATGTAAAAGTAATTCGTCAATACATAATAGTGCTCCATGGTCAGGATGTGACGCTCACGCACTAGCCTGTCTTATGCTTTATCCTACTATGTATGCTCGATTTGGTTTACCTTTTCATGTTGCTCATTTTCTCTATGCATTAATTCAACGTATGTTAATGGCTCGAATAAATCAATTTGGTGGTTGGAGTGTTCAGTCTTATACTTTAAGATGTTGTGCAGCAATATCAGCCATTTATGGTGAACTTGTTGATCCAGATCAAGGTAAACCACTGATTCAATCAAAAATGAGAATTTTAGAACACAATAACAGCTTAAAATCTGTATTCTCAGAAGCATCGACTCCTTCGTAAGTTTTTTGTTTAGTACATTTTAAAACTGTTTATTACATTTTTATGCTTTGATTTAATAGAGTTTGATGATTCTCATATATTATAGGTTAGTGACAATTTAGACACGATACCGTCTGTTAATATAGGGATATTTTATAAATTGCATAATCTCAGTTTAAATCACGAACTGATTACAGTTCGCCATTAAAAACCTGGAAGCACTGGCTAACCGTTTCGTTTTAGTATGGGACTCCTCGGCAATGTAAACATACGACCTTACATCAGTGAGGTTAGGCGTTCGCGTGAGACTGAAGGTCCTGGGTTCGATTTACGGGTTCTGAGTTGTGGATGCTCACTGCTATGAAGCCGCTACTAGGATGGGACGGTCGTCCAGTGCTTCCAAGTTTTCAATGATGGTCTTAAATCAGTTCGTGATTAGAACTGTGAAAATATACAATTTTGTCGTGTTTTTTTTGTGGGAAAATATACGAATTTAGTTCGCTAAATAATTGTTTAACTTAGTACGTACCGAGAGTATTTAATGATTTTCCTTAGTTTTTCTTCACTCATTCCCCTACGCATTAAAATAGAAGTTTTCCCGAAACTAGTCACCAGGAAGCCCTGAATTCAGGCCTCGTGCTAGTTGGCACTTCTCAATAATCTGTACCTGCAATTTGAAGGAATTAACTCTGTACGCTTCAAATCCGCGTCACCCAGCTATGAAGTTAGTTTTTACCACTAAGCTATTTCGATCACAAATGACTTCCTAGAAAGTTGAAATATTTACATTTGACTGGTTACTACTCTCGTCAATCAATCGGAAGTTTCCTGTTATTCAAAAATGTCATGTACTATATTTTCATCCAAATAAAGGCATCCAAGTTTGAGTTCAGTGTTAATTATATATTTACATTAAAGTAAATAAAAATAGTCATAATAACTAAGAAATAGCAATTTATTTTATTTTGGTTAGCACATTTTGGTACAACTGGGCACTAAAAGGGGTAAGTTCTACCACACAAATAAAGGAATGAGATTGTGAGGAAATATTGGAGGAGAGGGGTTGTACGATAGAATAGAAGGTGGACACGAATGGGATGACATTCGTGTAATATGTTTAATTTTTGTAATAGAGTCGATGTAACAATAATATTGGTAAAGGTGTCTAAAGGGGACTGTTGAATCATATTCGTATATGGAGTTGTGTTTTTGGGTTTTTAATAACCATAAGAAGCTGCCGTATTCTCTTATTTAAAATAAAACCAGAGGATAGACCAATATACATTATTGTGTTGGTAAGACAAAGAGGTAAATAAATACTGTGATGCTTTGTACGGATAGGAAAAATGGTTTGATCAGCATTGGCGAAAGTATAAAAATCAATCTAAAAAATAAAACACGAAGTTTGTAGCTCGAAGTCAAGTACATGGACTTGCGTTTGGTTGCTATGTTACATTAAATTGAGAAAATGACTGGTTAGTAGTAGAAAATCTACAGAGAAATAAGGGCTACTCATGAGTAACATAGATGAAATTGCATAAATATTATTTCCAAGCTTCTATGCTAAGTCTTATCGTCTAGTTTTTTTGCGGTATTGATATTCCCTAATTTGGGGGAATTCGTGTGAATATCTACATGGAGTTCTCAATTTTATTCAGTGTTTCTCGCTTCATTCGTCAGCAACATTTAGTAACTCAAATCCATACTCGTCATTATCATTTATCGCCATAATTTCCTCTTTGTTTCTCCTGTTACAAGATCCTGTAATCTAATTAATGTTAGATTATGAATTGAAGATATGAAAATATCTGTTGCGTTTGTATTTTTGAAGTGAACGGTTTAAAACGACTTTGAGATCATCATAATTACATAATATTACACAGCTATGAGGGGTGTCATAGTTGCTGAAGCTAAGAAATATGAGCACTCGATATTCATATTACGAATAATGTTTTTAAGTTGTTGTTCACGTTTGATAAAATCTCTAAATAGTTTTTAACTCGCGTATAAAGTCCTAGTTAAGAGAGGTAAGTCGTTTGATAAGATTGTTAACGAACACAAAGTAAGATAATTAATATTCATGTTACGTCATTAAATTTAATTGGTATTGTAGACTTCATTATTAACATATTATGAGAAAACCTTTGTACAGTCGTTTCTAGTAAAAGTATTAATTCTGTAATAAGAAGGTTTCCATTCTTGTTTTACCTTCAGAGTGCTTATATAATCTTTATAGTTGTTAAGATATGTTAGAGCTGGTAGCCTCATTCTCATCTCTAAACTCATAAATTCGTCATTACTACTATAGTAGTAGAAGTGGCTTACAATTAATACATATGCTTATATTGTTTTGTAGAAATGATTTGTGACCCAAGATTGTTTAATAAGGAATATTTTGGAAATAATTACAAAAGTCGTGCTTGTTTACGATCATGGTCAGGTTGTTGTAAAATGAAATGTGACATGTAAAGAACAGATATACATGAATGAATTTTCTGAAAGGCGTGGTTTCTATTTTTTGTTGTTGAAAGAACATTTGTCGAAAGGATGTGAAGCAGCAGTTGAGAACCAGTAGTTTCTCAGTATGTGAACTGGAATATCATTTATTAGAGTAAATAATGTGACTAATAGCGATCGTACTTTCGTTACACGGTAATTATACCCATCTAAAATAAGAGAAAAGAAGGCGAAAGAACAGAGAATGGCTTATTTCGGGTGACGCTTAACATAGCATTCATTCATTTTATCTTTTTTAAACATTCCATACAACCAATTTATTTTTTTCTTAGATTCCATCGAGTAAAAAAATTGTATTTCTGATGTTTTGCGACTTAAGATAAACCACTTCATCAGAGTAAATAATTGACCGAATCAAATTAACACGAGTTTAAATAGTAAAAAGGAAACAACGTAGAATATTTCTAGTACAATCAAAATCATAATGGGTCTGAATATACCAATGTCAAATTATTCTTGGTCAAGGTGAATTTATATGACCTGTCACTGTATTAATTTGTGTATCAGAAGGTGGATATGAAAAATGTATGCATTTGTGACATGAAACAGCACGGTTGAAACTGAGCATGTTGTGTGTGTAGACTATGTGTATAGAAGTAGATGGGATTTTATCTTTTATTCTGACTAAAGCGTTTCTTAGTGTTGGTCGTCTTATAGAAGGCTTTGGTTTTGTAAGCTTCCAAGATCCGTTGTAAATCTTCTGTCGTACCTAAATGGCAAAGTAAAACCACAGTACCAACCCGAGATCTTTCATTAGAATTATTATTTATATAAGGATAATTTTGTTTTAATGTTTTTATAATATTCTTAGGGAAATTATCAAATCATAGGATGCTTATTGTATCATTTTTTCATTAAGCATGTATTCTGAATTAATGATATTGGTCGCTCTTCTGAATTGTTTATCCAAACAATCATATATGACTTTATTTACTTTCCACACAATCTACATACACAATATACTCAACTTCAACCGTGCTGTTTCATGTCACAAATGCATACATTTTTCATATCCACCTTCTGATACACAAATTAATACAGTGACAGGTCATATAAATTCACCTTGACCAAGAATAATTTGACATTGGTATATTCAGACCCATTATGATTTTGATTGTACTAGAAATATTCTACGTTGTTTCCTTTTTACTATTTAAACTCGTGTTAATTTGATTCGGTCAATTATTTACTCTGATGAAGTGGTTTATCTTAAGTCGCAAAACATCAGAAATACAATTTCTTTACTCGATGGAATATAGCAAAAGGTATATTGGTTCTTTCATTCAACCATTAAAATGTTGGTTTTGTGTATATCTCTTTTATAGAACTGTTTCTTTTTACAATTCAACTCCCGCACAAATAAGGACATGCAATTCTAAAAGTGCTATACCTATTTCCCTATCAACTGTATTAGTTTCATCGTCCTTACCGATTCAGCCATGTTTTGCTTCATCATCGTCTAGTGTAAATCTAACTAATATATCATCAGTGTGTATTTTACCTAATTCTTCTCCCATTACTTCCGTTTCTGATTTGGTATCGAAATCTGTGGCAGGCTCCATATTACCATCTGTTTTAGTTAGTCAACCTACTACAACTCCATCTGTTTCAGTGAAACATACTTTGCCTTTTGAACCAATGCCTCCTGTTTGTGTTACAATCAGTAAACAGTCTAACCTTTTTATGCATGGAAATACACAAATCCCGGCTACAACATCATCATGGTCTATTGTATCGTCATCAAATCCAACTCTTTTATCTTTCCTCTCTTCCAACCAATCGAAAATTCCTATTCAACCAAAACCTGTCATACCAGTTTCTGTTGGTTTAGCATCTGATAATTTATTACAACAACAATCTTTACTTACTAACAATGGAGATAATACTATTCGTGTTCAGGTGGGACCTAGTGGTCAAATTAGGCGATGCCTGGGAAGTCAACCGCGTAGTTTACCTCGTGTTTTGCCAATGTTAGAAGTTCCGTGTGAACTGTGCCCTTCCAATATTCCAACGGAAACAATTGTTCAAAGTTTTCACGTTATGTCTCGTCATAGAGTAAGTATTAAGCTGCAAAGCACAGTATAAAATATTTCAACAGGTTCCTCTTATTCTTTATATGTATCATACAAATATATATATATATATATATATACAATAAATGTCTATATAAAATTAGGTGAATTTTTCATAAGAAATAAAAAAATTTTTACATTAACGAGTAACATGGATGCAATATTTTCTGCTGCTGCTAGTACCTGTTACTACTTCTACTATTTTAGTAATTTTCTAGATAGTTTTATATCATCGTGCTAATTTGTTTTGATATGCTGCAGCAACTTGAATTTATACATGTACTTGGTGGCCAGGTTCTACAGTTGCTTATGACTAACTGACTAAACGATAGGTTTTTGGTTATTTCACCTCTGTAAAAAATTATTGTAACATTTGCTTATTTATTAAATATGGTAAGAAATCTGCCAACCTCATAGTTTAATCAGTACAACTCTGAAATGAAGGCGTATCCAGGTGGAGAGTTCCAGATAGAATGAAACATTCACTCTACATTACACTGATAGTCACATTTCAGTTTTTCTAATCAATACACTATACCGATTTCGTAATCGTTCATATTCTAGACTGAAACATGCAACTAATTTTTGTGTTGTACAGTATATTGATGCTCCGACTGAGATAAATGTTTTAGTTGGTAACTCGATGATAATAAGTTGGATAACTAGATTTGGATGGTGATTTTTCTCTCTCTCGAAGTTGTCATCTTAGGTTATGTGAAAAATGCCTTGGTGTTCCTTTGTACCAAGTGTCACTTAAGTTATGATAAAATACATGTATTACTAAATAGTTTTTTGTTCTGCTAATGTGACTTATATGCTCTGCACTCGCTAGTTACATCATATTTAGGATATGTAATAATCCATTATATAATATACTAATGATAGCTTAGTCGTTTTCTCAAGATTCTTCGAGTCAATTTATATTTGTTAGTTAAGAGCTAATATGTGTTGTCTTTAATTAATTAAGTGGTGGTTTGTAATATCTTGCTATTTATCACTTTATATCAGTCCACAGAATTGTACATGAATCACTTTAAAATTAACTTGTGGTCTACATTTTTCTCCAGTGTTTTGATGAACAAAACCAGCATTAAAATCAACGAATAAATGTTGGTCTAATTGTGCTTTTTAAACTGTTACAGGACATTCACATGTAATGGATGGACGACAGATGGATAAGCCAGATGCATCAATTTTATTTACTCGATAGTTTCATCAGATGTAAAAATTGATTTGATGATATGCACTTATGATATATACTTAGGATCATTATTGTTCACCAGTAGGCTTCTATATATCTTGCTGATATACAGACATCAGAGTAGATCCAGACTCTAGAAATCTTTATGTTTACAAGTACAAAATTTACTCTATATATTCTTTCATATTGGGGTATTATAAAATCTTAGTATTATTATCACTTAATGAGATTGTGTCGTCTGCATTCTTCAAATTGATTTGAGGTTCTTTGAGTAGACAAAAACTGGTTCGCAAAAATAGCATTATCTTTATTGGGGTATCTGTGGTAAGTGTTCAGCAATGTGATTACAGTGGACAGATCATTAGTCATTCTTACTTTTTGTTAAATAGCAATTACATACTACTTATGTCTGTCAACATAATTAGCATACACCACACTATTATTGGAACAAAATTGTTGAACAATGCCTTCAGGATGACTGGCACTACAAAAAGACCTGATTAGTATATAGCTGAATGATCATTTTTTAATATGATATGTGTATCCCTCGAGTTGATACTTATAGTTAGTTAGTTTGAAGATGACCATCAGGTATATTGCCCCAATATGATTGTTTGTGATTAGTATTTAGCAAAAAGTTGTGATTACTAGTGGGTTATTTTTGTTTAAATTCATTAATGACAGATTCGGTATTCTAAATCATAGAGATCCATTTACTTTGCCACATTTTATGTATATTTTTTATTATTTCTTACTGACTATCACTAAATTGGTCAATACTTATTCACATTGTTTAATTATTAGTTAAATTAATTGTCATATGATTCATTTTCATGTATATTCTGTGACGACGAATACTCAGGTTAAAGGTTTACGACATATCCCAACAATTCCTTGTCGTTTATGTGGTCAATTATTTTGGACAAAGGCTGGCGTAATCCGACACCAACATGTTAGTTGTGGATTTTGCGATGAAAAAGCACTGTGTAATTCAACTTATTATCTACATGAAATTATTAAGCATCCTGTAAGTTGAAGTTCCATTGAATCGTTTATTGTGTTTCCTTTTCTATTTACTCACCTTTTTGTTATACAATTCTCTATAGATATTTCAAGATATCAATGGTGTTTATAAAGATTATGATAGCTATGTTTAATGATTATCTTGCTGTCAATCTTAGCAAAAAGCCTGAAGCCTCATTTATGGCTCAAAACAACCGAAAATGAACTACTTTTGCGTTTTGGTCTTGATTGTTTCATAAGTTTTATCCAAATACCCAACATAGAGAGTGTCATGAAATTAGCAATGTCTGGTCATGGCCATGCCAATGAGACTTTAAGCTGTCTAGTTTTTGTTAATAAATGTAAATCTATTTTCTGTAACAACAATCGCAATAATATTTTTGAATTCATAGTTTCGCACAAACTCCACTGTTTTCTGATCGACCGTTAAAACTTTTAGTTTAGCAATTTTCGTGTCCTATGTCATACTTTGTTACTATATATAGAGGGGTATCCCTTCTCGATTTTGACTTCTGTTCAACATGTAAACCTCTTCTGATGTTCCATGTTCTCTATCTCTTATTGGGGCGTGGATTATTAACTCTGAATTGTTGTTGTATGTCGATGACCGTACTACCAAGTTCTTATTAGAAAAAAGAATTCTTGATATTACGTAATTGAAAATTACCGTCTGGCCAATCGAGGAAACACCGCCAGCATTTGTTACGTAATTAATTGAAAAATGGATCGAGATTATGTTTTTCTATCTCGGTGTACCGCTTTTACAAATGATTGGAAACTAATGTGAAATTACCCACTTGAAGGGTATATTCATAACTATGAAGCTCAGCGGTTGTCTAATCGTTAAAGCGTCCGACTTTCAGCTACTTAATCGTATATTGAAGCCCCTCCCCACCTACTTCGACTTGGGTAAGCTGCTAGTATCACTAGCCCCCACACTTAAAGTGTTTCTCGAATTCAAGTACACGAATTTATGTACCTACCTTTCCACGGCGTGGGCAGCCGGGAAGTGACATCAGCCTTCATACCCGTAACAGCACACGAGACCAAGTTGGTCACAGTCAAATCCTCCCCACACCTAAAAACTCTCTTATCTCAACTACTAACCCTCCTCACGTCTCTTTATCACCTCGCACCGCTAGAGCAAACGATTCGAGTACGCGGAACGTTATTCCTGGTCTCCTGAAACCACGCTCTAAACGACACGTAGGAGCTTTTAACGTCCGAACACTGTGCCAAATAGGACAACAGGCTTCCTTAGTTAGGACTTTAGAATCTCGTGCCATTCATGTGTGCTGCGCCTCTGAAACGCGCATACAGGATCCGAGTAGCGTCATTCATTTGACCTTACCATATCAAAACAAAGAACCATTTCGATTCACGCTTCGTGTATCTGGAAGCCCTGATTCTGCTTCCCGTGGCCTCGCTGGCTTAGGTATAGCATTGAGTCCTAGGGCAGAACTAGCTCTCTTAGAGTGGATCCCAGTAGACAGTCGTTTGTGCACTGTCCGACTAAACGAAACAGTAAGGATCCGAAAAGATAGGGACACTCGTCGTTGCCTTTTCGTCGTTTCTGCCTATTCTCCCACTGACTGCAGCTCGGATGATGTAAAAGATGAGTTTTACAGAAAGCTCTCCGGCCTTCTCCGAAAAGCTAGGCGCTCGGATGTAGTAATAGTGGCTTGTGACTTTAATGTTCAAGTAGGTAAACTAAGCGATAGAGAAAGACACCTAGGTGAATCTTATAGCATCGTGGCTCAAAGAACAGATAATGGCGACCGTCTGTTGCAGCTATGCTCAGATAACCGTCTGTTCCTTGCAAATACTAACTTTAAGCATAAGGAAAAACATTTTTTAACATGGCGACCCCCTAATTCGTCCCAATGTTGGACCCAAATAGATCACATCGCTATCAGCCACCGATGGAGGGGCTCGATAGAAGTCTGTCGCTCATTCTGGAGCACATGCTCTAGTTCGAGCGCGTATCTGTCTGCGTCTTACTGGACGTAGGAAAGACGCTGCAAGGAAACCTCTTAGGGCCCTACTTAATGATAGTCAAGCTAAGAGTATATTTCAGGAACAACTAGGAAAACAGTTAGGCAGCCATGCATGTGATGCCCATCCGAAAAGCTGTGGAAACAGCAGATATCTGCTAGTAAGGTAAACCAGAAGGTTAGGGAGCAACACTGGATCTCAGCAGCATCTATCGCACTGATAGATGCTCGGAAACTCATTCTACCTGGCTCTGAACATAATGAAGAGCGGAGTCAGCTTAAGCACAAGCTGAAAAGAAACCTACCCAATGATCGCGAACAGTGGTGGGTGGCGAAATCAAGAGAGATGGAAAAGACAGCGGCAATAGGTAATAGCAGACAATTGTTCAGACTCGTTAAGGAAACCGGAATTAGGAACCCGACCGTTAGCGAAACAATCTCAGAGAAAGATGGACATATTATTCATTCTCAATCCAGGAGATTGGATCGATGGGCAGAACACTTTAGGGATCAGTTCAACTGGCCTTCAGCCACACTTCGGTTTCCCACGATCTCCAGTCAACCTGGATGGCAAGTTAATATAAGTCCTCCAACTCTTTATGGAGTTGAAAAAGCTATTGGAAATCTGACAGGTTTACTCCTGAGATTTTTAAAAATGGTGGTCCAGTATTAGCAATGAGATTAACCGAGGTCTTAGGTAGAATTTGGGAACTGGACTTAATCCCATCTGACTGGTCTCAATCACTGATTGTGCCAGTCTATAAGAAAGAACAAAAGTCCTCTTGTGACAATCACAGAGGAATCAGTTTGACTAATATAGTGTCTAAAATATTAGCTTCAATAATACTTCGACGCCTAACTAAACCTCGTGAAGAGCAGACTAGAGAAAATCAGGCTGGTTTTCGATCTGGACGTGGTTGTATAGACCACATATTCACACTACGTCAGGTTCTAGAACACAGACACACGTTCAGACGCCCCACAATGGTAGTATTTCTCGACCTTAAAGCAGCATTCGAATCTGTCGATCGTAAGGTTCTATGGCAGTGTTTGTCACTGAAAGGAGTACCAAAGAAGTACATTAACCTTGTAAAGGCTCTCTACTCGAACACAACTGGTAGAGTGAGAGCTTATGGCGAACTGTCATCAGAATTGATCACCTCAAGTGGTGTTCGTCAGGGCTGTCCACTCTCCCCATTCTTGTTCAACTTTGTGGTGGACGTACTTTTAGAGATAACACTCTCCTCATCTAAATTTCCAGGGGTTGAACTTCTACCGGGAGGTTCACTTGTTGACTTAGAATTTACCGATGACATAGTTCTATTTGGTGAAGACGCTAACAAAATGCAGTCTTCTGACCACTCTAAGCAACAATGCAAGCATGTTCGGGATGCGATTCTCTCCCTCGAAATATAAAATGTCGCTTCAGGATTGGGTTGCATTGACACCCGAACTAATGATAGGGAGTGAAGTAATTGAGCGTGTCGATCGCTTCACTTATCTTGGAAGTCTCATCAGCCCTTGTGGTCTGGTGTGTGACGAAATCTCAGCATGGATACAGAAGGCTCGACTAGCTTTTACCAACTTGCGTCATTTATGGCGTAGGCGAGATATCCGTCTATCAACCAAAGGACGGGTTTACTGTGCAGCAGTTCGTTCCGTCCTACTTTATGGCAGTGAAACATGGCCGGTAAGAGTAGAGGATATTCGTAGGTTACTAGTATTTGATCATAGGTGTCTTCAAAATATTGCCCGTATATCCTGGGACTATCGAGTAAGTAACGCAGTTGTCAGGAAACGGGTTCTAGGTAAGAATGGCAAATCAATTGATGACGTAGTGAAACTTCATCAGTTGAGATGGCTGGGAGACGTGTTACGTATGCCCAACAACCGACTGCCTCGACGTGCTATGTTCAGTGATATAGGAGTAGGTTGGAAGAAAGCTAGGAGCGGCCAGACCAAAACATGGCACAAGTCCATGAAGTCAGTGACAAGTGAACTGAGTCATGTTGGTAGGTGTAGACTACCTGGTTGGGGACCGCGAGATGATAGCAACCGATGGTTAGAGACCCTGAATGACATGGCTCAAAATCGTTTGCAATGGCGCAGGTGCATCCACTCTTTGTGTTCTCCTAAATTCTAATCTTCTGAATTCTTCATGTCCCTTTTTTCCTCTTTCCAAATTTATTTCACTGGATTATAGTCTTTAAATAACATCTCCAAACCCTAATCTTCCCGATTACTGCTTATACTCTTATTACCTCTACCACTACGAGATTTGAATCGACAACTGCATCTCTGTGCTAATGTGGTTTGTCAACTCGAACTGATGTACGTACGTACGAAGTTCTACGTTGTTACGGACTGACTGACCTGGTCAATTGTAAAGCTAAGTTGAGCTACGACTTGTTTTACATTTGGGTTCAGGATACAGTTTTCAAAGTTGGATTATAAATACGATTGTTTGATTGGTAAATATTTGAATACCACCGTTTTGTTAGGTGTTTACTTGTTTTTTGGAGTTACTAACTTTCACCTTTTATTTCGGTTGTTTTCACAGAAAATCTTATAGTTTTGTATGGATATGTGTATACATAATTCATATTATTTATCTGATATTTATTATTATTATATTCTTTTGGTACTTTAGCAACACTTCGCCTATCGGTTGAATAAAGATGTGTATAATTGTCCACAGTGTTGTCGTGTGTTCTCGGATATGGTTTCATTTATAATTCATTTACAAACTGTACACTTTTTCACTGTACCAGATGAAATAAATAATAATATATGCAAATATGGTTCTACAAGGAATAATAAAATAAATTTTAATAATTTAACAATGAGTTCAAAATTAATTAATCTTTCTACGTTATATTCATCATTATCTATGTCAACAATATCCGTATCATATTCATTACCGGATAATATTGCTGTATATATAAAGCCCGAAGAAATACCATGTTGGAAATGTTCAGTTTGTAATGCACATTTTATTACCATTAATCATTTAGATTTACATATGGCTCAAGTTAGTTTTTCTTTATTTATTCATTGTAGTTATTGGGTTTGTAAATTTTTGTGTTGTAGATCCTTAATTATATCAACTGATGTGATTGAAACGTCTGTTCTTTATGATCACTCACTACCTACCTCAACGTTCGATGTTCAGTGCTTCAGCGTACTAAGTTGGAAGAAATCTAAGATATACCAAACCAAGACTTGGTTTCAATCCATCAAGTCATTGACTTTTGGACTGAGCCATGATGTTAGATGAAAGCAATTTGGCTGGGGTCTGTTAATAATCACACACTATGGCACAAATGCATTTTTTCTTTGTTTTCCCTTTGTTGATGAGTCTCAAACTCATCTTGTGCTTATTTATTTCACAAATCAGTCTTCTCTTCTACGATCATAATATCTATGTCGAATCGTTTTTTACTACTATTGATACTATTGCTATTTCAGTCACCCTACTATTTGTTTTGATAGTTTCATCTAACTGTTTATATGGTGTTATAACTTAAACCAATGTACTAAGTTCTATATTACCTACGACTGACTGATATACATTCCACTATATATTAATCACAAGTTAGTTCACTTCTATAATATCGTCTATTTCTTATGTGTTGACTGTATTAACTGGTAGATTAAATCTGATGGATAGTAAGTGCTCATAACTAAGTTTTCTAAACCTTCGAGGATTTGTGCTGTGATCAAGATATTCAAACGTCTGTCAAACAGAAATACATTGTTAGACTTTTATTTGTACACTTCTGGACTGATACTGATAAACTTAGAGGCATACAAAGATTGATAATCATATCAGCAGGTTTCAACCATTCATAAAAGTCACAGTGTTTTTTTGTCTGTTTTCGTGTAAGATAAAGTCTAATTTTGAGATGGTGAAGATTTGTAACTCAATTAGATGACTTTGGTGGAGTTTCGTTCTCTGAGCTGGATGGTTTGGTCGTGGAGCTCTCATCGTTCTTCTGAACGACATCAATATCAAACAATAAAAAAAATTATGGACAAATATGGGACCAAGAATCAAATCAATGGGAGATACCATCAAAATAAAGAAATAAACAATGACAGGTTAAAGGTCAACAATAACCAATCAAGATCGAGGTCTACAGGACAAGCTGGGAGTCATATATGGGGAAATTCAAAAACTTCACTCCTATTTAAAGTTTTTGCTGATGATGTCGTTCAGTGGAACGATGAGAGCCTCACAACCAAACCATCCAGCTCAGAGAACAAAACTCCACCAAAGTCTAATTTTATTCGTCGATGTCTTTGAAATCATCATGGATGAAATATAGTTCAAAGTCAATTATATTATTGACTATACATCTACTCTTTCAGTTAAATTCTTATCATTTTGTCATTCAATAATTATTTTTTATGTATTTATATCGTCTTACTTACGTTTTATCTTTTACTATTCTATAACAAATCATAAGGTTCTACATTTCTCATTTTATTCTTTTTTTTACTTTAACATGTGAACGTTTATGTGACAGAGTAGATAAATCTGAATTTTATTTAAAAAAACTTTCGTTTTACTGTCATATTTACTACACAACTTTCGTTTATTTGTATTTGGCGCCCCCTTCTACTAACGTTTATGTGTACAAATAAATAAATAAATAATTAGTTCATATTTAATCCTCTGTTCCCCATAGCTCTCATGTAATTAAATTACAACTCAACTAGATTCCAATTTTGATCGTAACACAATTTCAATGTTTTGTGTTTTTAATTTTTTTTTTTTTGGTGATTGTTGCTAGTGTGAACTCAATTTATCTAGTTTCTTGTTAATCAATGACAGTTCCTGAAACTCAGAAAAAAGATAGTGGGCGAGGTGAGGACTCTCTGTTTTATCCACTCATATATTGTCATTGCAGATCGTCTTTTCACCCTCACACGAACCCACTCGATCTTCGGTAGTTTGAAGACAGGACAGTTGAAAAAATTAGGCAGAAACGATATATTTAGATTACAGACGGTTGCGTTGATATATTGATCAGTTTAATGCTGTTATACTAACATTATTATTACTACTACTTAATATCAACAAATGAACTGACGACTATTACAAACTATTATGGAACACTAATTTGGATATGGTTTCAGAAATGAAATATTAAGAAAAATCCATACGTCCAACATTTGCTATGAATACGAAAACATGAAATGAAATTAATTGTTAATGAATAAAGACGCTAGGTTATTAAAAGGTTGAGAGTATAAATTAATTCATTCGCTTTTGATCTTCAGAACTTTTAAAAATAACTGGGAAGAGAGGCTTCTGAAACTATTCATTCCACAGAGATGTGTTCTGTGAGTTGTATGATTTCGTTGTTATGTCTTCGTTGACATCTAGTCAACAACACTAGCAGTACATACTTGAAAAAGAAGTGAGGTATTATAATTTCTTTACAGTTTGTACTATTGACCCGGGATTTGATTTGCTATTGTCCATCGTTGCATAGCCATTGTTTACACATTTGTTCTGATTGTATTCTCGGCTGGGCCTGATCATTCTACTGAGTTGCTAGATCTTTGTAGTGCATTCAAATTATCTGGCGCTAAAATAGACTCACCTTATCTTTCCAATAGAGCGGTCACTCAGTGGTTGAGATGTTTGATTTTAGCTCACTAAATCCCAGGTTCAGACCCGTTTCGACCTACTTGTGTTTGAGTAACTGGATAGTATAATTAGCCCTCATATTTAGAGTGTGGCTCATACCCAAGTACCCGGTGAATAAGTCAGTTCAAATTTTAATGCATATGTACACATACAAGTGACTGAGAACAGGATACTGGTTTAATCTCACTTAAATTCATATGGTCACACATCATACGTGTTTGAATAAATTAATACCTGAAAACAAATAGGTTAGAAATATTTCCCGACCATTCATATATTTCGTATACATGCCTGTGTTTATCCAATAGTTTGGTCAAGATTATTAAATTTGTGATCAACTGAAAAAAGTTCTCAATCTTAGTTAATGATAATTGACATTTCCTGCGTAATTGATAGAAACCTTACAATATTATACCATGTCAGTCACTGATTCTCCGGGTCTTTTTCTAAATTGGATAAAAAGGCATATGCTTAGTAGTGTTAACACTACTCAGATGAAATTAGTACCCAGAAAATTGAATTCAAACTGCCGCTTGGAAATATTGTCATTCTGGATGCCAACAGTTGGAACCTCGTGTCACGAATAGGAAATCCTATCGTTCTAAATATTCATGATTATACCTTTTCACAATGAGATTTCAATGTATTTTAGTATAACTATATGATAAATGCTGTGATATAGAAATGCATTTTATAAATTGGTATTTTAGGCTAGTCATCAGTACTGGTGTCCTCTATGTCTATATGCATGTGAACGAGCAATTTCATTATGGAAACACTATTGCAGTAGTCATAACAAGGAATCGGAACTAAATCACATTTCTGCAAAAAATAAATTTTATCGAATTGTTAAACCGCAATCAATTGGCGCAACTAATACTTCTACTTCAATAACAACAACACCAACGACATTATCACCGTCATCATCCTTAAGTACAGTTGCTGCAGCAAAAATTGTTGCCACTCCTTTAAAACAGGGTAGCCAACGCTGTGCTATTGGTCACTTATCCCAGGTTAGTTTTTTAAGGCGTGTTGTTACTTCCTACTGTTTACATAACTTAAAATTAATTATGCTGTCACCTGCCGATTGCTACTATTTCGAACCATTTCTGCTACTTTTAAGTTATCTATCCACCCCATACAATCGAGCACTAGTTATACACTTCAATGTGGTATTCATTCGTCATCAATAAACCTATAATCGCTGCGAAAATTCGGCTGTAAATTCATCTGATAAAGAGTTAAGTATTAAATATTTTAAACTGGTTCAATTTTGGGTTCGAATAATTGATTTTATCTCTACATTTTAATGATTTTACCTGAGTGGTACCCTAAGTTATCATAGTTTCTATCGATCCTAGATCCCTTTTTTCTTTAAGCTGTATTCTTTTCATAAAACCCACTTTAATGTTAAAGATTAGTTTGAATTGAAGGTGTTGAGAGACTAGATAAATGTCATCCTATTTTGTTGTTGCCGTTTCAGTACAAGAATTTAGAAAATCCTGTAGAATCACTTACTTTGTTGTTATCGAGTTTCTGTCTAAAATGATGCGCTTTTTAGCATAAGGAAGAGCTTTAGCGATTATTGAAATAACTGGGATAAATTTCACCTCGTTGATAGACATTCTGAAAAGTTCTTGTAAATCAATGGTTATTGGAAAAAATAGTAAATATAAAGATTTTATTTAATTAAAAAATTTATTAAAGTTTACTACGAATCTATATGCCTGTAAATCGAAGAAGAGTGGTAGATTTTTCTATATTGCCTTAAAACATCCTCCTTTTAAAAACCGTTTTAAGGTTCAAAATGGTTTTTAGGAGTTCCTACATTGTTCCTGGTTCGTGTTTACGATTAGCATTAAGGGTTTGGGTTAATTTACGTGTGATTTACCATCTAAATAAAAAGACTTAAATATTTTTAACTTTTAAAGCTATAATTTTCCCTAATGATGACTAAAGTAGCTTTTAGTTCTAGCTTTGAATGTTTTGGGAACAATTACACAAAGGTAAAACTACCGCTCCCCTTATGTGATATAAGATAGAAGTTATTTGTTCTTAAATCTTTATATGAAGACTCGAAAGTTTACTCATTTCTGTGTTGGTTGTCTGGATTCTCCCATTGATGTTTAAAACTGCAATTGATCAGTCTGTTATTGGCATATGTGCATCCTGTACAGATCACTTCGATATTGCCTTCAGTCACTAGCATTATAAGCAGAAATGACCCACAAAGAGAGACCCACTGCCTGCAAGCCATTATCATTTCTGCTTATAGGACTTAAAAGTCGTTTTTCGGTTTTGATTAGCTCGTTCCTATACCATAATTTTACATGTAAAATGAACCATTATAATTTGAAATTCTCAGTCTTTAAATAGATAAATATATCTGAGTACAGTATTTCACCATGATATGTGAATATGTAAACATTTGAACATTGTTTGTATTTAATAATGTGGTTTTTTTCATAATCTTTTAGACTAGATTTTATTCAATACATTTGTTTACCTTTTATAGTGATTTCATCTCTGTAATAATTTATGAGAAATTGTTTAGATGATGTATTTTGTTTAATTCCAGACAGAATAGTTATAACTAGGTGATCATATATTTTCTGTTCACCAATTTTCTGAATGTCGTTGTTATTTACAATTAATATTACAAATAATAGTTACAAAATAGAATAAAAGTAGTTTGATTGTATGAATCTATGCAAAACATTCTCGTAATACATCTACCTCCATATATTCTAATTGTTTATTTATCTTTATTGAAATGTTTTATTTTATATAGTTTCATGGGTGCGATTTATGTCCAGTATTTTGTTTAACTGTTGACGATCTCAATACACATAAGAAAACAGCTCATGCTAATGAAATGCTGAAAGAGAATTCAAATAATAATAATAATAATAATAATACAAAACAACTTGTTATATCTAACACTTCTGACTTTCTCACGACAACATCGACATCAGTAACGACTACTACTACAATTATTACTTCTACGTTAAGCAATCAACCTATTCGATTGAGCATTACTACAAGTTCACCATCTTCATCTTCAGCGAAATTCATTGATGTTCATGATGATAGTGCCAGTGGTGGTAGTGTTTGTGATGTTATCAATTCATCAACATTATCAATGTCACAGCATTCTAATGAATCTAGATTGAGTTTAAATAGATTTGTTAAATGGATTACCGGTGAACAGCTTAAATTTGGAAAGTTACTCAGTACCACAGCTATAAATAATAATACTGAGACATCGGCTGTTACCATGGCAACTAGCAGTTTAAATAATCAAATAACTGATCAAATCACCATCATAGACGATAATAACGACGACGACAACAACACTGATGATAAACGAGATGAGCTGAACAAAGGACTGAATACTATTGAACATGATAACGTCGGTAATGGTGAGGATGAGGATGTTATTTGTCCAATGTGTGAATTTCACAGTAAATTACGAAGTGATGTTATGCAACACATTATGGATTTCCATTAATCAATACTCCATTTATTGTTTGTACTTATTAATGATGTATCATCCGGTGGCTGTATATTTATGCTTATAACGGAGAATATCGCTGTATGTTAATTTTTTGATTAACTCTTCTCTATCTTCCTTTCATGATAAGCCGATTTCCTATATATATAATTGTACAGTCCCTTTATTGATGGAATTTTGTCATTTTTACTCGAGAGAAAACGGTGCTCTTTTCTGGAGTTTACATTTAATTATGTCATTTTTGAGTGAAGTTGTAGTATTGTAATGCATATTATTCCGCTTGTATTCGTTATATTTATATTTATATTTATTATTATTATCACTAATGATGGATTGTTAGTAGTTGATTTATTTTTGTCAATATATGTGAATATATTTTATTTTTCTAATCAAATTACATGGAGTCGTAATTTCTATTAACTTTACAATTGAATTGAATAATCCTTGTGAAGTTAAACATACTTAAGATTCATTTCCTTACCTTCTAGTTTTTTCTCTTAAAACTGTAATGTACCATTTCTTTTCAGGTGATTTTATGTTGATTGCTTTATGAGTCGCGGTCGTACCTGCTACTTTGACATAGTTGTCGGGTTCTCATATCATGATGCTCTGAAAGTAACACCTCTTTTTTAATCCACAAATTCCCATCGCGGGCTGTAAGACGTTAAAAATACCTAGTTAGTATATCATACAACTTCTGTGTATTACTGGAGTCGATTAGTTACCTCTTTGATCACTATGACCACACTGCGAGATCACTAAGATCAATACCAATCCTTTTTTTAAGGTCCCTTAGGAAGTAGTCTTCTATGATGTAGCCAAACAGCAAGTGACAATCACACACATACTCCTAACAGAATTTCAGATCACTTTGACTGCTGTTTGAGTAAACGTTTTGGTATAATGGTGTTGATCGTAGCTAACAGTTTGACCATCAAGTTAAATCTACTTATTATTATGATTCAGTTAAGTTATATTATTAAAAAATGAGTTTGGATTAGTTATGTATAATATTGAATGTCAGTTTTCAAAGAAAATTTTCTTTCCCTTGGTGTATTCGCCGTTGAATTATGTCTTTTCTTACTATCATCTTTCTAACTAGTAGCAAAATATAAGTTAGCGTTACGTAAGCAGCATGATTATTGTTGTATTTAAAGTACGAATAATAATAGGAATCCCACCTTTATGTTTCAAATCAGAATCAAATTTAAAATTTACAAATATATGACTTTAGTTGAAAGCTATATTGATACACAAACACGGAATGAAAATTGATAGTCCGTCACATGAAACGTAGAACATGACTCACATGTGCATTGACTAACCTACTACGCCATATCAGCACAGCCAAATAATATTATCAAGACAAATGCTATGGTAGAAACGATAACAGCTTCAGTGGTAGTAGTAAAGATTGGACATAAACCATATGTTTCAAGAAGACTGAATAAATTCGCGTAATAGAAAAGTTTGGGATAAATTCCAAAACTCCAGATCTAAGGAAAGATAGAATTAATAGACTTGTATCATCGTGACCAACATCGCTAATTATTAAGATAAGTGTGATAGTTATTCATATTCCAAGTATTTTCGATGATTAAAAACGAAACAAGTAACGATAGCACTTCTGTCCTTTTGTCATTGTGGATTATTACTATAAACGCAGTACAACATGTGCAAACAAATCTGAATATCATCAAGAACTGTATAGAGTTAGTATGTGTGAATACATCAAGTCGCTCAATTTCATGGATTAGTTGAAGTTACATTAACACCGTTGGATGCCGGCTCAGTGGTTTAGTTGGTTAAGCGCCTGGTGCGAGACTGGTAGGTTGTGGGTTCGAATCCCGCGAGGCGGGGTCGTGGATGCGCACTGCTGAGGAGTCCCACAATAGGTTGAAACGGCCGTCCAGTGCTTCTAGGTTTTTTGTGATAGTCTAGCTTCAATTGACTCATGATCTCAACTGTCTAAAATCATATCACTAAACATGTTTAGCCAATGATTGTCTTGGATTATTGTGAATTGACCAGTCGTTTTTTAGTTACAATAAATGCCTATTACAATAAAACTTGGATAATTGTAGCTACATTATCCTTTTTTAATTGACAGACATTAATTACACTTGATTGATATGATTACGTTATTAAGTGAATTTCGTATGTCTATTTATGTTTAAAGTTATTAGTGGACAGTCGTTAATGTTTCACACGTACAGTTCATTTATGTTATACACTTTTAAATAGTTTTCCTCCAATTCAGTAATAACAGTATTGTTGTTGTTAGTTGTAAGAAAAAAACGAAAATAAGGAACACTGATTATTTTCCACTTCACTATGTACTCACAACTGTTTTTGATGGAGTTTTGTTCTCTGAGCTGAGCTCAGAGAGCTACAAATCTTCTCCACCAACTCACAACTGTTGTTTGTGCTTGTTCAAGATATGAAAATCAATATGTTTGAATAAAACAATGAAAATAGTTGGTCATATAGGATTTACTGTTAATAATAAACATATTAGTATAAACAGTAGAAATAATAATGATAGTTATAATACTATTAAGGTTAGATATTCATATGTTGTTTCACAAAATCAATAAATCGCCTTTCACTCAAAATTGGTCTATGTTCAGAAGTAATGAATTCAACTACTTTAGCTGTGGGCCATTTTGTACAAACTTTTAAACTGCGTAGATTCACTGTACCATCGCCATCCCCATATATAATTCTGGGTGATTGATTTGGAAATGCTGAAATGAAGAGACTAGGTGATTTGTAAATGACTTGTTCCACTGATAATAGTCCAGAACCATAGATACAGTAGACTTCAGGTACATGTTCGGGAGCTTCGAGTGGGTCGAATGCAGATAGGTAACGTGTGAATAGTTTATAACCTAGAATGTACAGGATTAAGTAGATTATTTTTAATGAAGTTCAATTTCAGTGTTTAGCAATAATTTAAAACAGTGATTTTAACTGATTTCGGACAAAATTCAGTTTAATAATGATTTTGAATTCATTAGTTGAAATATATGTTTAGAGCTGTTTTATTCATCAGTAATATTGAAGTAAAAATCAAGTAAGGATAGATATATTTCTTACATGATCACGAAGTTTAAATCACACTATATAATGATAACCAAGTCACCGTAGGGAACTTTTCTAAAAGCAGATTTTAAGGTCAACTCAACAAGTACATAAATTTCATGGTTTTAAACTTGATCTTAGTTTGTATGGCTCTAAATGGGCACTTTGTAATTGACCTTTTTTTCAAACTCAAGTTTATAATTACTTCTCTAGTCACTTCGCAACTTTATCATCATTCGATATTATGGATAACTGACTCATTAGCACATCTTCCATCAATTCTCTCGAAATTCATCATTCTTTCAATGCCACAACAATTACTTTCTGTCCCCGTTCTCTTCCATTCGATCTTCTCAACCTTCCGCTGTCAGGCATTCCACTTTTGACTGGTTTTACTAACTACTTATACCGACATAAGTAGCATACTTCACAGTAGCTGTAAACAGTTACAGTCGGATCCTTACTCAGTGACTTAGTGATGTGGCGCTTGTTTGCTTAATTGGTACCAAATAATTACTGCTCTATACCAATTTTTGCTTTAGTTTGTATAATAATATACCGGGATAATGCTATTATACCTAACATGCAAATTTATGGTTATTTGTTCGTATTTAGTAGTATCCCGACTTTACTACAAATTAGTCGTATGGTTTATGGATAGAAAGCTTTTGAAACATAATGAAATGAAATACAACTCAGCTGTATAGAATTAAACAGATACTTTAGCAAACAGTGCAATTCTGTTTTAGACTTCTATAGACAAACAGTTTGTTGACAGGGAAAGATTTTTGGAGCTAAATATTATTTAGCATTCAGTTATTTGGTGTAATCATCCTAGTACTTAGTTATGTTTGCAATTTAGACTAAAATGAATTTGCACTTATTACTGTTAAACGATGTTTTCTCTTTTCAAATTATTGTAAGTAATATTCTGTGATCAAATCAATGTGCAACCCGAATATTAATCATACATTATAAATGGTACACCTCTGAGATAAGCACAATGGGGAGATAGTGATATAATGAAACGGAGAGCATGATTTCTATTGTCAAATTTTATGACATACTAAACTTACTGAGGAAAATATTTCAAAAAAGAAATACACCAGATGGGAGATTGAATAATATGGAATGACATCGAACTCATAATTTATAGAAGTACACAATGATTACTACTGTGTTATTGCGATCAATATCATGCAACATCTGCCACCATAGGATCATAACTTCGAACATGATTTAGACAAATAATCGCAAGGTTTATCCATTGAACCGTCCACCCATAATATTCTTCTAAACCTCTATGCTTTTCAGCAATATGGTTAGGGGTTGGGATTGTCTAGGTGTGAATAGGCAATACTCAAATCGTCTCAGTCAGTAATGATCCACAACCTAGTAAATTTGAATTTCCAATGTATTAAGCATCTTTATGGTATCGCGAACTCCATGATTTATTTGTCAACTGTATATGTATTCCCGACTACGTACATATTCCTTGATTTCAAACATAAAAGAACGCAATGGTGAAAACATTTAGATCATGGAACCAGATGAAGCTAACATAACTTTGAAAATGATACGCAATCGGAGTGTTAAGAACGAGAATATTATGTTAATGGGTTGCATCTTGTTCTCACACAGAATTTAGAAGCGTCACTACCTCTATGTCTAACCTCAACAATACTCACTTAATGGTTTCATTTAACTCAGACGATACTTTGAAGAAACTTATACCTGCAGCCTACAAAGTTCTTCCGGGTATTTGTAGACCCAGTGTTTCACAGCCGTAAAGGAATACAGAGAAAACTGGTACACAGTAACACTGATCGTTTATTAAAAGATGGAGATCTGTTATGGTAAAGTAATTATGTCAGTTACTATTGTTAAATGATTATTAAAAGAATTCTGTATTAGATCCGAATTTTGACCGGTTCATTAACTCGTATCTGCTAACATATACATAAAACTGGAAGCGTTAAAACTACTCGGACTGTCTCTTAATATTCATTCTTAAACCAGAAGCAATAAGGCAATAAACAACAAATTTATAACATCACAATATAACAGGCATATTTGTTTGTATATAAGTACCTGTAAGATAATTGGAATCACTGAAGTATTCTGGATAATCGTGAACTGTGTAATTTTTAAACGGTGTAACAATTAAAATCTCATCTTTAGACCATAGTTTAGGATTTGGTAGTACAGCAATTACTGACGTCATTGTACGGATTACATCTCGATATAGTGATGGATTTTGAATAAATACGCCTAAATTCTCACCTTCAATTAAAACAGGAAATATTTGTGCTTGAATATATGGAAGCAAAGAAATTGAGTGAACTAGATACGTAAACTATTTAAATTTGTGAACAATAAAGGTACCAATAAAAGTTCACAAGAATTTGTTATCGGTACGAATTGTTCTTCAAAGTTACATTATATACACAATGTCAGCATAAGTTTAAGTCTGGCAGGAAACCTTTCGAAAGGTCGAATGATTTTAATATATATATATATATATATATATATATATATATATATATATATATATATATATATATATATATATATAAATTAGAATACATGTGAACCAAATGCTTTAAACAGATTTGAATTTACCACTAGTTACGGACATAAGTGCGTTAACTGTTCCACCAAGTGGTGCTGATACAGATAGGAATGATTTAATATACTTTTGTTTCCAATGTTTAGTTTGATTTTTGAGAAAGTATAATGTGTACAGACTACCCAAACTGTGGCCTAATAGAACAACTGGTCGATCCAATCCATTTGTATAAGTTTCTTCTACTAAATGTTTGAATTTCATTACAAATTGTTTGTTATCATCTGGAAGAGAGAGATAACACAAATACGAAGAAACTAACAATTGGATTGATGCTCAGAAAGCAAATTATTTAAATATTAATAAACATCAAATTTGAATGTTAATGTGATAATTAGAAGTATTCATATTTATTTGCTGACTAGAAATTCTAGAAATAGTCCAATTTAAAGCAGGCTAAACTGGATGAACACAACTAGACGTATTAAATTTAGGATTCATAATAAACGCTCAATTTGGTATAAATGAATCATTAGTTAGTACACTTACCACATTGATTACTGATATGATTTGGAAAACCAATCGAAAATAAAGAGCATCGGTCAGGTGTTCATCCTTTTTACACAAATTAGATCTTAGTAACTAAAATGACTTTCTACTGATACAAAATTTCCATAAAATCGCATGTAAATTTTGAGCACCATATTGAATTGTCTTGAAACGAAGTCAATTAATTGTCAGGGTTAGAGATAAATCAATCGACATATTATTCTAGGTGAAGATACCGCATAGATAATGCGACCTATCGATTTTATCGCGCTCAGTTTATATTCTAAAATTTCAGGGTTTAATCTGGTAGGGTGTCACAGGAGCATAAAATTAGTTCTGAGTAGATCAATGTTCCATGACTAAATTTTAAACTAATGAGGCGAATAAAATCTTGAAAATAACTCACATATGGGATTCTCGACTTGGCAGGTGATGTGAGATTTTTTTATCCGGAAGCAGTCCTCTTGAAATGTACATTTAAAACATACTTCTTCCACAAAATTGTATAGAAAATGTGTAATTCAAATGGAAGATTATTCTCAATTGTTGAGATCATGAGTCAGTTAAAGCTAGACCACCATGGAAAACCTGAAAGTACTAGACGACCGTTTCGTCCTATTGTGGGACTCTTCGGAAGTGCGCATCCACGAAGATTATTTTATTATGAAAGATCTCTCACTAAAGCATCAAATAATGAAGTGTTTTAATAGTTGATGTATATTTCACTGTTCGATTAATTTCCACACTCAACATTATTCATCTACGCTAATTATTAATTCGGTTTATCTGTATGGAATATTCTACTTAACAAAGCAATATAAAAAATATGTATCGTAAAGTCACCGTCAGAGTACAGATTTTTTATGAAATAATAAAATTGTCGTTGTAATCTAATTTGTTACGTATCTAGAAAGTTATTTGATCATGCTTTATAACATTTCTTATGTGTGTAATTATTACTGAAAGCTCACGACCGATGAAAACTTTCAATCTTTGCTGTCAGAGGAATTTCGGTTAATTATATTTTCAAATTAATGTTTTTTCATGTTACTGCTCGACAAACACTGAAGATCTATTCAATATCATATTTCATAATCTTTTGCTAAAATTAAAAAATAACACCCTTACATGTACTCACTTACCTGGTGATTTTCTAAAGTCATATGGAGCTCCACGCATTGTGAAGTTTCTCACATAAAATTTGTCTTTCATCAGTTCTGACACAAGTGAACCGAAGTACTCAAAAGATATATGTTGTGATAGATATTCCACAGACCATGTATCACCCCATCCGGGAAATGTTACATCACATTCATTTGAATCATGTGACTCATAGGTGTATGGATCATGTTGTAATCTTGAAACAGATTGATCAATATGAATTTGCTGTTTACCTGAAGTAATCGAATACTTTGTTAGGTAATAACATGTGAAAAAAGTTGATCCAGAGATTAAATGGAGCAAAAGAACTGCCCACATCCTTAGGTTTGCAATAAGCTTGACTACCACCCAAACCAGGAATTAAAATTATTGGATATTTTATACCAGTGTGATTGTTATTAACCAATGTAAGCATCGGAATAGTATACACTAAAGTGATGCTACATAGAAGTATATATTGGACAAGAAGTATTGAGTGGGGCATTTTAAAAGTATTACAACACATGTTAGGTGTATCGATAGCAATATTTAAACCTGTTTCATGATGAGGAATTTCTAAATGTGATATGAACCTTGTGAAAGCAATCATACAAATATGTGTATCTTATATACACATATCAGTCAGTCTATCTACCAATCAGCTTGCGATAGTATTATTATTTCGCTTTGTTTGACCTTATAATTTCAGCCTATCAACAAGGTTGGCTGTTTTAAAATTAACTAGATGAATAAACAGTTGGTTCAACGTTGGTTGTCGCTACTGCTTTTCATGATTCTATCCAGATTAACTAACAGTTGAAAATAGAAATACTATTTTACTGTCATTCAAGTAAATTGTATTGATAAATAACTCTCCTTGAGTGAACAACAAACTTTGGATGCATCTGACGAGTCCCAAATAGGACGAAACGCTCATCTTGGATTCCACTGATAGCCACTATCCATCAGTGCTTATGGTGGTTGTTACTGAAGGCAATATCGAGGCATCTCGCACAGGATACACATATGCCAATAAGAGACTGATTAATGGCAGTCCTAAATATCAGAGGGAAGATTCAAACAACCAATACAGAAATGAACTGACTATTATACTTTCATTTAATGTTAATATTCATCGACTAAGGTGGTTGGGACATGTATTACGTATACTCAACCCCTGGCAACTTCAACGGACGATGTCGTCTGGTGTGGGAGTATATTGGGAGAAATCTAGGGCTGGCCAGATAATTGGATTGTGCCATCTTGGTAGATCCTGATTACGTGGCTGTGGTTATAGTAAGCAATGGGTGGGGTGGTGTGGTATGACTCAGAATCTGTTTGGATGGTATGGATGCATTCACTTATTACCTCTCCTCAGCCCCTACTTTTCAAACCTATCTTTGTTGATTTCGCTAATCGGTCTTTTCTTCTATGGTCATACTGTCTATGCCTAATCTTCCTAGTTCCAATGTTACTGTTATTGCTTGTACTGCTCTGAGTTTTGTTAAGACGATTTCATCTGCAGTGCTGAGATGGTGTAGAAACGTGGATCGATACATATATGTTCTGGCTTCTATGATGTACATGATAAACTGAGTGACCAAATGTTTGTATCTAGTTTTATAGAATATAACAATATCGAAATAAATTTTCAGTGGTTTTATTTTTATTGTAAACTGAAAAATGATTTTCATGAGACAGCAGTTGCTGAACCTTATACTTTCTTGTCTTTGTGTTCAGAACCAACTGAATGAAATGATATTGTTTTATGTGCCACACTAGTTATCTAAATCAATAGGGACAAATAATATAGTACTAAGTCCTATATATCGAAATATCAGCAGTAGGTGATCTGTAATATCTATAATTTGCATGGTGAAGTATATTTAACTACATAATCACAAATATAATGAAATGTGTGTTGTGAGTAAGCATGAAGTGCTCATATGGTAAAGTTGATAATTGCTCTGAGGGACTAACACAAGCAGTATACTTTTTGTGTGAAACAATCAGAAATAAAATCATCATCATCAACATCATTTTGTCCCCGCTATTTAATCATTAGTATTACACTATCATGAATCTAATAGGGATAAATTAAATAACACTAAATCTATCTACAGTACTGTATATGCATTTGTTTACCAGCTAATAACTGTCCTTATATAAATTTCGCGTTTATTTATTCAATTAAATTTCGATTCTTGTGGTAAGATATTTTTACAATAATTCTCAAATATAATTCTGTGGCCTAAATAACCCACTATTTTTGTCGTTACCAACGTAGATTACAAAACAAACCGATAGTTACTAAAAATAACTCAATCCAATTACCTACTTTATATAAGTAGTTTGAAGAGAATCGTTTTATTGTTTAGTAAGTTTTGTGCATAAACTTTACACATTAGAAAATTGTTTGCTCTTTAGTGATTAACTCTAGAGAATAATGTTGTTTACAATGCAGTAATGTTCTTGTATTTATAAAGTGGTTATTCAGTTCATTGTTTAAGTGTTTATAAAATATGTTTGTTTGTTTTTTCGTTGTTGTTTTAAACAAAGTGACTTGAATGGAACGATAAGTCGATAAAACACTTGATGATTCTACTGATAATGTTTATGTTGCTGAATGCATAAATGATAAGTAGAATGAATTTCACATGAATCATTTATTAAGCACATATAAAACTGGTTTATACTATAATGTCTGTTAGAATTTAAGGAATTCTTCAGTTGGAGTGAAGTGAATTTATTATTTCATTTAATTGATGATTATAATTAATAAGAAACATTGGTTTGGATTAAGTTTTTTTCTGGTTAGCATTTATTTATCGAGTTAGTTTTTACGGGATAAGGTCACTAACCCCATATCAAACTCTCCTCCTTTATTCCGGCTTGGGATTGGCAGTAGCCTTAGAGGGGCTTCAAGAAAAGTTGATATAGAAACATTGAAAAACTATTTTTATGGACTTTATGGGATCATTCAATTTGTATAATTTTTCAATTACACATTAGTATAAATATAGAACTTTCATGTTTTCTAGTGAACATGCTAACATTCATTTATTAAATGGCTTGTATATTCTGATTTAGCCAATGAATAACATAGCTCAACGCCCAGTGAGTACCATTATTCAGTCAGCATCTTATTTTTGAATTCGGTCACAAAATGAATAGTAAACGATTCAGTTAAAGCTTAACTAAACACACCTTAAAAATGAGTTATATCAGTTAAATATTATGAATTGAGCTGTCTCATATATATATGTGACCGAGATCGGCTACCCCAGGGCTTTCATTAAGAAGTACATGTATGATATAATAAAGAGGTCGGAGATTTCGACTGTTCGTAAGAAACCTTTATGCATGAAAGTGCAATTCAATGGGGATGTGGCTACTGACACTCTGAAATATAGGTTAACCAAAGAAATCACCAGGACATTCTACGCAGCCAATCTTGCGTTGACCTTCTCTTGTCGACCAGCGATGTCTACTCAAACGAAGGATAAGTTACCTGAGTTTGCCTCTTCCATGTGCATTTACAAATTCAGCTGCTCCTGTGGAGATAGCTATATAGGGCGTACTACCAGGCAACTTAACCAACGAATGAGTGAACATCTACCAACTTGGTACATAAAGGGCCAGGTAAAATCTATTCGCAGTTCTATATTGGCACATCTCATTGATAGCGGTCATGCTGTAGATAAATCGAAATCATTTCGAGTTATCTATCGTATACCTCCATCATTTCCCGACGGAGTCCGTTCCCGTCTCCTACATATAGCTGAAGCCATTGGAATTCGTACATATAACCCCAATTTATGTGTACAGAAGAAATACGTGACCTCCCTATGCCTTCCATGGTTGGTTATAACTTAACTAACAATTTTTTCTTATTAAAATTTTATTATTATCATTATTTATTTTATTCTATTTGTGTTATCGTTAACCTTATTTCCACATCCATTATTTGTTTGTAATTTTCCGCCTCTTTGTATTCTTCACTATCTAATTATTTACACACATATTATTACGTAATGATTTTAATGTTTTGTGATTACTATTCCTAGTCTGTTTACCCATGTTTGACCTTCTATTCCCAACGTTTAACTATTGATAAGAGTTTTGTTATTGTACTTTATTATTCTTACTATTATCAGTTCACCTGTCTTCCTACTATAAACTTGTACTTTTACCTATTATGTGTAGAGACTTATTCTATTTCATTGTGATTATTGACCCATATTGCCTTGATTGGTTTAAAATTTTCGTATAAATATTCATGACGATGATGACGATCTAATTGAAAACAATTGTTCGCTTATATGTGTTGTTCTAATATAATAATCCATCAAGCTTAATATTTCTATGGTATATTTGAAACAATATTTCACAATACACGATTTCAATGGAGTTGATAATTATTTAGAAAGAGATGAAAAATCCAAATTAGTACAAATTCCTCGAAATACATTCTATTTGCTAAAATTAACAAGACGAAATCGGAATATGTTTGCTACCTACTTTTAAATGTAACAGTAGTATACAAATAAATATTAAAATATATTAAATAAAGATAGATCTATTATTCACTATTCGATCTCTTGTGTGTATATTTTTAGCCTACTATTAGAGTGTTGGTGATGTGTTTATACTCGTGGGCGTTTCTAAGCCCAATCTTAACAGTAAATTGTGAAACAGTCGATGTTGTCTTTAGTCGAGTTGTAATTAATATATTAACAGAAACTGTCAACTCGTTATTCGCTAATTTATTTACTTATATATGTGTGACCAGATTGTTCGAAATGTATTGCGCTATTATATCACGTAGTTCTGATAGTCGTCGTCTTCTAACATCATCATCGAAGTTTATCAAAGGGACTAAATGTTTTAAATTTATTTACTTACGCCTGTTACCCCTCGTGGAGGAGCGTAGGCCACCCATCAGCATTCTTTATATGATCACAGTTATCATAGCTATTTTGTATGTGGCTAGTAGTACATTGAAGGAGTAATGATACCGGAAGATTGCTTATTTATTATGTCGATTCTAAACAACTTTCAACCCCTATATAGTTGATAAAATTGTTAATTTTATTGAAATCATGAACCGATTAAAGTTAGACAAAAATAGAAAAACACGTAAGCTCTTTGGAGAGCGTCTCGTGGTATAAAGAAAGTTCTTTGGAGAACGTAGTCATAGCCCTACACAAAAGAGAATCGACCCCAGAATCTCCCGTCCCTCGCAGGAACTCATAACTCTAGATCACTGAGCATAAAACCCATCAGTGTTAATGTTATAATTTAACAATCCCCACAATCACACATTGAAAAATATCACGTATTATACAGTGAATAGCTTCGAGAAGTAATCCTTGGTGTTCTGGTGAGAAGCTGTGAGTGGCGGGGCTTATTCTTGCAAGGCATGAGACTGTTGTCCACGGAAGACAGTAGAAGATCATCGCGGAGCGTCGTGGATTAAGTGAGGTTAGACATTAACACTTGGGTGGCGGACTTGTGATTTAGAAGTTAGGCATAGGCCGTGAGTTTGCGTTTCAAGTTCGGGGTCGTGTATTTGCACTGTTGAGGCGTCCCACATTGGGATGAAACGGACATTCAGTTCTATTAATTTTTCAATGATGGTCTAACTTTGATTGGTTTATGTTTTTAATGAAATTCAACAATCTCTACAATCCCATATCGAAAACTGACAGTGTTAGCAAATTAAATTGATTGTTTCACGGTCTCCCTTGGACAACCATTCAGGAGAGTATCCTGCAATGTAACAGGAAATGAAACGACTACATATGAATACCTTATTTTTGGGCAATTTCAGAACCATTTATAATTTGGATGACACTTGGAGTTATTCTAATTCATCATTAAAAGGGAAATAACTTCTTTTCATAGCAAATTGTCAGGTGGTAAGATAGATTTACCTGATGGTTTTAAGTGTACGAAGAGATAAACGTTAACGGCTGAATTATACCTTACAGTTCTCAGGATATCGGAGAAATGATGCTTAGTTTGCTTGACATTTTCTTTCTGAATGGTTTATTTAAGAGACCTACCGTCTTCTGAAAGCAGATGGGATAACTTTCTAATGCGACAACTGTGATTCAATGAGACAGTTTCAGCAGCCTTGACTGTACGGAAGAAAACTTGATATCTGTCTTCCAAAGGGTCATTTAGGTGAAATTTGTTTTCTTCTGAAAAGTATCGCCTAGTGGTCGATTTTGTATTATTTTTTAAAACGAAAATAATTGATAGAAGTGGCCTTGAATTATTCGAAATTCTTTACCTCTGTAGAAATTAGATTGCTTCTTTGCTGTACAAAGATTTCAAATCGGATTTTTTTGTCAAGTTTATACATGTCTTTAAAACATCACTAGCATATGGTAAAGCAGTCAAGCAAATAATCTAAATGTTAAATGTTCTATACTAGGTAAATGACATGATAAATCTTAGTCGTGTGGAACATATTTTCCTGATACCTAACCACTACTCACTTCATTATGTAATGGTGACTTACGTAGAAGTATGTTATAGGGGAGCTGCGTGCAATCGGGCAGAATTTCAGGATTGGTTCAAGAAGTTTACTGTCCACCTAAGCTCCTTTGATTGGTGTTGACCATATTTTTGGGTCATGAAGTGAGTTGTAATAACTAGTAGGAGACTTTAAATGTTATACTTGATAATCGGTGATAGAAAATGACTGTCTATCTGTCATTTTTCTTCTTCCAGATTCCTAATTTTAAAATATTGTTTTCTACATTCTTTACTGAAATCCATCGCATCTGTTTGAACGGTAATGTTTATGTTTGGTCTTTTGTCATCATAAATATTTTTGTTAGCCCGAATCACTTACCGTTCATTTTATTGATTCTATTTCAATATGTTGATGCGTTGAGATAAAGTGATGCAATATGACTTTGTTCAAGGTTCCACATTGATAAGGACCGATCGCTTACCCTTGTGGGGATAGAAATTGATTTTTAGATGTCCTCAGGTTATTGACTGTTTGGTTTAGCGGCTTACGATTATAACTAGGCGTTCAAGATTAAGTACCAAAGGTTGATACTAAGAGCCTAAGGTAACTGATTGAGGATTAAGTATCAAGGGTTAGGGATAGAGATTTAGAGTGAGTAAATTTATGTTAAGATTCAGAGTTCAGAATAAGAACGGGTTTAATTTACTTGTTACTTATAACTTGACATTTAAATAAATGATAAGTATACAGGTTTAATATGATTATTTTTACTTCATGACGGAGAATTTCAATTTTTTACCACCGTTTTGAACGTTCTAAACACTATAGAAAAGTATATTCGCTTTTTTAATGTGATGTAATGTGAAGGTTTTCCAATTGTGAATCCCCCACAAACACAAATATTGTTTTCTCTGTTTGCATTAGCCTGTACTTGTGCTTTACTTTAGTAGAGTATTATCGTTTAATTTTAAATAAACAGTGACGTTCAATACCTTATTTAGTAGACTGTAACGACATTACATTAAAACACAATTACAAATACACTTCTTTAACGTATTTATATTTCGTAATAATATGTATGATTTTCTTTTAATTACTAGTAGTAACATGGTTGTGTACAAACTGTAAAAAGCGTTTATCAGCTAAAATTGGAACATGATTAGATATGGCTAAGTGTATAACTGATGCATTAGGCCATTTATTACAATATTGTAAACTTTGCATATTCACTGTACCATCACCATCTTCATATTCTAACTTTGGTGACTGATTAGGAAATTCTAAGCGAAATAGACTTGGTGGTTTATAAACAAGTCTTTTTATTGTTAATAAACCGGAACTATAGACACAGTATACTTCGGGAATATCTTTAGGATAATCTAGTGTCATAAATTCACGAACAGTTTTTCTATGTACTTGATAACCTAATAAATAAATGTAAATAGAAAAAAAAACGAATTTTCAGCATGAACTGAAAAGACTGATAATATGGATTTGAGCAGGTTTAATATGATTTGATTCATTATTAATTTTTCAGGAAAACATTTCGTAAATATAATTAAAACGTAAGCATCAAGGTAACCAAAACATATTGATTTCATCATCATCATCATCATCATCATCATCATCATCATCATCATCATCATCATCATCATCATCATCATCATCATCATCATCATCATCATCATCATCATCATCATCATCATCATCATCATCATCATCATCATCATCATCATCATCATCATCATCATCATCATCATCATCATCATCATCATCATCATCATCATCATCATCATCATCATCATCATCATCATCATCATCATCATCATCATCATCATCATCATCATCATCATCATCATCATCATCATCATCATCATCATCATCATCATCATCATCATCATCATCATCATCATCATCATCATCATCATCATCATCATCATCATCATCATCATCATCATCATCATCATCATCATCATCATCATCATCATCATCATCATCATCATCATCATCATCATCATCATCATCATCATCATCATCATCATCATCATCATCATCATCATCATCATCATCATCATCATCATCATCATCATCATCATCATCATCATCATCATCATCATCATCATCATCATCATCATCATCATCATCATCATCATCATCATCATCATCATCATCATCATCATCATCATCATCATCATCATCATCATCATCATCATCATCATCATCATCATCATCATCATCATCATCATCATCATCATCATCATCATCATCATCATCATCATCATCATCATCATCATCATCATCATCATCATCATCATCATCATCATCATCATCATCATCATCATCATCATCATCATCATCATCATCATCATCATCATCATCATCATCATCATCATCATCATCATCATCATCATCATCATCATCATCATCATCATCATCATCATCATCATCATCATCATCATCATCATCATCATCATCATCATCATCATCATCATCATCATCATCATCATCATCATCATCATCATCATCATCATCATCATCTGGGCTCCTGAATTCTTGTTTAAACTAGAAAGATGGCAGAAATTTCAAATCTAGAGCTGAAATATTTTCGAATGCCAAAAATGTTTTGTTATGTTTGTTGGTGAAACTGATTTCTTAAGTATTTGGATTCATATGTACCATTGACTTATTGGCTACCAGGTGAAACTAGAATATCTACATGTGGTTTAGCTAGTTAAATAAAATATGAAGAAACTTTTGATATTTTATTTCCAGATTGTAAATCGTACTTACCTTATTACTAAAAGCTGTTACTGCTCTTGAGGGAAAGACCCCTGACTGAGGATCGTTGACGAACTCTGTCCTGGACTGTTCTTTCAATCGTTGCTAAGTGCTACTCATAATTTCGATATCTGCCTCTAGATCCTGACAACATGTCTCTTGAGGATTCCAAGTTAATACTTAGTCTGTTATGCAGTTCGGTACTTTCCATAAAATCTGTTCTATTCATTTCCAGAATCTTGTCCTAATTTTTTCCTCATCTGGTAGATGATATTTGCTGGTTTCTGACCTTTGGATATTGTTTAGCCCCTTGTGGGAGCTTTGTCCGATGGTGACGGTATTCTCAGATATTTCATATTGTCGAAGGCGATTTCACAAGTTTATCCTATCTTTTGCACGAGAAAGAACTATTTTTAGAAGTGAGGGTGTTCTTCAAGCCCTATGTTCTTGGAGAAAAAGTACTAAATAATCGATCTTGCTGATATGAACAGATAAAGGTATTTCCATAGCCTCCTCTGAATGCTATTAGTTAGACTTTACTACCTGAACACCCTTATCATAAATATCTTTGACAAGCCCACATGTATAATTCAATATGAGGACAGGGTAGGACAAAACAGTTTGTGAGAAAAAGCACCCTAAGGAAAATATGAAGAATATTGACAGTAAAGTTGATGAACGATTGAATTTGTCAGTAGTAGAAGTAAAATCTAAAAAACTGTTTAAATAAATATCTTCAATTCAATAAACTTACCTACTGGAAAACCTATATCTTGAAAAAGTGCTGAATAATCATGTGCTGTATAATTTTTATCCGGAGTAGTAATTAATACATTATTACTAGGCCATATTCTTGGATCAGGTATATTGGATATAACAGAAGAGAATGACCGTAGAATAGGTCGAAAACTCAATGGTGTACGATAAAATATACCGAAATTATCGCCTAAATAAAATTAATGAACGAAATTATGACCATAATTAATCTTATAATCAAATATGATTTTAAATGAAAACGTTGACGCGACCTATTACGTAATTAAATTGTATTTCATTCTTGAAATAATGATTATATACAATTTTGTTGAAAATTGAGATCCATCAACAATATCATACTAAAGAATAAATATCCTTTACAAACAGATCACTTATATATAAATTAAGATCAAAACATGCATATATAATGAACTCATTTGGTGTGGAAATTTAACTATAATCAGTGTAATATTTACATGAAAGTTATGATGTAACTTGGTAAACAATAAATTACAAAGTAATAATAACTTAAATATTTTTCATCTTGAATTTCCACGTTTACTATAGTTTGTTTTAAAGTTATGGATGGAGTGTTTGTTCATCAAACTATTAACAATTCAATCGGTATTACTTTTCGCAATGAATAAAGAATTAATTCATTTCACTGATTGAAATCATGAGTCAATTGAAGCTAGAACACCATGGAAAACCTGGAAGCACTGGACGGCCTTTTCGTCCCAGTATGGGACTCCTCAGCAGTACGCATTCACGACTCCGCCGCGAGATTCTAACCCAGGACCCATCGGTCCCACGTGCGAATGCCTAACATCCAGATCACTAAGCCTACATCCAACAGTGTTAATGTCTTACTTCAACCAATCTACAAAACTAAGCAACACATCTACCATTGCTTTCAGTGAGTTGATATCTCACAACAAACCTGGTTGAACTCCACTGGTCACTGCTTCTTACTAGAACTCCAGGAGTACCTCTTGAAGTCAGTCACTAGTGAGCAGATGATTATTATCAGAAGGATTGGCTGGAGTTAGACATTAACACCGTTGGATGTGGTCTAGTTGGTTAAGCGCCTGGCGAGAGATTGATAACTCCTGGGTTCGAATCTCGCGGGGGGCGGGTCGTGGATGCGTACTGCCGAGGAGTCCCATACTAGGACGGAACGGCCGTTCAGTGCTCCCAGGTTTTCCATGGTGGTCTAGCTTCAATAGACTCATGATTTCAATCAGTGAAATTTCTAAAATCTCCACAAAACCCCTTCTGATAATTAATTTACTGTACAAGAATTTTGTGAAATATTCTGATTAATAGATCAACCAAATTTGTACGATGGGGTGGGGGTAATAAGTGAGGCGAGAGGAATGATCTGATTTTGTATAGAAAAAGACAAAGAAAAATAATATTGTCAAAAAGAGCTATTTCAAATACTTTAATTTTTCAGAATCGATTTCATTGAATGACATCCTTGATCCATATGAATTTTATTATAATTAAAATGAAGATTTTACAGTATCTGGTTTCTATTGTAAATATCAACTTACATTGAAAGCTTTTTCTTGAGATTTACCACAGTTGATTATGCTGATCGCTGAGCATTGTTACCATAAACGATATTGACGAGACTATAATTTATGGACGAATCAATCAGGTATAAGATAACAGGTCTCGAAGTTTGGCGCGAAATTCACTCATCCATTTGGCTAAATAGATTCATGGCATTGTAACTGATGTCAGTTCGTGATAAAAATCCTAACCTTAACCATCAACTGTGAACCTTTAATATAAATTCCATTTTGTATATCATAGCGCTACAGACAAACATATCACTAACATGTATTTGCATGTTAAATTTTAAAGAATCAGTAACACGTTTTTACAAAACAATATTTGGTTAAATGTTTTATATATTCAGTCATTTTATATCACAAGCTGATATAAGCAAAGTATGACAGCAGACACAAACATCTAATGAGGTTATACAACAAAGAAAATCGATCTCGCCATTCAAATGTATTCATTCTGTATATCTACACTTTTATTGTTGAATTCATTTATTTACTTTTCAACTGAGATCTTTTTGTTTGACTTATTTAAAGTGCAAGACTTTCACGCAATCTCTATTTTTATGTAATAGACTGATCGTTCTTAAAAAACCTGGGGTTAGTTTTTGGTCGTTCTCATGAACTTTGTCGTGTTTAAGTTATGGCATAAATACTACAAACTCTAGGTTTTACTACGAGCTTCATACTTTGAAGTCATCTGGTTTGGATCCAGTTATGCACTTTTACTACAACATTTGATTCAAGGTGATGTGTGATCTATAATCCAGTATTGTTGACGAATTATTAGTTCACTTATATTCCATAGCTTGTACTTAACATTTTGGCTCTATTCTGTCCTCCTAGGTGGATGGTTTAATTAATGAACATTAATTGTTTTTTAACGCTGTTGACATTATCCAAAACGACTGTTAGATCATCTAAATTAGACTAACCTTGCTTGGAGAACACAACACCAAAAAAGGGCACCAATCTGAGTTATGAGTCTTTTTCATCATTCCATTTGATCTTATTGAAATAGGATTTTGTCAATTATGAGTTCATAGGTGTTACATAGTGAATTAGCTTCATATATTTAAGGATTATAATAATAATAATTTAAATGATACTATCATCACTAACTGACAGCAGTTCGAAAACTTGTGTAATCTAATCAGCAGTTCCACTGTAGATTGGTATTCCGTATGTATATATTACCTTTTCTGTTATTATCATGAAAAATCAACATTGCCAGTCCTTATTTTAAAAGTTTGTTCATTTCCACTTGGCTTCAATAAACATATTTTCATCTTTATTTAGGATTCGAAATTTTCATGACTGATATTTAATTATAATTATCTGTTCTTAATGAAAATACTAGTTAATGGCTTCAGAATAACTGGTTTCTTTCAAAATACTTTCAAAAAGTTTGTGTAATTGAAATCTACACTAATTATCGAGAAGATACTGTTACATAGTGAATGCTAATATACAGACAATAAGTGTAATAAGACAACAGAGAATTTTCTTAACTGGTATCATGCATTTACAGATGTTCTTCGATTTTTGCTTCCAGGACTAAGTATCTCAATTCTTTGTTGGCTACAGTTGAAAAATGTTCCAAAATAAAAGTGATTATTATCTGTATATATTGATTGTTTAGATCTCTCCATTGGTGTGTTGGGCTACTACAGATCAATCTCTCTTGATATATGTGCATCCTATGAGGACTGCATCTATATTACCGGTAAATCATAAGCATTTTAAGCAGATACGGATGGCGGCTAGTAGTGCAATAGGGACTCGTCAGATGTATGTACTTGGATCACAGATTTGAAGTGAACGGTAACGGATCTGGGTCATAGAGTGAATATCAAATGTAAGTTTAGGATATATCCAGCTGAAAAGTCCTAAATAGGATGAGAAGAGAATCTTAAATTTCATTGCCATCAGCCATTCATATTCGCTTAAAATGAGTGGTTATAGTTCGTAAAAATAAGACAAATTTATTCATGAAATTGACCATTCAACTTTAATTAATAATTAACTTACCAGTTATCACGCTTAACAACGCTTTGACAGCTCCACCAAATGGTGCAGACACTGATATATATGATTTTATATATTTCTTTTTCCATGATTTTGTTTGTTTATTAAGAAAATTTAGCGTATACAGTGAACCCATACTATGACCAAGTAAAACCACCGGTCGTCGATTAGCGTTTGTGTAGGTCTCTTCGACCAATAATTTTAATTTATTCATAAAATCGGTATTTTCATCTAGCAATGGTTTTATTTTATTTTGCAAAACAAAATCAAATTTCATAGAAAAACATTTTAGTTATTCGAGAGGGGTTTGTGGATATTTTAGTAATTTAATAGTTGAACTCATGAGTCAATTAAAGTTAGACTACCATGTTAAACCTGGTTCGTAGATGAACACTGCTGAGGAGTCCCATACTAGTACGAAACGGCCGTTCAGTGCTTCCATGGTGGTTTAGCTTCAATTCATTCATGAATTCAACTATTAAATTTGGTGAACTACTTTGTTGAGTAATTTTTAAAAATGATACTATTTCATTTATAAAAGAGAATAATTTTATAATGTACTTAGAAAGAAACCTAATTTATAAGTTATAAAACATCGGTAGATTCATTCCTGCATTCATTTAAACTGTCATTATTCTCATACCATTGTTGTATATTGTTTCAATATATAGTGCCCGCAATGTCGAGTCACCTAGACTGTTGGCCACATTGCAACATGGTCGGTAGCATTCGATCTACACTAAATAAGGACTTGACACACATGACATTGATCACCACGCAGTGATCAATCAATTGTGATTACATCTCAGTCCTACAGGAGGTCAGTCGCGGCCAGGATAGCTCAGTGGTAACATCTCTGACTGTGCAGCTGTGTGACACGGGAACGAATCCGCCAGGTAGTACAAGTTCCCTCAAGATTACAGGTACACCTTGCTGACGAGTGTCAAGTAGCACGAAATTCGGGTCCAGGGTTTCCTGTTGACTACCTCCAACCACCATCTAATGTTTTTTACACTTTTAATAAAGAGATATTTATGGATGATATATCCTTCTTTCGTTTATTATCTTAATTAATTGATAAAAGTGGGAACTATTTATAAGGTTATTCTTGAATACTTAAATACCGACTATTATTTTTGTTTATCTAATTACAATAATTACAATATTGTCTACTTGGTTAGTTTAAATTATCGCATCAAAATGATAAAATTAATATCAGACAGAACGAGAAAAGTTCATAGATGGTGCTACAATGAATCTTATAACTGAGTAAACTTATGTGTTACGATATTCTTTATTCTACATAAGTGAAAAATTGTAAAAATTCTGTTATTGATTTAAAATATGACAAATTAAAATTATGTAACTGGTACACAGGTGGTGTATGCTACTTATGTTAACAGATATAAGTAGTATGCAACACCAGTCAGAAATGGAATGCATAGTATCAGAAGGCTAACAAGATCGAATCGAAGTAAACAAAAAGAGAAGTAGAACAGAAGCGCGGCATGAAAGAATCGTATACAATATGAATGACAATCGATGGAAGTTTTGCAAATGAACTATTTAATGTATGGTTCTTATATTTTACCAAGATATTCTGTAACTTTGTAATGATCAATAAATTGGTTGTATCCACCTGACTTCTCATTTATTACGTACATACATCCTTTTATTTACTTGTATGTTTTTCAGTAAGTAATATGATACACTTGGGGATCAGTTTAAAATGAATTTAACTAATAATGGGGAATAAAAATTGAAAAAACACTTTAATTATATATATATTATTCATTTCTTAAGAAATTAAATAAACCATGCTTTCCTATTTTGATTTCCTTTGAAAATGTCATTGTTAAGTAGTGAGAAACTTTCAAAAAGATTGTATAGGAAATATTATAATATAGTGTTTTTGTTATTATTAAAATCGGGAATGTGCACGCTAGTTCCGAGTTTATTAGTTCAATGTGTTCATTATAAACTATGAATTTCCATAGTTTAATCCCCTGAGGTAATGATGTCAATATATGACGTTTCCAGTTTTAAAGCTGGTAAAAAAGTGGACATGAACTGCGAAATAAAATGTTTATTTCCGATAGTTTATAAACATTCACTGCACTATAATTAACAAGTTAACTGTTTATCAAGTTTATTTGTTCAGGATCTGCTATTTGATTATGTCTCAACATTTTACTAAGTGGACTATTCAGTTGTGATAGTAAACATCTCCAGTTTGTAATTTTATTTCATAGGACAATGTGCAATACTCAGAATGAATGAGAATAAATCTTCGATTAGATAAGCACTTACATGGTAATCTACGAAAATCATATGGAGCACCACGAAGTGTAAAGTTTTTAACGAAAAATTTATTGTGTAACAAAGAATTCACAAGGCGACCAAAATAATTAAAAAAGCGAAAACCATTCGTCTGTAAATATTCAATTGTGTGTGTATCACCCCAACCAGGGAATATAACATTACATGTGTCAGTATTTTCACTATTCAATGTAATCGGATTAAGATATAAACTATTGGTAAATAAAGAATAATTTAATTTAATAATTAAATTACCCGAAATAATGTCGTAATTTTTCGGGAATCATCATATAAAATAGATTAAGCCATATTGGGAATTCATTAGATTTTGGTTGTTTTAGTTGACAATAAGCTTGAGCTCCTCCTAGACCAGGAATTAATATAATTGGATTTGAAATATTCTCATCCATATATTTGAGTAATATATTTTTTGTATGACCTGCAAATTGATAATCAAAAAACAAAGTCTATTTTTGTATTATTATGATTGTTGTTAAATAATTAGTTTTCATGTAAGATAATATTTTTTTCTCGAAATACAAGGAGTAAATGATATGAGAATGGAGATTTGTGGAGATTGTAGTGATTTTAATAGTTAACTTTATGAGTCGATGTACGCTAGACCACTACAGTGAACCTGGAGACTCATCCGAGTCGGATGGAGACAGTTATCCAGTTTAGACAATAGATAGAGTTTGTACAAGGTCATGGATTGATTAAAGTTAGACATTATCACCGTTAGGCGGTTAGCCGTCTAGAGTTTCAAACGTTCGCGTGAGAAGCTTAAGGTCCTGGGCTTGAGTCTCCTGTGCGTGATTGTGGATGAACACTGCTGAGGAATCTCATACTAGGACGAAACGTTCATTCAGTGGTTCTAGGTTTTCAATGGTAGTCTAGCTTAGATCCACTGATGAATTAAACCATTAAATAATATAAACATTAAATAAATACAAACTGTAAAAGACAATAATATAAGATTGTAACAAGCATGATTATTCAATAAATTGCTCTTTCATAAACATCAGTATTGCCACCTTAGAACAATACGTTATTATCATTAAACAATACAACAACTTACTAAAATGATAAGAACTAATATAACATGCAATTTGTAATTTAGATTGTTCATCTTTAAAAAAAAGTTTTAGTATTTAGCCATGGTAATTTTTCTTTTATATTTTTTGTCTGAGCACATATCCGAGTTTTCTTTATTTTTTATAGTCGTTAAAACATCTAATCAAACATCATGCGATAGTTTCCAGTTTCATTTTTATTGGTAAACTGTAAATGAATTGATGCTGAATAATAATAATAATAATAGTAATAGTAATAATGGATTGCCATTTATTTACTGAATACCTATGACTTATTTCCACATGACATTCAAAGTAGATACAAAAACGTGATTTTAGAGAAAAAGATCGATATTACAAAATCTTCACTAGCCTTCTTTTAACATTTGAGAATTAAGATGTAAAGAAGTGACTGATCTCGTCAAATTAAATGATAACCAATTTTACTGTATATAAGAGGTACAAACAATATATTTCTAATTCGAGTTGGTTAATGACTGGCAATGAAATTGAACACAAACGTTTGGTGCTATCTGTGGCTCATTAGCTTGATGCAGTTTTATCCGAATATTTATGCTCATACTCATACTCTAACTCAGTACATTCAATGAGCTATTGACTCCAGGTAGCAAGTAGCTTGTTTTGAGAATCATTATTCTGTAAAGAATAAGAAATTATAAACTCTTACAAGTAAAATATATATCTTCAACCCTATTTTTAGATCACGGCCAGTAACCAGGTCAAAGAGCTAAATCTCTACATTTGAGTGCGTTTGAGTCTCAGTGGTTGAGACAACAATGACAGGTGAAATGCATTCTGAAACACTAGCTACAAAATGATACAAACTGTCACAGATATATTTTTCATATTAATAGCTCATTAACTCTATCTGAATATTCGCTACATCATCATACACATGTATTGATCCTTAATCACACTCTTATATATAAATATGTCAATATCTGTAATAATGTTGAATTTTAAATAATTTAGGTTGTAAGCAGCTGATGAGAACCTAACGAAATAAAATGAATTCATATTATTCTGCACCAATTTTTGTTCTTGCTCTCTTTATTACTTATTTCTTAAATTCAACCTGATATAATGTTAGAAATTCAAATTATATGACAAAACATTTAGTAGCAACCTAAAATGTATATCTTCCCTTTGTATTCTTAAAACATAATCCTCCATTTATAATATGTTTTATTATTAAAGGTTTATTATGGTAATTAGCATCTTGAACTTTCATATTGTTGTGAACGGAAAATCATAAGCTTTCATAAAATGCGAAAAACGTACATTTAATGGATTATCTGCACATCTTCTTTCATTTGTCCGTTACATACTTCGAAATTCTTTAAAATCAGTCGTTATTCCAATTGTTCTTTGATTCCCTCCCTGTTCTCTTCAATTCAATCTTCTGATGGCAGGCATTCTACTCCTGATTGCTGCTACATACTACTCATATCTACCAACATAAGTATTAGACATCATCATGATCAATTTAGAGAGTGAGATAAATATGTATTAACTCAAGTTGTCAAACTATAGTAGCACGACTAGATGTAATTAACAGAATGAATAGTGAAGGAGTTGAAATAATCACATGAGCAACGAGAATTTGAAAGACTAAACATTGAGAACATAGTGCATAAAGACGAAATGTAAAGGTGTGTATTTGAAGAATGAAATGAAAGCACTGTATTATTGCTTGTTCTCTTCATAGCTACATAGAAGTCAACTGGTTTATTTCCCTAAAGTTCTAAAGATAGTTTAAAATTTAAGACATGAACATTTTGTCATTGGTTAATATGGCGTTTAGAATACTAAATCCTAGTAAAGTTTTGATTTATAAAAATGTATCAATAGACTCTGCAAAAAATCTAAGTAACAGTTCTAGAATATTGAGAAAAATTCAAGGTTAAACCGTAATTAATCTGACAATAAATCAAGAGAACAATCATATCAGTTGTGAGACAAATCTCACCAACAAGAATGAATGAAAGTTAAGCAATATTGTGGATTGTTAGACTTTAGTAATCCTATATCAGTAATCTGAAAGTAAAGCGATGGTCATGTGGTCTGAGGGTTCTGAACCCAATACCTGCTAGAGTTGTGAATTTATATATATGTCTGGTTTTCACTGGTTATTTATACAAGGTGAGTCCATAATGTAAATTATGGTATTCAATATTTTACACTAGACGATAGTGGTTCGTTAAAAAGTGGCAAGTAATGAATAGTTCCACAAAAGTCATTTTAATCCAACTAACTAATTTATCACGAAGAACATCACATCTACAATGAATTAAGTATGGCGGTTTTTCTCATGCGACCAGTATAGGCAAATTAACAACATTAACATATTAACACACTTGGATGCCGGCTCAGTGATCTAGTGGTTAGGCGATCGCGCGCGAGACTGATAGGTTCTGGGTTCGAATCTAGTGAGGCGGGATCGTAGGTTCGCAATGCTAAGAACTCCCACAATAGGACGAAACGGCCGTCTAGCGGTTCCAGGTTTTCCATGATGGTTCAGCTTCAATTGACTCATGATCTCAACCATTAAAATTACTATAATATCCACAAAATCCCTTTTGATACAAATATAGAAAAAGCATGATACCGAAAAACACATTCAATCATTATTATTAAATATTCGCATTTTCCAATAACTGGAAAACAACAAAAACGTTTTTACTGATATTTTTCTAATTAACGTTAATAGCTTCATTAAAGCAATGGTAAACTAACAAATATAAACTTTTGAAATTTCACAAGTTGAAATCATGAGCCAATTGAAGCTAGACCACCATGGAAAACCTGGAAGCACTGGACGGCCGTTTCGTCCAATTGCGGGACTCCTCAGCAGTGCGCATCCACGAACCCGCCCCCGCGGGATTCGAACCCAATTGGCTCATGATTTCAACTTGTGAAATTTCCAAAAATCTCCACAAAAACCCATTCTGATAATAATAATAATCACATGCTCACTAGTGACTGACTTCAGGAGACACTCCTGGAGTTCTAGTGAGAAGCAATGGCCAGTGGAGTTCAACCAGGTCTGTTGTGAGATAGGAATTCACTGAAGACAATGGTGTACGGTTGCGCAACTTCGTGGATTGGTTGAAGTTAGACATTAACACCGTTGGATGCCGGCTCAGTGGTCTAATGGTTAAGTGCTCGCGCGCGAAGCCAGTAGGTCCTGGGTTCGGATCTCGCGGGGGGCGGGTTCGTGGATGCGCACTGCTGAGGAGTCCCATACTAGGACGAAACGGCCGTCCAGTGCTTCCAGGTTTTCCATGGTGTTCTAGCTTCAATTGGCTCATGATTTCAACTTGTGAAATTTTCAAAAATCTCCGCAAAAACCCATTCTGATAATAAACTTTTGAGCTTATTATATGATAACTCCATCAAAATTATTCTGTATAAAGTAATTGTAAATTGTCGAGTGAATCAGTATCATTAACTCAGTAACCACATCATTTTGATCGTTAAATCTGAACTTGGTTTGAATGTTCAAAAGGTACGGATTACTGCTATTAAATAAAACATATATGATTTCAAGGATATTTCCAGCAATATATTAGACAATTTAGAAGGACATGGAGTTAGAATACTGAATTTACCTTTCGTTTGAATCAAACGTCTCATAATTTTCAAGGTATCAGTTTTAATAACATGTATATGGTAAAACTTGTTTCATTTCTGATACTATCCAGTGTTGGTAAAACAGAATCTAAGGTTTTCTACATGAAAATCACGCATGCCTTATTACCCACATTGGTGTTAACTAGTTTATTAATTTGAGAATTCACTCTTTAATCGGAATATTTGAACACTGTTTAGTCTGTGGTGTGATGTATATTTCTAAACAAAAGGTAAATGTATGGCGCCGTGAGTATATATATATATATAACTTCGCCCGGAGTCTCTCCGGGAGCTACTGCCGGTCCCAAGCCCGGATAAAGCAGGAGGGTTGGGCATGGGGTTAGCGAGTCCATCCCGTAGAAAGCTAACCCGCTAAAAAAACGCTTACCAGAAAAAATTATTCAAATTTTTTAAACTCTGCCCTGGGAGTTAGGTCTTCCATTTAGAAGAGTTATGACGCCTCACGGTGAAAAGCGAGCTACTTCGGAAGTCACGAGGCCGATGCCCCTTCTGACAACCAGAGCAACCATTTATTTAGGTACATGGAATACTTGTACACTGTGGGACACGGGCGAGTCTTCCAAACCGCTGCAGGAATTAAGAGATAAAACCTAGAGGTGCTTGGGATATATATATATATACTTATAAAACATTTTAGAGGTATGAATTTCTCTAAACTAGATGGCTTAGTCATGAAACTTTTATTATCTTCTTAAACATCATCATCAGGATGTACTTTAAAAAGAGAAATAAGTTATTGGCGTTACTTCAAAATCAATATGTTCTTATAAACTATAAATTTGATAATTGGTTTATACATTTATTATACTATACTGATGTTTCTTCAAAGTAACTCCTAATAGTCAAGTGATATAAGATGAGTTCATGCCATTCTATTCAAATCTCTTCTCTTAGATCTTTTCAAAAACAATTTTCTGATTGAAATTAGCAATAAATATCTATATATTTTTCAGTAGAATGAATCAGAAAATTGGTTAGTTTCATTGACAACTTTGTATACCAAAATAATTACCGTTCGAAAATAAAAACAAGGTTGTTTGTGTAATTAAACTCATCTTTCTTCTTAAGTAGTATATGTACGTATTGGCGAAACAAAATGTTTTCTATCTTAATAAGTAATAAACTGATTAGTGGAAACAATACTATCAATCTTTTCTAAGGTAGGCATTTGTTGATGAGAAAGAGTAAAATATACAAATCATAAACTCCTCAGCAGTACGTATCCATGATTTTATGATAGAACAAAACGGCCATCTAATGCTTCTAGGTTTTCAATGCTGGTTTAACATTGATTAGCTTATGAATTCAACTATCGAAATTATTACAATCTTCACAAATCCCCATTCGGAAAATTACAAACTATCAACAAAGAAAAACATTTTTTCAAATAAATTTAGCTTATAAGATTAGGAGTATTGTTTAAGTAGTCATATGTTGTTATTGTAAAATGAAAAGAAAATTAGTGTTTCCCTTAAAATAAACTCTTGATTCATATAATTTCACATAATCCGACCAATAATTTTTTAAAATTAACGGTGAATGGTCGTGGACTGTTGACATCATGACAACTTACCTATGCTATAATAGACATAATGAATATTAAATGTGCAATATTGTCATTTTAAATGTTCAGTACCAAACAACTGGTCATAAACGTCTCCATGTTTTACAAAATCATATTATATATGTTATGTATTATGTTATTTTACCAATTATTCTCTTGTGCTAAGTTATGGTGTATGCTACTTATGTTACCATATATATTTAGTATGTAATAGCCGTCGGATGAAGAATGCCTGTTATCAGAAGATTGAAATGATGCGAACAGGAAGGAAGGAGCAATCGATATAACAACAACATTAGAGAAATGATGGAGTATATAAGGGACAACACAAAGATATGCAAACCAGGTATTTAATATATGATTTTCATATTTTTCTAAGGAACTGTGTAATTCAAAAAAGAAAACAAATTAATGAAATGATTTTGTTTAAATATGATGATAGAGAAAGATCAAGAAAGGTGTGTAGCGTAATTTTCCCATGTTTAAATGTTTAGTTTAATGGTTGAAATCATGAGTCAACTGAAGCTAGAACTCTATAGAAAACCTGGAAGCACTGGACGGCCGTTTCGTCCTGTTGTGGGAGTCCTCAGCAGTGCCCATTGATGATCCCACCTCACTAGTGACTGGCTTCAAGAGGTATTTCCTGGAGTTCTAGTGAGAATCAATGACCAGTGGAGTTCAACCGGGTCAGTTGTGAGTTAGTAAATCACTGAAGACAATGGTGGATGTTTCACTCAATTTTGTGAATTAGTTGAAGCTAGACATTAACACCGTTGCATGCCGACCGGCTCAGTGGTCTAATGGTTAGGCGTTCACGCTCGAGACCGGTAGGTCCTGGGTTCAAATCTCGCGAGGCGAGGTCGTGGATGCGCACTGCTTAGGAGTCCCATACTAGGACGAAACAGCCATGCAGTGCTCCCAGGTTTTCCATGGTGGTCTAGTTTGAATTGACTCATGATATGAACTATTAAAATCACTATAATATCCAAAAACCCCTTCATATATTAAAATGTATACTTGAGTACAATAAACTGTAATTACATTCCCTAACAATATAATATCCTCACTGTATGCCGTTAATTTCAAAATAATTCAGTTTTTGTTCATCCCGTAATGAAAATTATGTGAAACATCTAGTAACTGTTGGTGAATTGGCAAGTAAACTAGAACTCCCTCTCTCCTGTTCCTATTATATAAAGAATTAATTCCAGTCACTTCCGAAATCTTTTCACGCATTCTTAAATGTCAAAATGTACTGCAGCAAACTCTTAAAATTTTATCGGCTTAATTTTTGCGGTCATAAAACTTTCCAATTCCTCTCAGTCTAGCTAGGACGGAATTAAATAGTCTACAACAAAACGAATTATGCATCGAATGATGTGGATTTTTAACTCTTGTTGAAATTTTCACCAGCCCAATTAACTACTTTGCATGTGTTTGAGATAATCATTAATAGTGGACATTGCTTGCCGATCAGTAAATCCAAGAAGTCGGAACAAAGAATCGTTTGTTAGGATAACTCTTCTACGCGAATAGTTGTGAACTAATTAACAAAGGGGTATTATAAACCTACTATTTTGAAATTTCATTTTGAACATTGATTCATAGCAGATATACGTTTTTCTGAACTCTTTATCAGACAGAACGGTGAATACTCAATAATATGCACGAAAACAGAGTAAATAGTGCGACCTGGTTTTTTTAAATTTGACATTGAATGTTCTATAAAAAGTTCTCCCAAACTCTCCTTATTAGTAAATATATAGTGGTGGCGTAATTTCGTGGATTGGTTGAAGTTAGACATTAACACCGTTGGATGCCGGCTCAGTGGTCTAATCTTTAGACGTTCGCGCACGAGACCGATATGTCCTGGGTTCGAATCTCGCGGGTGGTGGGGTCTTGGATGCGCACTGCTAATGAGTTTCTTGCTAGGACGAAACAGCCATACAGTGCTCCCAGGTTTTCCATAGTGGTCTAGCTTTAATTGACTCATGATCTCGACTACTGACATTCATAAACAGTACGGCGTTAGTTGTCTGTAAAGTTGATAATGATTGAAGGGAATAACTTATTCTAATGGACCCAGTTCATCTCGAACATAACCAAATATTAAGTTTGCATGGACCAAAATACAAGCAAATGAGTAACCAATGTCCCTTATACACATAGATCTATTAATTTCAGATTAACATAAAATAATAAACTAAAGATTTTATCTTATATCATCTGGTTGTTAATGATGCAACACTGACAGATTAAATAATCAGTGGTAAATCACGACTTTCCAAAATACTCAATTCAAGCGAGAATGTGAGTAAATATCATTCCAAAAAAACCTATGATGTAAAAAATTTCACACCAATTGCCGTCACTTGAACTTAAAATCCTCCTGTCATAATATAAATGGAAGGAAATTCAAAATTCACTCATTGCATAAATTGTACTAGAACACGAAGGACTCCACGTGAGAGAAATATGATTTGTGGTAAATAGTGTTTATTACAGTGAACAGCGAAACCATTTGTGATATTTAACTCAACACTATATTTTGCTTAGGTTTTACATGGAATCGAGAAACAATAACCATCTAACTCAGTAATTTCATCCCGAAACGATAAATTTAAAAACGTCTTTCACGGTTCTGTTTATGACTAATTTCTGTAAGGCATATAGGATTCGAACTAGCCAGCCACCTTGCAGTTTCATCTTATGATGATGATATATACATATCTAACACTGGACATATGAACTAGAATGGAAAACCGATGATATCTCTGGATGTTGCTTCCCTGTTCACCAATGTATATTTTACTGAGACTGTTGATTTTCTATGCCAACAATTACTTGAGAAAAGATTTAAATTTAAATTTAAATTCCAACGTTTGTATTTCACATTGAATCAACATTTCTCATTGTTTACTCTAGTCAATCATGTGTAACGTGTGATGTTTGTTTAACTTTCCAAATAAAGTTAATTTCGGAAAATCTTAACATCAAACAAATAACATTAATTCATTGTGGTGAAGGCTTTACTGTAATATTTGTTTGCAGTCAATAAATAATAGTTAATTTAGGTAGAAAAATACAATATTGAATGTGCTCATTAATGACTATGTTGAAGATGGATTTCCTGAAGTTGTATTGAGAAGCCATGACCAGTGAAGTTCAATACATGTCAGGTGGAGAGAGTGAACCACCTGAGACAACGGGTGAAGAGTTGTACAAGATCATGGATCGATTGGAGTTGTACGTTGTCACCGTCGGATGTCGACTCAGTGGTGTAGATGTTATGTGCCGATGTGGAGAGAGAAGGTCGTGAGTTGGATTCTGGTGTGCAAGACTGTGGATGCGCATTGTTGATGAGTCCCGTAATAGGATGAAATATCCTTTTATTATTTCTAATTTTCCAATGGTGATC